TGGACCAAGGCTGCTGAACGCGATCGCCGAAGCAGTCCTGCCCAAGCTAAAGGCCCGTTCTCGAGTGGCTGAAGAGGCTGGCCAAAAGAGGGTTAGTTTGACCTGTTTCTGTGAGGCCTGTGGAGCCCAAGGCGTTGCCAACCTTGTGCAGTGTCGCAGCACCCTGCCAGGATCCCACAGAGTAGTGCGCTGCGCCATGCTGCGCCGAAAAGGGCTGTGCCGAGCGCATTCTGTGACTTTTGTCGGCCGAGGCTTTGGTTCAGCATGCCTTTGACTGATGCGGCTTTTGAGAAAGGCGCCGTGAAGCAAGGTATGCTTTCGTAGCATGCAATGTTGACACAAACGTGGTGTGATACCTTTGAGACTCATGATTCATTGCCGCGCCTTCCTATATTTCAAGCATGTCGAGCCTTTGCTTCGGCTGTCCATCATGGCCAGGTTTGGAGACGTGCCTCCAGATGCAGGGGTCGTCCAGTGTGACTCCTTGGAACACGTTCAAACCACAAGAGCAGGCCACGGGCAGAATTTTCCGTTTTAGAGATAGGCACAAGCTTTGGGAAGCAGCCAAGACGCCACAGAAAACCCTTTGCAGGCCAACGCCGCTCGAAGGCTTACAAGGCGGCGTTCGTGACACTTCGTCTCGCACATTTTGCAGATTCGGCTCTCAAGCTTGCCATGTTGCTACATGTTGCGCATTGGGGGGATTTATGGTTGCGTGTCTGGCTTCGCGATTTGGTTTGTGCGCACTGGCGTGCGCTGGCCTGCGTTGGCTTGGAGGCTGTCCGTTCACTCTGAGCCGCTCCTGGCCGCAATCGCTGCTTCGTTCATTGCAGGACGCTTTTACTCAGACCTTCTTGATGCAATCTCTCAGCAACATGTGGTTGCTTGGACGCACAGGCCTGCCGAAGGCATCCCCGCAGGACTGCTTCCAAACCGTCCGTGTTCGCATTCTGCATGGGGCCATGTCTGCATAAGAGTCAAGGAAGCTTTACTCATGACAGGACACCTCCAGCACAGCCTGATCTTTTGCCAAACAAGGCCTTCCAGGCCTGAGTGTTATTCTGGGCGGTTCAGCACTAGGGAGGATACCCAATCTTGAACAGCAGAAACCCAGTCTGGGATCATGTGTTTCTAGCCGGTTATTGGCCCTAGAGGGACAAAGCGTGGGTGCAAGGTACTTGCTTGCTGTTGCCACGGATTCTTCTCAAGGTGAAGCACTTTTTGTGGCTGCTTCTTCGGCAGTGCTTCGGCGAGTGGACCAGCTCGGACCACAGGAGCTTGCGCCCGCATCGCGCGTGAGTGAAGAAGCCCCATGGACAGTTCACGCTCGCGTGAAGCGAAGCGCAGAGCAGATTCCAGAACTACAGCGAAAGGACGGCACAATCTCCAAGTCTCACTCCGCTCTCTCACTTTGTTTCTTTCTCACCCTCTCTCACTCGTTCATCCCCTCGCTCCCTCTCTTTTTCTGTCTTGTTCTGACGCGCGCGCGCGCGCGTGCGCCCTCTCTCTAACTTTAACCTGGCTCTGTCCTTTTTCTTCTCCCTCCCCCCTCCCTCTTTTTTGATTTTCTCCTCCCCTATGTTCCTGTCTGTGTTTGGGCCTGCCTGCATCAGCCCAAGGCCGTAGTGCTTGTTGTGTGTGCGGTGCGCAATCTGGCATCTGCTGACTTGCTGACAGGAGTTGGCCAACAGCGTGTAAGAGCTTGCCACTGCCAGCATCGCTGCTGAGATGCTCCTGACGTCCATTGCAGAGGCCTGCCTGGCTGACATTCTAGGGGCCGAGGGGATGTGCATGCACACGATGTTGCCCTTCTGGGCTGGGCCTGCTGGCAGGTGGCTGTCCCCAAGCTGTACTCATGGCGTCCACAGGACCCCCGTAACCAACCAGAACTTGGTCATGTTGCCTAAATGGGCAGCACTTGGTCAAAACTGCTTGGATTCACGTGCGGAGGAGCTGGCGAACAGCGCTTGGGCACATGCACGTGCTCTCTGCCTGCACGAGCAGCTCATGAGCGGCACAGCAGAACGACTGCTGGTTCTCAGGCAGTGTTGCTTGAATTGCTGTAGTGACTGGTGCTTGTGCTCTTGATACAATCTGCATTCCGAGTCTCTTCTGAAGTTATCGCCCCGAGGGATTCTTCTTCGACATCCGACGGGACCAGTTCGTTTACAGTGCAGGACAGGATTCAGACATTACAGCAGGTGCACCCACAGGATGTTGGCCTGAAGAACAAAAGATGTCATGGGTTCTGAAGCCTGGGAGGAAGTGGTCAACATTGCGTGGGCATATGCGCAGGCAAAGCAGGATTGACAAAAGCCATCCCTTGCACACCGTACGCTTGCATTTACCAACCTCCCCGTAGAAGTTTCGAGAAGATTCGTGAGCGAATGCGTTGGCAATGTCACAGGTGGTCCTTATCCATGAGGGGCTTCTGGATTCAATTGGGCAGCAAGCGATTGCCCAAAGCCGTGCCTGGGATGATTTCGGCCCCTTGTTGCTTTCATTGCATGAAGCTACATTCTGCTAGATGATGCCTCCTAACTCCATCTACGGAGCATGCGGCTACGGCACGGATCGGTGGCTCTCTGCAGGTGAGTGGCCTCCCCGTGATCCAGCAAATGCAGTGCAGGACGGCTTATCCGTCTGTTGAAAGGCTGTGTGGCTTGTTGCATGCTTGTTGCATTGCGAGGCTTGGGCAAAGACGGTGTTGACAAGCCATGCTTTGACATCGGCAGCCTTTACAGCATCTCTAGCACAGATCAACCGCATGAATCAGCAGGACCCAGGGCATGAAGAGTTCAATGACCCCATGCGCATGCGGGGTGCATGGCGTTCTGTTGTCTGCTTGTCTGATAACTCAGCAACGTGTTGCCGCATGGGGCCTACCATTTGAGTATGAGTGGGCGACTATGCGACGGTCCGCTGGGAGCGCAAGCCGCTCCCCGAGTCCACGCTTCAGGCCAAACGAATTAACGGGACCAACCAAAGAGCAACTGAATCGCTTGGCCGTCGCGGCGGCTCCTGCCTGCAAAATGGGGCTCTCAAGCGTGCAGAGGAGGAGGAGGAGGAGGAGGAGGAGGAGGAGGAGGAGGAGGAGGAGGAGACAATGCACCCAAGGCAGCCCCTGGCACACCACATGCACGCTGCATTTGAAGACATCAACCTCAGCGCCAACACAAGCGGCACAAGCGGCGGAATCTTCACTCCTGCCTTCACCTCCCCGCAGACCTAGGCGCACGACAAACAGGGGCAAAAGGTCAAGCGCCACACAAACACAGCAGTAGGAAACCCGCAAAGAGCCACCCAACGGGCCAACCAGCATGAACCAGCTCATGCAAAACAAGTCAGAGGACCGAGAAGCGGCAGCCGCCCCCCCGCGTCCACAACAGAGAAAGAAAGCATGATCCCCGACATCGCAAGCTGACAGTCATACCGAACCCCACATTCGACATGAAATTCAATGTCTACATATGAAGGAAATCGGAACAGATAGTAATTGGATAAACAGTATCGGGAATTGAAAGACTTCATAATCGTTTTTATTTATCAGATTTCTGATCGGGAAAATGATTTTGGACTATACTAGGAGTGAGCTAGGTTGGTGAGATAATGGAGGATCAACTTAGATAGCAATGTTTACCAGGTCGTTGGTTGAAAACGAAGGAAAATCTTGTCTTTTCAGGCGTAAGGATAACAGTAGAAAGAAAGAAGACATAGGGATTCGGGAGGGAATATGCCAATCTAAGTCTGTACATCGTTCTTGAATAAGGAGATGAGTCGCCACTACTCCGAATTAGCTGGGATATGCAGAGCTGAGAAATAGATCGACTTTAGATACGGTAGCTATTATGACTCATCTGCGTGGGGGGGCGAGTATTTAAGAAAAATATAAAAAAGGAATCAACTGACTAACAGTGGAATCGAGCGGCAAAGAATCGAGTTTCCCTTGGAAGCCCTTACACGTTCATGAGACATAATGATAGATGTAGCATGGACAATCGAAATTCGTTCTTGCAATTGCACGTCCATTGGGGCCATCGATTGCCTTGTGTAGATTCCAAAAGTCTCTTAAACCCCCTGAAGCTGACGCGGAAGCCAACAGAGGGGAGAGAAACGCGCATGTCCTCGGGTGTGTATCCCCTTGTGGGTCCAGGGTGCTGTTAGGATTGGGATGCTTTTCTGTTTGTTGGGGTTAAGCATCCGGCCTTGATAGTCTTACCATGTACTGACAGTTTTCCAGACTCCACGCCAAGCGCGGAAGTGTCTACAGAGCGTGCGGAGACCCACTTCGTGGGCGGGATCGCGATCCCAGAACGTAGCACGTTTTCCCCTCAAGCTCTCAAGTATATCCAAGGGCTAACGCCGCTTCCGCCGACCCCATAAAGCCGCCAGGCTTTAGGCGCAGAGCAGCAGGGCAAGCAAACGGGCAGCAGGCAGCAGGCGTAGCACACTGAAAAAGCCCGACCGTGTCGTGGCATATGGGGGGGGGGGGGGGGGGGGGGGGGGGGGGGGGGGGGGGGGGGGGGGGAGCGGGTCATGAGGGCTGGTCGGGTTTGTGGGGATAAGGGTTTGGGCGACAATGCTCAGCCCAATCGGGACTCGCAAATGCTAGATCCGGAAAAGAAAAGCTGTGGCTTTTTTTTGGGGTAGAGGTTGGGGTCTCGGAATAGGGGGAGCGGGTCGGGCATGGGTGGGCCCATGGCTCCTCTTCGAGCCTCACCTGCCTCGGCCGTTGAGCCCACGGATACCAAGAGGACGAGAGAAAGAAGAAGGAGGGGAAGAAGAGCACAAAGGAAAGAAGAAAGCAACAGAGAGAGAGAGAGAGAGAGAGAGAAAGAGATGTGTTGAAGCCGTGCAGGACCTGTCGAATAGCTACTGGTCGACTGCCCAACTCGAAGTCCAGGCAGATTTCCATCACTCAGGCGGTTTGCTTGATTGTCGGCTTCGGTGCGTGCCAGGACGCGGCTTTCATTTACGCTGCTGCAGACCATGCGCTCCCAATGCTGGAATCCGCCGGCCAGGGTTTTGATGCCTTCTCCCGAGTCGATCAAAAACTTGGATAAGGTGCGACGATGAGTTTTGAGAGTTGGGTGATTGGATGAGGTAGCAAGAGACTTGGCGCTGTTGGCATGGTCGTTGGCGAAGCTTGGTGCTTAGTGAAGTGTGGATGTGTACTCAGCGGCACTCCCTCTGAGGTTTTTTTGTTTTTGTTGAGGTTGGAGTTGGCCAGTCCGCGCTTGATGTCGGCGGCTGCCGATCAGATCCTCAAGCAGATCACGGCGCGGACTTGTGGCCCGCAGGCTGGGGCTCGCGGCCTGCAGCTTCTGCAGTCTGGCGGTTCCGGCGGTTCCCGTCCTTCCGAATCTTCCGACAGGCCTTGGCCAATACAGCTTGAGCCTCTGCAACGTACGGCCACCGGCACGAGCGGCCTAGCTGATCCAAGAAGATGCAAAGCGTGAGTCCTTTTTGTCGTTTACATGCATCGTGCATTAAGCTGACGAGTGGTTTCGCACACTGTCGGGCTTCTTCCTTCGCAGGCCTCTCTTTGAGGCCATCTCGAGGCAATGCGCTGCTTAAGCTGCAGAGAGAAGTCTCAGTGCAATGTTCGGGCGTCTCCTGCAGGTTCGCACTCGAGACTCTCTTCGAGTCCGATCAGCAGGACGGAAACAGTCCAGCGCTGGGTTGCAAAGGGCATGTAGCATGAATGTAACATGGCCCGCGCAAACCGCGAAGATCCAATGGGCCAATGCGAGAGACGAAGTCGTGGTGAATGATTCAATGGGTTTTGTGGCACTAGGAGCTCACCAATGCAGCATGGGCGCTTGCAGAAGTGCGCTACCGTAGTTCGCCCTTCACCGAAGCGAGGCGCACTTGGGTGCTGGCACCCTCGTCATTTTGTAGCGGGTTGCATCATTCGTTGCTTTCCGATGCTTTTCTGCCAATTTTCTGGTCATCTTTCAGCTCGGCCATCCTCCTTGAGAGCACCGATGTGCGCATGAGCCCGGAGGAGGAGCAACCATCTTGCAACCACTTGCTCTAATGATCTTTCATGATTACTCGAATGTTTCGTCCCCAGTTTCCAGAGAGCTTGCGCCCGCAGGCCGCACGCGGCGGATATGCCATGGCTTGGGCGCAGGCCTTCGAGGGGCATGCATGGCGCCCACCGCTGCAGCCACGTGCCTTCTGCGTCTGCATCACAAAGACCCGCAGGATCGCCATGGTCGTCCTGACCTCACACGATTGCTGGTGTTGAAGTTCATGGCCGCTTGGCGATGCACGGAGATGTCGTCTGGCAAGCGAGCCTCTGGGTGCAGTTCACACCGCTTTAGTCGCAGGCAAGCCCACAACCGGCTGTGCACACCAAACTCCCTGAATAAACCCCAACCAACGAGCCCTCAAGCCCTCAACACAAAGGCCTGAACCTCCCAACCCCAAAGCCTGAGCCGACATCCCAAATCCCGTGCAAATGTGCACCGTTTTTGTTTGTCGCTTTTGACATGCGTTTAACCGGGTGGCCTGACGGTGTGTCTGAATTCATTTGTGAACCATGGTCAGTATGTATGACCTCAGGCAGGTGAGCGATGTCACAGTTTGGCATGGGGCTTGGTTATCCAGGACGAGGCCTGGATACCCGTTGTCTGGCAAGAAAGGGGAGAGGGCGGAGATCACAGGAGTGGCGGCACCATGCGGCACCGAATGGTGGAGCTGTGGCGCTGGAGGCTGGCTGCGCTGCATCTGCTGCATAGCATTGCATAGCCGAACGCTCATGATCTGTTCAAAAGCGGCCCCGGCTTGCAGACCATGGCACGAAACGCAGATTTCGGCGGACATTGAAGGGGTGAGGCGTCTCACTCCAGATCTGTGTGCAAGGGCTTAGGCTCTGAGTGTTTCAGTTCGCGTATCGTAGACAAGTCCCTTTGCTACTATGGCAGATCTAAATCTACACACGGTCTAGGAAGCCCAGCTGAGACGGAACAAAATGGTACATGCGGTGTTGAAGAGCATGCAGGGCCGGAAGAAGAAGAAGAAGAAGAAGAAGAAGAAGAAGAAGAAGAAGAAGAAGAAGAAGAAGAAGAAGAAGAAGAAGAAGCAGAAGCAGAAGCTTAATGACTTCAATATCAGTTTCACCAATGGCTCGGCCCGACCGCGCAGTCACACGCCAACACAGAAAGTGCGGCTGGTTTGCAGTTCCTGATGCGTAGCAGGTAATGCAGGGACCGATGGGGCCGGGAACTTCGGAGCTGCAGCTGAAGAACCGCTGCAGCCACTTCGGCTTTCGAAGATGGCGACTTAGTGCTCGCTGCACGGCTTCGCCCTCAGAGCACCTCAGACTTGCCCATTGCTCAGCTTTTGCAGGTCTTGTAGGGCTCGTAACATACTCAACTATAAGAGGTCCTGGCGATGTCCCACCGGGCTGGCACTGGGGATGCTCCAATCCCGGGCCTTGTCACGTCAAGCCTGTGGCTGAGATTCTGTGTGATCCTGTCACGATGCGACTTGACATGTCGAGCGGGTCTCAGGACGAAATCCGGCCTACAAGCAGAGACTGCAGAAGCAGAAGGTGACGTAAAAAAGTTGTGGACCATGTCTGGTGACAGGATGGCCCATGAACCGCCAAATCCTTTACAAACTGTGAGGAGGCGGAAGCAGCTGCTGAGGCAGCTCGGAGGGCAGAGATTGCCAAGCTCAAAGCTGCGAAGCAGCTTGAGCCTCAGAGCTGGTGCTTTTTTTTCTCGCGCATTTTAAAATTCTCCAGGGTGCCATGTGCACAGGCTCCAGAGGAGCCGGCAGAGAAGGTGCCAAGAGCTGCGAGTGCAAGTGATTACACGTGTGCTCTCCATCACTCCATGTGTGAACTGTGCTGACTGCGATTCAGGTCGCCGAGTATTCGTTCTGAAGAGCGTGAGGGCTCTGAGGAGCGGCGTCGCCGGGTGCCGAGAAATCACAGGAAGAGCTGCGGGGGAAGAGAACGACCACCCGCCATGGCTGCACAGTTCGAGAGAAGAAGGAGGCCGACGCCAAAGCACAGAAGGCAGTGAAAGACGCGGAGGTGTTTCCTGTTGCACCCCTGCGCCCCTGCTGTGCCTGTGCCGCCCCTGCTTGGCATGTCTGTGCCACGTTATATCCTGCAGGAGAAAAAGCGAAAAGAGGCGGAAGAGACTGAAGCCCGCAGCAAGCTCAGCAAACTCAGCTACTGCCAGCTAGAGGGCCCAAGAGCAACGAATGAATGAAGCATGGATTCCTCAGGAAAACGATGGGCTGAGCAGGAAGCGAAGTGGGCCCAAGCCTTACACGCAGCACGACGCGTGCGCTTGAGCTTCAGCCGGACCCAAGTTGACATGCGCAGTTGCACTGGATTCTTTGCTTGTTGCTCGTTCAGCCGTACTTGTACAAGGAGTCGGGTTACTCTAGTTACTCTAGTTTGCGCTGGAAACTTAAGCTGACACTTCTCAGCCAGCTTTGTGCGGGGAAGTTGGCAAGAAACTTCATGGAACATACCTTGGAAGAGATCGGAGCAGGTAGGAACGGCATCCCCCAGCAGTCGAGTTTGAAGTTTCTTAGTTGCAGATTGTGGGCACACCGGTACACTTGGCGGAGAATGTGGGTGAATGAGGGAAGAGACGTACGCACCGCACGCACACCTGCAACGCTCACATGCTCACACGCAGACACGCATAAACGATCACATGGGCGGGCACACACGCGCACGCGACTCCTTTCTTCGGGATCTTCTCCAGAAGTATGCCAAAGAGTGGCGGTTCGGTTGGGTTACAAGTTCATCGATCTTTTTAGATTGGGTGACGTAGGTGAGGGATACCCACGCACAGACCCGCAGACACGCACACTGCATATACGCAAACACACATAATTCCGCACATGTTTACGCACATCATAATTCCGCACACCACAGGCTGCATCAAATCTGGTTTGTTGAGTATGTTGAATACGTCACAAAATTGAACTGCTCCACAATCATCCAGCTCTGCAAATCATACAACTGTGTTCACGAGCAGGTCCTCCTGTTGGATGGTGTTGCGTAACAGCGACTGTGGTACCAGTGCACAGCGATGGATCTGACATAACACTATCCACTTCCTATCATTGTTGCAATCCAGAGCCTTTGTCATGCTGTCCTATAGTGCGTGAGGCAACCACCACATGTTCAGCGATTCCCCCACCCACACGCGCGCACCCACCCACACTCACACCCACACCCGCGCACATGCACGTGCCCCCGCACCCGCACCCGCACTCGCACCCGCACACGCCCGCCCACACATGCTCAAGTGCATGCATCACCAGTGCACGCGTGCGCACCCCCGACTGCACGTTGTTCTGCTGCGACGACAGCCCGTCTTCAAGGCAGAGGAGCGCCGACTGCGGGAGGAGCAGAAGCGCCAGGAAGAGGAGCGCAAGGCCGCTTTGACTTTGTTTTTTCTCTCCTGTTTGGATGATAGCGGTTCTTGCAAGGTCGCACGCCAGCAGAAACTGAAAGGAGCTCGGGCCTTCCGCTGCCCAGTGCTTGTCGAGCCTTGGGCCTTGTCATCGGTGTAGAGTGAGGCTTTTGCCATGGCGGACGACGAGGACGATGATGAGGACTCGACGGCCGTTGTGAATGGTAGCTGCTTGAGACATTATGGGCCTGCTTCTTTAGACGGTTCCCCGACAGGATCATCGGAAAAGAGAGTTGGCCGAGAAGCAGAAGACAAGGTGGCCCCCCAAGCTTCGAGTGCATACGAGCGCTGCAAGTTGCCTCGGAGCTCCGAAGCCTTGCCGACTGCGTGCGGGATGCTGTCCGGGATGCTGTTCAGAGCCATGACCTCACACGAAGGAGCACTGGGCGTTCTTGACTCTCACACAAAACAGATTCAGATGGACCCCGCGAACGCAGCCACCTGATGCTCATGTCCCAGGTGATGGACATGACCGCAAGTAGCCTGCATACTGCAATTCGACTTTCGGCGCGCCATGGACCGGAAGCTCATCTCCTGCCTCGCGTATTGGATGGCATGCATGCAGTATCAGGGCTCCAATGCGGAGCTTCTCAGCATGGCGTTCCGCACGACCGCGGGGCACACCCTAGTATTTCTTTCTCTGCAATTGGTCACCAAGAATGCTGGTGATGGAAAGGCGACAGACGTTTCCCTCTTCGCCAGCCGGTGCCGGAAACTATGGACAGACATCCACAGACAGACTGGAGACGGAACGTAGATGGATTTGTTTAAAGCATCAAACGGTCGTCGAAAGCAGAACCGCCAAGATCGGGGAAGCCATGCAAGTATGCAAGGATTGGTACAACTTGGTACAAGAGAGATTTGGAGCTGAAACAACCGTCCTTGGTCAATACATTTTGCAAAACTGTAGTGTGCTACTTGTAATACGTTGACTTCATTCCGCTTCGGCGGATGGTGAGCCAGTCGCGGAGAATGCTTCAAGGCAGCAGAAACTGCCCCCGATACTAGGCTGTATTTGTGCAGAATACCTCAGCAGATTGGTGCTTGGATCCCACATCTCGAACTCGTAGCTGTTCAACAGGATTTGCTCCCCAGCTGTCTTTATTAGTTCCAGTTCCTTTTTGTCGTCAGGGAACTTCGCCAGCGTGGGGTCAGTTGGCTTCGTGGCTAGGCTTTCCCAGGCTTGCTTGCCTTTGTGCTGCCTTGCTCCCGATGGCTAATCTTGGGACATCACTCGCATACAACATAGCATTCTCAAATTTGCCACTGCGCGTGGGTTCTTCCACTGGCCACATTGCATGCTGTGATATGCCTTGGCGCCCAATTCGTTGGGGGCGGGGGGGTCAATGCTTTGCTGTTTGGTGCTGACCTGTACTTTTGCGGGACATGTGGCACTGCGCTGTCAGAGGGTTGGCTGCGGACTCGATCGGCGTTCCCTTCATGGCAAAGGCAGGGTGTGCCTGCTTCGCAGATTGATGCCCCCACGGCGAGGGACGCCTTTTGCCACAGCGAGTGCATGCCTGTTCAACAGCAACCTTTCGACAACGCCTTCGTCGACGCCTTCGCCATTGCTGTGGCGACCTGTCGGCCATATGTCTTCAATGACCGCTGCCGGAGAGGGGTTGTCCTTGCTGCGGTGGAAGCTTTGGTCCAACGGCTTCCCTTAACCCCTAACCTGAAAATCCGAAGAATTCCAGGATAAGCGACAACAACGCAACGATCACTAGCTCCCTCGCCCATGTGTCCTTGCAAGGCAAGGTGCCAAGTGGATTTGGTGATTGTTTCTTGCTGGCACAGGGAATTGGTCACACCCCCCCGCCTCCCCACCCTTTTTTCGTTGGCCCAGAAGAGTTTAAAATTGCGTCTCGCTGAATTTAGGTCATTTATCGCGTTCACCCCTCCATTTCTTGGGGCAACCGCTGGCTAGTGAACGCGCTAGATTTTTCAAGCATCCTCAAGTTCTTGTCCGGAAAAGTTTTATTCATGTTCGGCAAGAGACAAACAAATTATGTTCGGGAGTTGGGTGCAGGTCGGTGCCAAAGTTGGTCCACAACCCAGAGGTTTCTGACACTTGCGATATGGCAGACCTGTTAAGCTTTCGTGCTTTTGCTCCGTGCCGCGTCTGCGCACGCTTTGTGTGACATCAGGCAGCTGGAGTCTCTGCTTCGGCCGGCTTGCTACTGAAAGCCTGAAAGCGAGAAAGCGAGAGCTTCCTGTGTTTTCCAGGGGGGGGGGCCAAGAGGCCACATCGGAGAATGAGTTCTGCACTCTGAGGTGCCATTGTGCCGGCTGGAAGCTCTCGGAAGGCAGCAGCCCGAGCTTCTTTTTGTTTCTTGTGCCCTCAGCCTATTTTACACGTTGTCTGCTTTCCGTTTCACATGTCCCTCTCACATGGCTTCCTTGTGCACTTGGGTGCTTGTCCGTTGGTTTTGTCTGCTTCTCTACCCCCCTCCCTCCCATCTGTCCGGTTCATGCTCTATCGCTTTTTTCTCCCGCTCTGCCCTCGCCTCTCAGTCTTTCGTCAGCCAGATTCTCCCACGGGGTCGCTCTGAGCATTTTGTGCTGCTGTCCGAGAACCGGTCGGAGGCGGCCACCGACTCGAAGGCTCTCGATGTACTGCTCAGTTCAGTTCAGACCTTGGGACAACTCGCGAAGCCACAGGATCCCATTAGCCTTCGAGCTGCCTTAGCAGATCCTTCAGTGCGGCCGGCACGGCTTGGCACGGAACATTCCCTTTTCCTGCCTTGCCCTGGCTGAATGCTTGGTGTGGACGCGTTGGATGCCAGGGACCCCGGGTGCACTCCCCAGGAGAGGTGGTGAGCAGCTCAATCAAGCAGACATGGAAGACCGAAACGGAAGCCATGTTCTCCAAACTTCATACCTGAAGCTAAGCCGCCAGAAAGTTTGAGGTTTTATGGCGGGCAGCCCACGGAATCTCAACAAGACATGTCTCAGGCCGAGCACTTCCGGCGCCTTTCGGAGATGAAAAGGAGGCCCTCCCGAAAGCGTTACAGTTTTCACTCCGCGAAGGCAGCTTGCATTTCAGAAGCTGAGTCTCGGACACTTTTCGTGGGAAGGTACCGAAGAGCTGAGTTTGGGGGCCCTTCGTCGCGGCGGCGCACGCCTTCAAGGCCCGACAGCGACACTGCCATGCGTAGGGGGGGGTGGGGAGGGCAGGGCAGCAAACCGAAATTCACAGGTCTCGGTCCCGCGAGAAATACGACTCGGTTGCCTCCTTGGCCTCTGCAATCTTCAGCCTTTGCAGTTGTCACATCATGTCAGCCTGCGCCTCTTGGCGGTTCCAAAAGACTCTCAATGCTTGTGGCTCTACAACATCCTGCAGCACTTCGGAAAGAATATTGCAGAACCATATTATGACATACGGGAGATCGAGTCCAAGCATTCGTGTTCCGAATCCGCGCCCCTTCTGGAAGCAGCGTATTCGCTCTAGCTTCTCTTTCGTGATCCCGAAGGCGGCAATATTTGCCTCGTGAGGTTTGGATCAAACCTGGAGCGCCAAGCGAGGCCAAAGGGAGCCGCCGCGAGCGTGCTGGCCTGAGGTGGTTTGTAGTCAGGAACCTTTTCGACAGCATGCAACAATGTGCATGATGTAGCATAATGTAGCACAATGTAGCATAATGTAGCATAATGTAGCATAATGTAGCATAACTGTGCAGGACCACGGAATACCACCCTTGGAATATGCATTGTCGTGCATTCGAGAGTTTAGGACTTGCGGTGATTGTTGCTCTAACCTTGTACCCAGAAGCCCTCGCAACCACTTGCCGCTTCTCCAAACACCCCTACGACAAGAATTCGACCACCAAGGTTAGTTCCCACAGCCAGTGGGTTCGTGTGAGACCCGTGGCCCAGGAGTCCTCGTCATGCATTGATCTCCAAATCTGGTTACGTAGACTGTGGACGGGTACCAAGTAGGGCGTATTCAAAAGTGTTTGGAGAGATCACCCAATGGTAAAGCGGGCCTCCTTAGCTTTCTGGAGAATGTGGACAGCATGTTTCACAGTCCGCCTGCCAGCGTCATGAACCAAACTCTTGAGTAGACCCTGCACAACATCATTTGGCGTGACGATTTCTTGGGATCGTTTCTAGTTCTAGTACAAGAGCAATGACGATGTCTTGACTCAGCATTGCCTCGCTGGGGATGTAGCAAACATCCATGCCAGAGCTCCATGCTCCGTGTCCCTTCCCGAGCGCGGCGAACTCTTTCGCAGAGGGACAAAGAGTGGCAGAGCGCATTGCAGCAGACTTGTGCAAGACCACTTCATTCGGCGAGCCATCAGCTTCCCGTGGTGGGTGTGCTGCATAGTCCCGCTGCAAAATTGGCCAACAGCTGCGCGGGGGCTTATGGAGGGGGCCTTCCCCTGTGTCCCTGAGCATACTTTTTGCTTGATGAAGGCTGGTTTGAAGAGATCGAGTCAGACATAGTCTAGTCTTGATCTAGTCATGTACAGGATTAAGAGAAATAGCTGGAGAGGAGCAGAGGAATCCGTCTTGTCAAAGGCTCACAGCCAGCAGAAGCTTTCGGCGGCCGCCTGTCAGAAGGAGCGCTTGATAAAGGTTGCCATATGTGCAGTCGCAGCCTGCTGTTAGATGCAGCTTGCAATTTGAGCCTGGGTTTGAGGGAGGGATGCCACTTCCCTTAGCTGCAGCATGCTGACAGCTGTAAAGTCGACGGGAATGCTGCATGCCTCGCGGCAGGCACCCACAGCCAAACTTGCAGAAGTCATGAAAGCACATGCCCTCAAAATATACGTGTGCACAGCGACGAGTCGTTGCCGCTGCGTAGGTCTCCTTGGAAACGTGTGCTGTTCTTTGGCTCGCATACCTAAGTTATCTGTCGTTGCGGGCATGACTTCCAGAAAAGCTAGTTGATCTTGCCCCACTTGCCCCACTTCCCCCACTTCCCCCACTTCCCCCACTTCCCCCACTTCCCCCACTTCCCCCACTTCCCCCACTTCCCCCACTTCCCCCACTTCCCCCACTTCCCCCACTTCCCCCACTTCCCCCCAAGCTCCAGAAACCATGCCGTCAAGATGATCGGGGCCCATCGTGTGAGCATTGTAGTTGCAAACGGGGGTGCCCCCCCCCCCCCCCCCCGGCCCTCTTTCATCTTGCAAGCCTGCATATCATGTAACACGCAAACGAAAAAGCAAACATGCCTCAGTTCATTTCGCATGCTTTTTAAGGAGCAAGAGAGCTCGAGCTCATCTTCGAACAGTTGGGACAGGATCGGTGGCCAACCGTACCAGTTTTGCGAAACTTCGGATGCCGTTGTCATGTGAGCCATGATGCCTTCATGATCACCGTTCCATTCTGTCTTTCCCGAAGCCACGACAGGTTCAAGAATGTTTCGGTGAGGGGCACAGACAAAGTGCCATAAACATTATAGGGGGTGCCAAGTGCCGTTCAAGGAAGCTGTGTGAATGAATGCGGCTGATGGCACGTGGCACCTGCGTCGTGTTATCATTCGTTACAGTGAGACAGGTGGGAGCAGTTTGGGCGCCCGCTTCTATTTGCGTCACTTACTGCCGGTTTGGAGGCAGCGAAATCCTCAAGTAGTAGTTGTGACGGAACACTCGAAGTTGGACCACCCACAGCTCCTTGCTGAATGGTCGAGTGGTGAACGGTTCGAGATATCACTTAGAAAGATGAGGCCGAGACAGATCGAGGACTTGCTCAATCTGCAGAGAAATTCGGAGTCACCAAATCTTTACCTGAGGCATGGTGGGCCAAGGGTGTGGACTGAACGTCGGAGCGTGCAAGGATTGTGGCAACCTTCCCCAGAAGCCATGTTCAAAGCCTTGAAATTTGCTCGTGAAGCGTCCTGGCTTGGCCAGAAACACCAAGATCTCAAGTACTCATCTCAGACGCTGAAGCTTTGCCAGCAGCACCTGCTGGAAAAGAGAGGACGTTGGGGAGATCAGTCCCAGCATCCGAAAGGCTTCGACCGACACGTTCTTGAGGATGTGCTGAACCGGCCTTTCATATCTGATTCTGTGGATGTTGAGTAGGTTGCGAGTAGTTCACAAGTAGTTCACTGTCTCACCTCTATGGCTCGAAGCCCGTCGCTTCCATCGGATCCTTGGAGGGAGTGTGCGTCTTGAGCAGGGAAGAGATGCATCCACAGTTTCGGTGCAGGTTCTTGCCGTCTAGACCTAGCGAGACTTGTGGGAGTGGGGTGGCCTGCTGATTGTTCCGCACGCATGTTGTTCTACAGGTTCCATAGTTGCAGGAGTCTTTCTGAAGGGGGGGTGAAAGACAATGTGGCAGGACGCCGCGGAGCAAACTGGAGTCTCGAGGTTTGCAAATGCGGCTGGTGAATGCCCGAACCGGAGGCCAAACTTGTTGCTGCATGGAGCAGACTGAACAGACGGTGGTTCTTTGACAATGTCTTGGCTGACAGGGTACACGTCCAGCACCGAAGTGACAGATTGTCAGGCAGCGGCCAATGATCAACCTTCGCTGCTTGCACGTGCATGCAGCTTCTCTTGTAGAAAGGTGCCCTCTGCAAACACACTACCCACTTCGGCCGCCGCTCTGATCTTATCTTGTCTGTGCTCTTGATGTGGTCTTTACACCTCTTATCTTGTTGTTACGGTCCCGCCGCCTCGGCTATGTTTTTGAGTCAAGGGACGGGGCAGGGAAAAAGCTGTTGCATGGGCTTCAGTCGCAGCTTGAACGGCTGAGGACGATGCTGAGCACTCCTCCTTGGAGTGTATGTCTCGCGACGATGCGTCGGCTTCGGAGAGCCCTTATCAGGACAGGCATGTAGCACCGATGTAGCACTCATGTAGCAATTGTCAGCAGCAGACAGCTTCCGAAGCTCTGCCAAAGGCTACGACGCCTGAGCAAATGCTATCCTTAGCTTTGGGCCAGACGTTTGGCAGCACGAAGCCTTATCTGCTGGCGTTCATCTGGGGCATTGTTGTGTCCAGGTGGGTTGAAGTCGTTTAAGTGATGTGGGGCAGGGATCGCCTTCACTCTTCCAGTTCTGGTAGAGGACGTAAGAGCTGAGGCCAGAGCACTGGTCGTTGAGGCGCGGGGAACCAGACCAGAGTACCGTGGCAGTGCTCGAAGGGCGCATGGCGGGAGTAGTGGCGCGCACCTTGAGACGACGTAAAACGAGCTGTGCACAAGCAGCACCACAGCAACACCATGCAGCATAAACTTCTGATCTCCAGGAAAACTCGTCAAAGCTTTGCCGAGCTGTGGGCCCGCAACCAGCACCTTGTGGCCAGCTGCGCTGCGACTTTGCTGCTTCGTGGCGCTTCTTGATGCCTCTATGTCCGGGCGGCTTTGTCTGGTCCAGACGCCGCAGCTCTCTGACCTTGCACCTAGCCGTCGTTCCACATCGCCGCTGCCTCGCCAACGGACCAAAAGGTCAGCTCACAGGAACAAAAGGGGTCCGGAATTGCGCCGTAGTGTGCAAACATGATAATGAAACGTCTTCTGCAATCTCCGCGTCACCTTCATCACCAAAACCCTCAGACCTCGCTGACCTCTCGCTTGACCCCGGTTTTCTGTCTGGGGGGGGGGGGAGGTTCGCACGTGTTGCATACTCGGGTGAAATGAGGACACACGCTGTAAATGGAGATTTGTGCATTGACATGTTAGTGTTGCCTTGTGTTCCGGGAGCTGGACCGGTTACAGATCCAGGCTCATTGAGTCATTGTTTTGTGGGGTTGGCACGCTTCAACTTCAACTGTGGTGTTGTTTTGGAAGCCTATTTTTTGGTTTGGATGAGAGCGCCTTGAATTTCTCAACATGTTCTGGTGCTTGGGTGGGGTTTTGGGAAAGCAAACCTGGCGCACTTGGGTACTCTTTACGTCGCTGATTTGCAGGGTCTCGCTGCATCTCCTTGTGTGTGCATCATGCCAGGGAGAGACCGACAGTTTGTGCCAGAAGCCATGAACACGGGAATTGTCGTACCCTTGGACACAAAATGACACAAATGAATTGTCCATGGAAGCCGATCCAAACATCTTCTGCGGTTTTCAGCAATTATTTGAGGTTTGCCTTGCGTGTTCTTTGTGCTCCACAACCGCTGCCTCTTCGGAGATACTTGTGGCTGTTGCCACCATGTCAGCCACCGGCTAAGCATCCTGGGGCGTCCACCTTCGACGGTCACGGCAGAACTTTATAGATTTGCAGATTACAACAGTAGAGGAGCAAGCAAAGAGTGTGCTGCAGCGTGTTGTGCTGTTTCTTGAGGCCACAGAAACTCTGCGACTATGCAGCGGTTCCAGCTACTTGGCGTATGATGATCGAGATATTGCCGACACAAATTGCTCTTCCTGCAAGGTTTGCGAAATCTGACGCAGTTCCAAGCTCGGTTGTGCAGTCTCTGCACCGAGCGCCCAGTGCGTGTGTCGTGAAGCCCCGAAACCTTGGCAAGGTGCGGCAAGCACTGGGAGCGGATCAACTTTGTAAGCGCCAGGTTGGGTCTGGCACATGATGGCACATGATGGCAAAGTGCAGGTTATGATGGTCACATTGCACGTTGCCTTTTTGCAGCTTGTGTCAAGTCACCAGAGCAAATGTGCTTCCGACCAATGCTGCCGAAACGTGGGCCTAAGTCACCTGCATGCGTCGTGTCCCTTCACGGTCGCACCGAAATCATTCATCCATTGGTAGAGCCTCGGCAGTTGCACACTTTGGCTGTCAGGGCATCGCAGGTTCGGAAGGGTTGCCACAGCCACCGGCACTCGCGACGCGAAGTACAGGGGCGCGACACTTAGTGCCGATGTCAAGAGCGTGCTGAAGCTTTGAACGCCCTTGTGTCATCGATACATGTGAAGGTTGGAAGCAGTGCAGGGGCATGGCAATCCGTCCGCACCTTGTTCACATGTTGCCCTTTCACACCATGCTTTGTTCAGAATCTGGATATCCACCAGGATCTCAATACATGGCTGGATGACGTGGACCAAGGACACCTAGGGGCTTTTGTGTTTGTCTGCTGTTGCTGCATGATGGGAGCGTCTTGAAGGCAGAGGGCTACTCAACCAGTGCTCCACACAGTGGAAAAAAGCAAAAGTGTGCTGGTCTTTCTGACCCATGCGCACGGTCTGCGTAAGTCGATCGTGATGTGTTTATCTCTTTCGTTGCACTGTTATGTTTGAAGTCCGGGAAACCCTTGCGCAGACATCATTGTACACTTCTTGGCTACCACATTGCCAAAGGTACCGGGCTCGCGTGTTGGCGCATTTCGACTGCTTGCAGCAGGCCAGTAGCAGCCACAAATGTTCACGAACTGGACTCGGTCATACTCCGTTCGTTGTTGTTCCCCATGCATGTGGTCTTGCATGAGATACTCGACTTATATGTGGTCCGGCGGCCGGATGGCCGCTGGGCGATGGATCAGTCGCGGGCTCGATTTGCCCGACGCCGTGGGGACGAGTCGTGAAAGAGTCTTCCTTGAAAGTCTGGCTGAAGGCTCTTCTTTGACGACATCAAAATTCAAAAGGCCCCGGCCCTTATCCTCTCGACATGCCTTGATTGATTGTCGGTGTTCAATAAGGTCGGCCATCGACGGCTTTTCGAGAAGTGGTTTAAAGATCGATGCTCGGACTGTGATCGCAGGGATTTTGTTGGTGATGCTGCCTACAGTTCTGGGCTGAGTGCGGAATCCGTTTAGAGGCGGCCTGGTAGTAGCACCGTAGCATGATGCAGCAATGTAGCAGGGTGTCGTTTGTGAGGCCATTGAGCTACTGAACAACCCGTTCCCTCTTCAGTATTTGGGGCAGACAACCATCATAGCATGCATTCATCCGTTGTTTTTTTAAAATTCCCGCATGGTATGCCTGCAGCTGTGTGGTGAAGAACTTGTTCCAATTCCTGGCCATACCTGCAGCACTCATGCAGCTCACACCCAACACATTTTGCAGCAGGCCAGCTTCGCATGGGTGATGTTCTGACCTGGCAAAACCCATTCGCAGGGTTTCCCTACAAAGATAGCTGCTGAGGCGCCTACGATATGACATGAGCCGCCAAGCCTAAACTTCCGAAAGCTGCTCTGCTGCTGCGTTGAATTGCCCTTGTAGGCTTTGGCCTCACAGCTCGATAGTGTTTAGGTGAGGTTCTGTAGTAGGACAGCTACGAAGTGGATGTGGTAGATCATCTAAAGGATCGTAGCTCACATGGCGAAGCAGCAGAATGACCGCACTTCGGATCGATACTGGAATCACACTTCTGGGCTGTTCTGGGAACAGAGGCAGATGCATGCAGATGCAACCCTCTTTCAGGACTAGCCTCAGATGAGTTTGGACCGTGAGCGCTTTGAAGACTATCCATCTGGCCGTTGCGCCGTTGCGAGTTAGCAGTTAGGCAGACTCACAGGGTCTCGGCAGGATCGGTGCGGATCGTTGAATTGTGCCTCGCAGAAAGACAAGCAATATCAAGCAACGCAAGTCTCCTGATGACATTCCATCGTGCCTTAAGTTCATCTTATCCTGCCAATTCTGAAGCTGCCGTTCAGGCAGGCAGAGAGCTTTTCGCACAGGACGTTTCAAAGACGGTCCACCAAGGCCTTAGCAGTTTTAGCAGTCGAGTGTCAGCACGCCCTCCAGGAAGAATGTCAGGCAGGTCAGGTGATCTTCCGGCGCCCAGCCGCGAGCCTCACCGTGGCCGAACGGCGATCGTCGAAATTTCTGGGGCTCCACACGTAACCAGGAGCACGAATATATGGGGACAGGCCATGCGCACGTTTAGTATCGTGGCCCGCACCCCATTCTTTGTAGAAGCGCACTCCTTTATGTGTGCCACAGCAGAGGAGAAGTATGGGAGGAGCAACTGCTCTCTCTGGGCGATGTGCCCAATGATTTTACAACCCGGCCCGGGCAATCATTTGCTCGTCGGCCGGCATACGATGTCAATCGCAGAAAACCCACCATGTGCTGGTGAAGCCCCTTCCGCCGAGCTGGTAGAATTTCTCAACCCAATGAAATTCCAGAAGCAGAGGAAACTGTTCGAACATCCCCGTTTTGAAGCAGTCATTTGGGGATTGGGCACTAGTCGGAATCTCTGCGGGAGACTGGGTGGAGACGTTGCTCCTCACCCAGCCCCACGGTGGACTCCCTGCTATGAGGGTTTGGGAGAGGGGACGCCCTGAACGCTCACCGGCTCGCCAACAGAGGGCACGGAATCCTATCTGGGGTGGGCACCGCTCCAGGAACTCTGCGGGATTCACTGGGGGATGGTCACTGCGGGTGTACGCCGCGGATTCTCCAAAAACAGGTGCTCTAAAGATCTCTAAAGCATTCTAAAGCCTAAGGATACTCCGCCGGCTTTGCCTCCTGGGATGCTCTGCGCCACCCCACGCCCAGGCTACGGAGAAAAGGGCATCGGTCATTTTGCACACCTTTCCATGGTGTGGCCAAAACGTGGGGCGAGACAAGGGACGCACCTGCTTGTTTTGCCGAAGTGTTGCCTTTGTGTTTTGGTTCGTTTCCGAACCTGCATATTGCTGACGGGTTTGTTCGATCTTACTGTAGTTTCGTCTTAAGAATCTCCGGGAATTCGGCTGATAAGGGGCTTCACAGCTGTGCCAGCAGAATCTGCGGCATGAATTCATGTTCTTTCACGGCTTCTTCTCGGGCCTGGGCCTTCACATTGCCTTGACCCACTAGTTGCGCCAGATCTTGGCGCTTCTGCCCTGTGCATATTCAGTGCATATGTGTCTGGAAAGAGGGCATTGTCTAGACTTCGACGATGTCAACATTCAGGCACATCAACATGCATGTGCTTTTCTTTGTACGCAGACTTTATGAACCAGCGTCCCTTCCTGTTTGCTCCCCACCTATGTCCAGTGTGCTGCGAAGCGTAGTGCTGCGATTAGTCATACGGTCAGTGTTAGCTGCACAAAGACTTACATGCGCAGGCCATGCAAGGTGGCAGAGCACGGGATGCTCAAGCTGTGTCACACCACAAAAGTTGTCGAGAGACTTGCGTTGCAACACTGGAAAATGGAAGGCTAGTTACTGCTAGTTCTGCTGCTTGGCGCCTCATTCGGTGGTGATCATGAAGGCCCATCGGTTTTGCAGGGCGTAATTCTTGCCGCTATGTTTGCTGTGGCGCTCACAGCTTGCAGCTTGCCTTCTACAAACTTATTTGGCTGAGACAATCTTGTGATCTGACCCAGTATCAGTGTCATCTCAACAGTGTCAACCATGCAAGGGTGGCTTTAGCACTTCAGTTCCGGGGTGCTTCCGATGGAGTCCGCTCCTGCCGGTGGGGGTCTATTCCGAACTGATGGCGGGCTCAAGGTCTCCTCTGGGCTCGACATTGACGCTGAGGTTCAAGAAGCTTGGTCAAAAGTTCGAAGTGGCGAAGCCACATGGCTCCTTATGGGCTATGAAGGAAAGAGCAGGCTGAAAACCCTGGCTTCAGGGACCGGCTGTGCTGGGCTTCTCTCAAACATCGCAGATGACCAGGTGGTTTTTGGAGGCCTTCAGACCAAGGCTGGCAAGTTCCTATGCCTCATGTGTACGGGTGCGGACGTCGGTGGCATGGCTAAAGGCCGTGCAGCTGCGCACAAGAATGCGGCTTTCAACGCTCTGGAAGGTACAATCGGTGAGGTTTGCGCATTGTCGAAAGACGAGTTTAGTGAACAGTTGGAGAAGATAGATTTCTGAGGCTGTTTGCTGCAGTCCAAAAAGAACCTGGCCGTGAAGTTGCAACAAGCTTTGCGTTTGTGGCTGGGCCCCTTGCCGTCGGTGTTGTCTCACCATTCGCGTGTCCGAAATGCATTCGCAAAGCCAGCCGCCAACCCCACCATCCGGCCCCAAAATCTTGATCATTTGGGCTTGGAGATGTGGGTGCTTGCAAGGGTGTGGCACGAGATGTATCCGTGGCCTAGCACTGATGCGCACTTGCATCGTCAGGACATGTCAAGACGGCCAACAAGCGGTAGCAAACAAACAGCAGCCAACAAAGCATGATTAGAGGAGAGCTTGCGGCAGAGAGTGCACACGGCCACAATCACTATCAAGTTATCGTCAAGTAAGCAAATGTGTAAACCAGCTTTGGGGCAGCAGCGCAGCCCTTGCCTCCATAGACAGTTCCTTCGATGGACGACCGTCGGCGGGTGCTCCTAGTTGGTGACGCGGAGGGAAACCTGACTAAGCTCTACACGCAGGCAGGATGACATGGATGGACATGGACATGCCTGCCAGCACTTCCTAGCTTAGGTAGCTTCTCCGCGCTTTGAACGGGCTCCAGCTGAAGCTAAGAAGCATGCAAAGAACCAAGTAGCTGTCAACTCAATCACGGAACGAAGTGGCGACGAGCTCTTGCACTCTGTATTTGTACAGGTGTGCCTGTGCTTGAAGAGGGCAGAGAGCAACAGCAACACCAGCAACAATCAGTGAAACGCTGGCATTATAGCTGCCACTCCAATGCCGAAGCTATCCTTTGCAGTGGCAGAGGACGAGGCGACACTTCTGACCGTCATGACCCGTGGCCTTGCCACTGATGTCGAGGTCCCAATGGGCAAAGACCTTGGCTACGCGAAAAACAGAGCAATCGATAAGCTTTGGCAGAACATCCCTTTCTGCCATGCTGTTGCGGCGTTTCTCAGCCTAGCACCCATGCAGTAGTTTTGAGATGCGAGAGCTGGCTTTGGGATTTGTTGGAATCGTGTAGCGTCTTCCTGTTCTGTGCTGTTCCAGAGCGCGTGCATGAGGTTGTCGGGCCTCCGCATTTTTGACACCGAGTCCGGCGAGGAGCTGCAAGAAGGAGAGGCTGTGAAGGACGGTATGAAGCTACTTCTGGCGCTGGAGCAGCCCACTGAAGGGGGGGCGTCCGCGGCAGCTTCTGCCTTCGCATCGGTTGTTTCTGCTGTCGGCCGGCATAAGTTGGGCCTTGACAATGCCACGTGCCTTGGTCCTCCTTGTTTAAAGGGTTCGAGTAGCAGCTGAGTAGCACTCGACAAATAGGGCCGCGCTGGTTTCTTCCTTGGACAAAAGCAAGGCCGGGCCGCGAGGAGCTTGCGAAGCTGTCCTTGAAGGAGCTTAAAGCGCGACTAGCGGAAGCTGGGCTTTCTGCAGAAGGATGTCTGGAGAAGAGTGATCTGGTGGACCGCCTCTTGGGAGCCCGTGGGTGAAGCGCAGCTACTAGCTGTTACTAGCTGCAAGCAGCAGTGTGGCAGGGAAAAAAATGCGCGAGGATGCGCTCCAGGGCTAGCTATGGAGAGCGGGGGATTTGTTAGGCGCGCCATGCAGGTCGAAACTCAGCAGAAGAAAGTCGGCCAGTTCAATGCTCTATTTGCTGCGGGCGCGTGCAGCTCTTAGTTCGACTGCCGCGGCGTCGGCGTCGTCCAAGGCTTCTGCGTTTGTCTTGAGAGTTCTCAAGTCTTGTTCCCATACTATACATTACTATTTCAGAAGTTTCAGCAGTGCAGCTGCCTTTGATCAGGTTTTTGCCGAGTGCGGGAGACAAGGAGGTGCTTCTGACTCCAGGGGTCACAGATCATTGAGCCTTGAGATGAGAACAATTGAGGCAGCGGCCGGTTTGGCCGAGTTCGTTTCGGGCGGCCGAAAGGCCCTGTGGGTCACGGCATGCACAGTTCGAATCACAGCTCTTGAAGTCAAAAGTCAAGCAGAACTTCTTGGGGAATGCCCTCGAGCCCTGCAGATCCCCATCGACACCTACTTCATAGACAGCAAGAGTGCTGCCTTTCTACAGGCCTTTGGAAGCAGACCCAAGGCTGACCGAAGGAGGTTGCAAAGAGCCGTGGGCCCTGGACAGGCAGCTCCAGATGGCAAGCAGCTTTGCGAGCTTCAGCCTCAAAGAACTTCGAGAAAGCCCGTGTTCATCTTGCCACCTTTAAAGAATGGCACCGGCTCAGGAACTTGAACTTCCTCGGTGGTTTTGGGGTGCGCGGAACCAAAACCAAACTCGGCGCAAAGGGAGACGTGATGCTGTCCCCAATCGATAGGTTCGCGAAATCCACGGGTTGACGGTAGCTTTCCTTTCTGGGCCTGGACCCAAGATGCAGAGGGGCAGGAAGCGGCGTTGTCCAACTTGTGTGTGCGGCCTGCTCAGACTGGCACATGGCTCGAGCCAAAGCCTAGAATCCTAGAAGGCTTGCTTTGGAATCGCTGTATGCACTAGCAGTCACGAGCAGATGCCGGCATTGCCAGCTTGGGCGTACTCGCACTTCTTTTGCCAGATTATTTAGCTTATGCTTCCATCTTTCCATGCCAAGCTCCTCCGGCCCCTGTCCTGGACACGGCGGGCATCAAAGGTCCAGATCGCCCGAGGTGGTAATGTGGGGCACCCGGGTGTTTGTTATGCGTTCCCACCATCATCATCATCATCATCATCATCATCGTCATCGTCATCATCATCATCATCATCAGCATCATCACCACGCACGTTCTCATTCTCCGAGGTGGGTTGGGTTTCCAAAGCCTGTGCGGCTCCTTATGTCAGCCTCGCGGCAGTTGCGAGCCGCCGAGCCTCGTCAACACTTCTTTGCACACAGCCTGGCACTTCGTGGAACCTTAAATCCTTCCAAGGACTCAGGCAGTTGGTGAGACAACGTAAAGCCCGCAGTCGGCTCCGTGCGACTGCAGATGAAGGCCCGGAGGCAGATCTTCGGATGTCGCGTGGTGTTGAACTCTGTTAATTGTAGAAGCACACATAGAGGCTGTTTCCGCATCTGTTTGCAGGAATTCTCCGGCAGCAGTTGGACCTAACTACCCCGTATGGCAGTGTGGAAGTGGTGGCACTCAAGCCAGCCGCCGTGTCCGAACGGCGGGTCCCTGCGGTCGTTGTGAACGTGGGGTGCTACTACACCCTTGCCGAGACCTTGGAGAGGGCTGAAGGACCCAGGTACATCTCCCTGGACTGTGCTTACGTAATTTGGCGGGCTACTGGACCCATTGAGGAGGTCGCCGATTTAGTTTTCCAGAGGTGGCAGGCTGATGCCGCAGTCGTGTTGGATTGGCTTGGCCAGCAGACCTGGTGCAATGGGAGGGTCGGATGTCATGGCTACAGCCTCCTTGGAAACACATCTTATGCCACACTGGCAGCTTCCCATGCAAAAGATGCTCCAAAAGCTCGTCCCCTGGTCTGTGCTGTGGTTCCGGTCATTTCCTTCTCCCGAATCCACCCCACGGTCTTCGTGAACGGGCAAAGTCTGGCAGCAGAGCTTGCTTTGCGCTTCATCTGGCTGGCAGAGGTTGGCTTGCGCCAAGGCCGCCAGAACGGCTTTGGCTTCTTGTGGAACATGTTCCGATTCTTCTCCTTAGAGGATTGGCCCGGTCTGAACCAGGCTCTGGCAAAGCGCCCGGTGAGCGAGGCAGATGTCGACCTCTGGGGCCGGGCCAATACCTTGTGGCGTGGTGGTCAGTTTGCACGTAGTGCTGCCGATTCCTTCTGGGCAGAGGGTCGTGATGTGCAGTGTCACTTTGCGGACTTTCGTGAGCTGCCACACATCCACGTCATGGCGGGATGGAACGACATGTTCCTAGCTCAGAGCCTGCATGACTACCAACTTGCCAGCAAAGCCACGAATGGCGCGGCGCAGCTGACCATCTTCACTGGAGGGCACTTCGGTGTGGTGGTGAATCACGGGCGCAAAGTCGCGGAGGAGACAAGGCAGTGGTACCGTCAATATTTGACTGACACGAGCACTGCCACACCGCACGCCGCAGTGCGAATGCAGTTGATCCATGACGAGAATGGTGAGAATGGTGAGAATGAGTCGGAGGAGTGGTTGGAGTGCGACACCTGGCCTCCACCCTCTGAACCGAGGCACTTCTTCTTTCAGGAGAAGGATTCTGACCTGGGCACCGGCTTGCTAGTAGGCAGCCTCGGAATCCCAGGAGATGCCGGATTGCTGACATACGTATATGATCCGAAAGATCCCACGCCCTATGCTGGCGATGGTTGGCTGAACCTCCAGAAGGATGGAGCCCAGGATCAGAGATCTTTCGAAAACTCACGGTCACGAGATGTGCTCGTTCTCACCTCTCCTCCTTTGGAGCAGCCGTTGGAGATTGTTGGTGAGGTCTCCGCATCCTTGTTGCCTGGACTGAAAAGCACCCTGCGTTCGAAGTATCAGGCTGAGGGCTAGTCACTGGTAGCCACCAAGGATCAGTAGTAAAAGGCACTTCGCCGAGTGCCAGCCGAGGTACGTAAGTTGCTCCGCCCCGGAGTGTGATCTGATCGTGCGGCTGTGTGCTGTCCGGCAGACATCAAGCGAGTGGGGATTGGAGTCTGGACTCTTTGATCGAATCGTCGACCCGCGTGGCCTGGGGCGTGGCCGTTCCGCGACTTGTCTCTTCTGCTTTGTGAGTTTGGCACGCTGGATGAGTCCCCCTTCATGTCCGCAGCTCAGGTGAATTTGTGCGAAGGCATCGTGCGCGTGAAGTTTCAGAAGGAGAGGTATCATGGGTGTTGTCTAGGTACCTGGGAGTTGCGAGTCGTCACGTGCCAAGACCCTTGCCCATTGTTAGGACTCCGTGGTTCATGCGCGGATCCTTGTTGGACCGACAGCCTGCCGTTTCAGCCCCGGCGACTGTGTCCGCCTCCACGTCTGTTCTGCTGCCCACCCGCGGTGGCTACGTCACCCACTTCAAGATCCTCAAGAGGATTGGCTTCTCGGAGAAACAAAGGCCTTGGCCTCAGGCAGTTGAGAGTTGAAGATCCCAAGGGTGATGGCCAAAGCGATCTCATGTCAAGGTTGGACCTCCTGCAACTATAACGGTGTTCGCCAGCCCTGACTATCCTTCGTGTGTGAGCCTCCCTGTGCGCACAGCGGCGGTGCGAAACTGCACGTCACCAGTGTAGTGCACCAGGTGCGATGTGTCGGTGGCACGTTTTCACGCTTCTCAAAGCTTAGAAGCTCGTGGCCACTACACCTGAGATCACGGAGTCTGCCAGCGAAAGAGAAGAACCATCACGAAGCCCACACTGCATTGTCAGTCTATTGCTCCAAACCATAGACTGTCCATCACCGACCAGACCGCTTCAAGGAGCTATGATGCAGCCACGTATGCCAAGCCGGATGCCGCCTCAGAGCTTGGAGCTTGCTTTCAGCATTCTGTCCCACTGCACATATCACGTGGATTTCGATGTGAAGAAGCATCTGACAAGCTCGAGATTACAAGGTAGCTCACATGCAAAAGTTGAAGTGGCCTTTTTAGAGGTTCGTAGAGGAAGCGAAGCGCCCACTTAGGACCATAGCAAAAGCGACTGCAAGGTGGCCCCTCCGGGCTCTTACAACCAACAAGAAGGAAGCCTACTTAGTAAATGACACCTTCCTCAATGCAACAGACGTGCTGGCCCCTGGGACCCTTAAATGCTCGCAACGTTGTCTCAGGGGGGGTTGTCTCTCTACGAATACTGCTGGCCAGTTTTTTTCTGTTATTTTAAGGGGCTGCGCCCATGGGCGGGCAGCGCAGTCAGAAGCGCGGGGCGAGCAGATCCGTCAAGGGTTTAGGGTTTAGGGTTTAGGGTTTAGGGTTTAAGGTCTTATGCCCGCCCTTTGGGGGGCATCATGCTCCTGATGCGCCCCCGGGTCCCGCCCCGGGAGCCGCTGATGCTCCTGATGCGCGCCTGGGGGTCCCGGGCTGGACCCGCTGATGCTCATGATGCGCGCCCTCTGGGGGCTTCCGTGGCGACGCAAAAAACCACGAAAAAAAAACCGTTCACCGGCGGCACGCGGGGGTCGGCGGCACTGGCGTCCGGCCTAATCCGGCCCCCGCGCCGCCCGTGGTCCAGGGCGGAGCCCGCGTCGCACTAAAGCGCTAGCTTTAAGGGGCGAGCGCCCGAGCCGCCGACCCCGCCCAAAATTGCTTCAAATTCGCGCGGGGCCCTTCGGGAGGCCTCCGAAACGGCATCCAAGGGGACGCAACACGCGGTGGTGCGAAAAGCACGAAAACCTCGTAAAAACCATGGGTTTTTACGAAAAACCGAGGCCACAAAACACCCGCAGCACCCCATTAAACCCTCACGGGCGCGCATCATCGACCCTAGCTTTTCACATGGGGCGCGCGCCAGGCCGAAACCATGTTTTTCAAGGTTTGGGGGGGGTACCGGAAGCCCAAAACCAGGCGAGCATCATGAGCATCAGCAGCCCTGGCCCGCGGACCCAAGGCAAGAAAAAACGCTGAAAAACGCTGAAATCACCGTAAATACCGTGTTTTTATGAGGGTTTTCACGCGTGCCTCCGACCCCCACCCTTGTTGCCCTTGACCCGCCCCCAAAGTGCGCATCATCGAAACCCACGTCGGGGGGGGGTCTGCTGATGCTGCTGATGCGCGGGGTCCGGGTGCATCATCGAGCCATCGTTTCTCATGGGCTTCGTGGGGGGGTCCGGGCCCACGGCCCAGAGACCCAGCTGATGCTCATGATGCTCGGTTTGGGGGGGTGTTCCAACAGCAGAAAACCTCGTAAATACCGAGTGTTTTGTGGGTCCACGTAAAAACGCCCCTAAAATCGCTCATTTTACGCGCTCGAACGGCTTCGTGCCTACAAAACACCCGAACAGCAGGACCCCGAATGCCCTTAAGGGCATTCGGGGTCTTGCTTTTGGGGGTTTCGTGGGCACGCAAGCGTTCAAGCACATACAATCGGCGTGTTTAAGGGGGTTTTGGATGGCCTGGGGGAGGCCGCTGATGCTCATGATGCTCCCTTTCCTGGGTCCCAAAAGGCTTCCCAAGCCCAAAAACACGTGTTTACAGCGTTTTCTGAAGGTTTTTCGAAGGCAAAACGCATGCATAGAATGCTTTTAAGGCCCCCAAACCAACCCCACTGATGCTCCTGATGCGGGTGCGCGCGCGCGCGCGCGGCGCGCGCGCGCGCGGGGGGGGGGGGGAGGGGGGGGGTGGCGAAGGCAGGAGAAAGAGAGACAGAGAGAAGGAGAGGACAAAGACACGGGAAAGAGAAGACAGTGCCAAGGCTCAAGGTTTCGTGCTTTGGGGGGCGGGGGCCGGCCCGTGCCGCTAGGCCTGAAATTCTGCTTCGCAGAAGGCCAGAGGCCAGCAAGGCTATTCCCGGGACGACCCGGGCTAAAAGGTCCGCATTTGCTCGGTCCTTTGGGGACCTCGCGCTGCCCGATTTAAGGGCTAACGCCGCTGCCGCCGACCCCCGTGGAACCGGGGGGTCGGTGCGCGTGTGGGGTCGGCCCCTTCGTTGACTCATAGCTGTTTGGCACATTCCCTTTACGCATTGAGTTTCTCTAAGCATCGCAGGCTAGTAGGGCGCTTCTCGGTTTGGGTGGTGGACTTCGGGCTCGGGAGGAGTAGGGGGTAGGGGCAGGGCAAGCACGCACGGAGCGTTTTTGTGGGTTGGCGGTTCTGAACCCAACAAAAAAAGTGTTTTTGAGTTTTTTGGGGCCGGGAGGGGGGGGTGCCTGGTCGGGGGGCGGAAGGGGAGGGGGTGGGGGTAGGGGTCGACAGTCGGGTCGTCCGGGTCGCCTGGTCGGGGGGTCGGATGCGTAGGGGGTGCAAGGGATGGACTTCGGGTTTGGGTGGTGGACTCCAAGCTCAGGAGGAGTAGGGGGTAGGGGCAGGGGGGTGGGGGTGGGCAGAAGGGCCACCAGCAAGGAACGGGTTTGGGTGCTGGACTTCGGGCTTGGGAGGAGTAGGGGGTAGGGGCAGGGCAAGCACGCACGGAGCGTTTTTGTGGGCTAGCGGTCACAAATCGTCGGTTCTGAACCCGACAAAAAAAGTATTTTTGAGTTTGTTGGGGCCGGGAGGGGGAATCCCTGGTCGGGGGGTCGGGTGGGGGGGGGGTCCCCTGGTCAGGGCAAGGGTCGACAGGTCGGGTGGGTCGGGTCGCCTGGGGGTGGGGGGCGGAAAGGGCCACGGGGGGTGTGGTCCGGGTGGGGTTTGGGTGGTGGACTTCGGGCTCGGGAGGAGTAGGGGGTAGGGGCAGGGCAAGCACGCACGGAGCGTTCAATCGTCGTCACCCCCGACAAAAAAAGTGTTTTTGAGTTTTTTGGGGCCGGGAGGGGGGGTCCCTGGTCGGGGGGCGGAAGGGGAGGGGGTGGGGGTGGGGGTCGACAGGTCGGGTGGGTCCGGGTCTTCATGGCCAGGTGGGCAGGGGTAGGGGTCATGGGGTTGGGGCCTCCTGGTTCGGCTGGGGGGGTCCCCTGGTCCGGGGCGGAAGGGGAGGGGGGTGGGGTTTGGGTGGTGGACTTCGGGCTCGGGAGGAGAAGGGGGTAGGGGCAGGGCAAGCACGCACGGAGCGTTTTTGTGGGTTGGCGGTCAAAAATCGTCGGTTCTGAACCCGACAAGGGAGGGGAGGGTTGGCGGTCAGAAATCGTTGAGTTTTTTGGGGCCGGAGGGGGGGTCCCTGGTCGGGGGGCAGGGGGTCGACAGGTTGGGGTCGGGTTTAATGGTCAGGTGTAGGGGTGAAAAACAGGATCAAAGGAATCTGGCCCCATCAATTGAAACCATGGCGGCGCACTCGGCTTTGACTCCCATTTTCGCACGATCCCGAAAGAAGTATGCTGTAAGACTTGGGCGCTATGCCTCTTTGCACAGAAAAGCGATTTGTCATTTGTACATGTACGCTGTGCATAAGTCTTGGGAATTTTACACTGCTCAAGAGGCCTTTCGTAGCCATCCTCTGAGAAGCGGCGACACATCCATGCGTTCATCCTTCCATTCTTCTTCACTCCTCCTCAATGTCATCGCCAGGTGCACATTGCCCAGCTTCATAGGTGTCGCCACCGGTCGATGGACTGGGAGATCCTTGTTTTCGTTCGGATATGGTCCCAGTTCATATGCACTTTGTATGAGAGGGAACGCTCCCTCCACATCCACAAAACATACTTCATCTGCTTGACGGTGGGCCTCTCATAGCCATCCTCATCAACCTCCACTTGAAGACGGGTGGCCAATCTGCCCACCAACTCATTCTTCAGGCCCGATACTGTCATGTTTTCAGCACGCAGGCCATCTCTCAAATATTCCATCGTCATCACATTGATCAAGTCTCGACATACACGAACTCGCTCCACAGTCGAAACTTCATGATCTGTCCATGACGATGTCGTACTCCTTATCCCAGGAGACTCTCTCTCCTGTGAAATCGAAATTCTCAACCTCGGTGTACTCGTTCCTTCATGATCATCTCGTCTTACTCGAGGTTGCACTTGAGGCTCGTGATCGGAGTTTTCTGACATTGGTGTTCTGGAAGTCGTCGCTGATCCTCGATTTGCTCCCTCAATCTTTTGGAGCTCTCGCTCAATCGCCTCAGCTGTTGCTTCTTGCAGTTTCTGCAGGCGACGAAGCTTTTTGTCTCTTGGTCCTGGAAGCCAATCCGTTGCCACATTGACCAACAACCATTTTCCAACCTCCCAAATTGTCAGCGCCCCAATGATCATCACCAAGACTAGGCAGTATCCCACCATATCCCAATGCAGTCGCAGACGGTCGTCCTCGCTAACTTCGATCTGCTCAACCGCTTCGGTTGACACCACCAATAAGCAACATATCAGCGCTACCAGAATCTTAGTGGCAGCCCCTGTTGAAATTGCCGCTGTCTTGCTTGGCCCTTCAGTTGCTATTCCCCACAATGCCAAAAGGTCTGAAATTCTTGGTCCAGCTAAAGCCTTAGTTAATAGATCTGCGATTTGCACTCGCCCCGCACAGTGTCGACAGGTGACATATCCAGATTTCAGTTGTTCAAACAGCCAATTCGCCTTTATTCGCAGGTGTCTTGTTCTCCAGCTGCATCCTCCTCCTGCAATCGACAACGCTGAGGTACTGTCGGACACTATTTCCCGACTCGAAACGTGCTCACTCAAGTCCGACAATATGGCCTCCACACCCAGCATTCCCACTGTCCCATTGAGGATTGCAATCAGCTCGCTCTCCCCCGTCGATAGGGATATGATGCTTTGGCGGCTTGACCGCCATAGTATGGGAGTTCCACCCCACAGTACGACCCAGCCTTCGTGGCTTCGTGCTCCTTCCGGAGCATAAGCAGCGTCGCAAAACATCTGGAGGTTGTCGCCATTGAAAGCCACCCGCAAGCGAAGGTCTCGCGTTCTTTGTAGATACCCCAGAGCTCGCTGCCCCAAATCAATTGTTCGGAAAGGTGCCCGGCTGGAAAGACTGGCCATGAGGGAAGTCAAATACGCAACGTCTGGTCGACTCCGTTGAGCTAGCCATAAAATCTCTCCTGTCAGCTGCTGCGCATGTCTAATGGCTTCCGGTGAAGGCTCCTTGTCCCCCTCTATCGTACCAAAGACCGCTTGATCTCGACCCAAGGGAACCCGGCAGGTATGCGATGATGGCACCTGATGTAGACGAAGTAGTTCTTGTGTATAGCCTTCCTGTGAAATGCTGATACCTCCATCGACTTCTTGATGAAGTTCCATACCCAAAAACCTCAAGCTCACACCCCGTTGTAACAATCGCAGATCAGATGTGGCCCACAGGTTTTGGATTTGTTTGGAAAGCTCATGTATCACTGCCCTTTCTCCAGCCAGCATAAAGTCGTCCACATAAATCACGATGACTGCCCTTACATCTCCATTTCGAGCCTGCACAGTCCACCAACTTGTAATGGCGCGACCTTGCTTCACGTACCAGATGGCATCCTCAATGGTGACCGTCATGCCAGTTAGCTGTCGATCTCGGTAACTGCCCCAAAGCCGGGGCGCTTCCTTCAATCCATACAACGCACGGCACAGTCCCCATAGCTCCCAGTTGGCAGTGATTCCCAGAGTCTGTAGCAGTCGTGGTGGTTGGACAATGATGACTGGGTCCTTCTGATTCTCCCCGATGGGCGTTCGTAGGAATGCTGCCACCACATCCAGGATCGCCACACACCATCCTTTCTTGACTGCCAAGGCCAATGTGGCCCTAACAGCCTCCGCCGGCGCAGCCTCGGTGTAGACCGACTCACACACATTGTTGGCCATATTCCCACACACAACCAGCCTCGCCTTTCGTTTGTACCATGTCGATGGATCCGCAGGATTTGCATCATCCCGAGGCTTCACGGTGAACACAAACTTGGTAGGCAGCCGCTGCACACCAGATTTCCTGAACCATTGCTGTCTTTCAGGAGTACCAGGTAGGAGCTTGAGGATCGCTATCGAAACCGCATCCACCTCCTTTCTGATTGCTGGCTCCCATGCCTTTAGGTTCTCAAGTACTTCAGCAGGGCTAACGGTATGTGTCACGTCCAGAGGGCCTTGCAGATTTTTCAACACCAACTCAATCCCACGCGTGTGGCTCGCCTCGACCTTTTTTGCTTCTGCAGGAACTTCAACCTCGCTGGACTCAAGCAGTGGATCCAGGCACACTCTTCCATTCAGGGTGTCGATGAGGACTTCTGCACCATCATCCTCTTCAGCTTCCGTATCAGAGCAAGCGCACCTTTTCAGATTCACGTCTTCCTCTGGTCCAGCACATGCTTCTGGAAATTGCGACAACGGTACGACAAACCCCAGTTCCTCCAAGCGGTCGATGTCTTCATATGTCAACTTTCCCAGGGCATCCGGTGTGTAACCAATCAGAACCTGACGATTCCCACTCCAAGGCTGAATCTCGTGCCTCCTCCTCGCATTAAAGGAGTAAGACTGTCCTCTCTTGAAGGGAAAGATTTGCCCAAAGATCTGTTGCCCGTCAGGTAGATTTCTCAAGCTTATCGGACCTTGGACTACATCTCCCGGCTGAAGTTCAACCCATACTTCTCCTCCTCGATCAGGGACCATTATCGGGACGATATGATTCTCGGTCTTGAGGTCATTATTGACATCCTTATGCATGGCCTTTTCCACATTTCGAGGAATCCATATTGCCGTAAATGTAGCCGTGGGTTGTAATGCGGTTATAGTCCTCGCCAGCAGTTTCGTCACCTCTGGGTACTCTTGAGTCCCCTTCATGATCCCGACTACTCCTCCATGGCGATACACCCCAAACTTTCGCGTGTCGAAGAAGTTCAAGGCCCCCAATTCCTGAATCAACTCCAAGGCTTGCTCCGTATCCCAGTCCTGCAAGACTTCCCTTGCAGAGTTTGTCGCATACTGAGATACCTCTTCCACCGTCGGGTTCTTCACTTGTAGCTGACATTCACGAGGTGGCCCCTTTTCTCGAATTCTTCTCCTTGGTTTTTCCTCCAGTTGCGCTTCCAGCTCATGACGAGGTGGTCCTGGGTCATGAAGATGAGGACGGACGTGCAAGGTGTGCATGAACCCTCCCTTCTCATCGTCCTTGCCAGGTGGAACATAAACCAAGTGCCCCTTTTCCAGCAAACCACTCAAGCCAACATAGTAGCCTGACATCCATTTGGACTCTAGAGCGTCTCCCTTTCTCCTCGGTCCTTTGGCAGTGAAAGGTCTTCTTCTCAGATGAACCAACGATCCATACGGAGCTATCAACCTCGACTTCCACCCCAGAACACCTGCTCGCTGCTCTGCTGCTGCTGTTTCTGCTGCAGTTGGCCACAGTTCCAAAGGCAACCCACCTCCGGCCAGCAGTGTCCTTATTCGGTCCTTGGCCCATCTGACAGTTCTCTCGGCCTGCCCGTTGCTTTGTGGTGCTCCCGGTTCGCTCCATGTGCTTCTCACTCCTTGTCCTCTGAGCCAATCTCGGAAGGTTTTCGAGAAGAATTCTCCTCGATCCGCATGAAATCTCATCACCGGCATCCCAATGCTCGCCAGATACAGCATCACATCTTGAAGTGCAGCCCGAATCGTAGCGCTCTTGTTGTCTACCAATCCAGTTGCAAACACCAGATAGCTCATCTCCGGCGCCTCACAGTCCCCATGCAGCATAACCTGGTTAGGCTTTCCTCCAGGTGAGTGATCCTCCTCGCTAGACGAATCCACAACATTCTTCGCCTCGTACACCTCCTCGTCTGAAGTAGGCTCGTAGTCGACATCAGAGGGTAATGGAACTTGTGGTGGTGACTCTTCTTCGTCTTCCAGAACTAAATCTTCATGGTGGACTTCCGACAGTGGCTTCACAACTATATTTTCAATGCCCCTCGGAACTGCTTCGCGATGGTGATCTCGTTGTTGCTCTATGGGTTCCTCCACATCTTCTATGCCACCACCTTCCTGGTGTTGGCGCTCTTCCTCCCCGGAACTGCTTCGCGATGGTGATCTCGTGGTTGCTCTAGGGGTACCTCCACATCTTCTATGTCCTTTGACACCTTGGGTTCGGGTACAGAATTCTCCCCAGGCACCACTCCGCCACCGTAAGCCTTCAGGTACTCCTTGGGGAAGACGTACCGAGCCACCATAAGATACCTCATACTCTTTGTCAAGCTTCCTCGGAGTATCGGATCCAAGCCAGGTTTCAACGGCCCGGTCAAGTCCGAGGTCAATGTAAACGAGTCAGGATGACATACTCGAGCATGTCTTCGTCCCAATCCTCGAGACATCACACACGTCAAGCAGTCCCTCCGATATGGGTGGTGGTTGGCCTCAACATGTTGCCGCCATTTTTCTTCACTGAGTGCCATGAGAGAAGGTCCACGCTGCCACAAGTGAAAAGCGACACACATTGCCTTGACCAGACCCGGAGCCCATCGCGAAGTCCTTTCCTCGCCCTTGTCATTCTCCTCATGAGCTTCCCCGGTCTGGATCCCATTCAGCGCCTGGAGGTAGGGTATGTTCGTTCCCACTGTTGTTGGCATAGGACATTTCGATCCCATTCCCTGCTGGTCGAAGCTCACCCTGATCTGGGCAGACTCTTCCTCAAAGCTCCTCCACAGGTTGGTTTTCCACAACTCACCCCGCTTGGTGTCTTCGCCCGGATGCTCAAGAAGAAAACCCACTGTCCTCCTCCTGTTAGACGCCGAAGCACGAGTCAGCCTTCCAGCAGTTGCCACCACATGAAGCCAAAGCATCCGCGCAATCACTGTCATCGACTTTGTCGCTGTGAAGCTACCCTTCTGCAGCGACTCGATCAGACCCGAGCGGCCAGGTGGTCCTCCGAACAGTAGATCTATACGACCTTCGCGAGCACCCCACATGAGGACCTGCCACACCTTGGGACTCAACAAGTCTTGACCTCGACATCGGTCCACATCAAGCTCCAGAACCGCCGTGTCACCCCTTTCCAGCTTGAAGAACTCTAGGTGACTTTCCTTTCCCGCACAAAGATGGATCACCCATCGCTTGGAGGCCAAAAGAGTCCGCCGCTGCTGCCTTGTCAGGAAATCAAGTTGCTTCAGAACATCCCACCCCTTCTCGGGCAGTCTCTGCGGTATCATTCCACACAGGCACTCTCCCGGAATGTCGCTGAAGAAAGGTGCATCCCGTAGCGCTCTTAGACCTGGCTCCCGATCTCCCGAGTTCGTGTAATGCATGAGGTACTCGAACCACGATGTATTCATTGCAGCTTCCATACGAGTCAAGCGGTCCTCGGCCAAGATCGTCTCGTTCACCAGGCGCTCCCTCTTCCTTTCTTCCAGACGAGCAATGAGAGCGAGCGCTTCCGCCTCGCACAGTTGAGGGCAGCCCGAGGAGGTGTTCAGCTTCAACGCCTGCCCCTCGGGATCTATGAGTTCACATGCTTCAGGTGACCAATGGATCGTGTCGCCCAAGGTTCTCACCAGCTCACCCATAGGAACAATGGTTTGCCCTCGATCTTCCGCCGTACTGGTAGCTCTTGGAGGCATCAACAAAGTTCCAGACTTATTCATCCGCATTGACAAAGAGTGACTTCCTGCCAGCTGTACTGAAACCTCCTCTGCCTCAATCCACTCATCAGTACCCTTGGCCGTTCTAAGAGCATGGGTAGCTCCCGAATCCAGCAAAGCCGTTGCAGCCCTCAGAGACGATATCCTGATGTCCTTCACGATCAGGACCTTAGCGGAGGGGGCGGTCTTCTCCGGGCTTTTGTCACCATCTTCACTTGCCGCTGTCGCCTGGGATTGCACTATCTGCTGGGCAGCCTGAACCAGTGCATCCAGTGTCCATGGGACCCCTTGGATTGGGGCCGATGGGCTCGCATCCACTGCCACAGCTGCAACCTCCGCGCTTCCAGGCTTCCCGCCTGGTGTTGTAGTAGTGGTAGACGACGATGTAGGCCTGGACTTCGGGGAAGGCCGTCCGACTCCACAGTCCTTCTGTCTGTGGGCTTCGCTTCCACAAAGCAGACACTTCTTCGCTCTCGTCTCCCTGTCCAAGCTTGCCATGCTGTGCGAGTAGTTGCACCGAGCACCCCTTCTGCAGCCACTCGGTTTCAAGAAGTAGCGACAGGCTTCGGATGCCCCCTTTTCTCTGCCCTTTGCACCTCCTGGGCTTCCAGCCTCCACCGCTCGAACTTTGGGTCCACTCGCCTGAGGAATTGCCGCCGAGCTCAAGGTTTCCAGTTCCGCTTGAAGATGCCGTTGATATGCCACCACCTGGTCCAAGGTCGGCTGCGCATCCAGCCTCAGGCTTGTCCTCAACATCGCGGTCCGAAAGGCCGAGTCAGCTGAACTTTGAATGTGCTTCGAGCTCAGCGCTGCTAATCCCTTGACCAGGACTGAGGCATCCGGAGGACTCATGCCGACAGCTTGGCATCTCGCCAGCCACCTGGGCCACGCCCGGATGGTCTTCAAGACTTCCTCCAGAGATTCATCATTGAGATAATCCGAAGGCGACTGCAATCTTTTCAGCATCTCATGCCTTTCTGCTCCACCTCCAGGCTGAAACAGAGTGTGAAGCCGGAACAGGATTCTCGGGGTGTCCTGCGACAGCCGTTGCGAAATTATATCTCGTCTCAGCTCCTCTTCCATGGCAGAAAGCAGCATTGCACTTACCCGTGCATTGACCCGTATCCAACGACCAGAGCACAAGGGTTCCGAATTGGTGGGCTCTATCTGCAGGCGCTCCAACGGTGTAGCCCTTAGCCAACGAGAATAGGTCTCGCTGACCAATTTCTGCACCATGACCCACCACTGTCCGCTCTGCTCGCTGATGTCCGCCATCGCCGATGCAGTGAGTTCCATCCAGTCTTGAAACTCCAGGGCCGAGGTTGCCAGGGATGTCGTACCTTTCAGGCTCGGTAAGGGAGTAAGCGATGTTGTACCTGGCTTGACTGTCTCCACAACTCCCGATGGGGTGGCTGCCCGATTCATGGCCTCCAATTGGAGCTCTTGCAGCTGCTGCACGCCCTTTGTCAACGCATCCAGGACCCTCGATTCAGACGAAGGCTGCGGTGGAGGTGGAGAAGGAGTTCTGGCCCTTCCAAGAAGCGTGCTCAACAGGCTTCCCCTCGGATGGTGCTGCGGAGCTTCTCCACGGTCATCTGTATACCCACCACTCATTGGCTGCGGCGGCGGTGGGACCCTCTCGTGAGCATTGACTGTTGCCCTCTCTGGTTGCGGCAGTCGAGGTACTTCAGGACTCCTCAGCTCTTGAGATCGGGCCTCGCGCTGCCCCTCTCCACTTCCAACTGCTGCACCACGGTCCATTGCCATTGGCTCTCCAGGTTGAGAGGGCATAGGCAGGCTGTTCATCCCAGCTGCTCCATTCTCATTGACCCACGGCGACCATGATTGTCTTGCTCCATCGCTCGTCTGATATCTTGCAATTTCTGCCTGCAGGAGATCGTTCCTCGCTTCAGCTTCCCGAAGTCTGTCCAGGATTCCTCCCAGCTGACGTTGCACTTCGGCCTGTATTGCTTCTGCAGGTATTGAAGACGATGATGGAGGCGATGGAACTGCAGGTCTTGGCCGGGACGTCGCCGGCGATCTCAACACGAAGGCTTGTCCACCCGGCGGGGACGATCTCGAACTTCCTGCCAGTGGACTTGGAAAAAACTCCGCTTGGGTTCCCCCAAGCGAAACATAGGACCCAAGGCGAGACACCCACCCTGGCATCTCCATTCCAGCAAACCACGTTCCTCTTGTCGGAACCATCGATTGCATTGACCGCGGGGTAAAATACCCATGCACTGACTGGCCTGTACCACCCGCAACCGATTCAGACAACGTTGCTCCGGCAGATTCTCCAGTCGTCGCAGCTATGTTGCTGGCCTGCTGCAGATCTTGCTCAGATTCCAACTCGTCTGGGCCACTGGTGCCTTCAGGTAGCATATCTAAGGGCTCTCTGCTCTGCTCCACAGAACCATAGCTCCTTTCCCCCACAGGTGTCACATGCGGCTCGGCTGGCTCCACTCGACTCACAGAACCACTTTGCTCAGTGCCAGGAACCACACCATTCAACAGCGAAGTCGCGCCCGCTTGGGCTGGCATAACCTGAAAAACAGGATCAAAGGAATCTGGCCCCATCAATTGAAACCATGGCGGCGCACTCGGCTTTGACTCCCATTTTCGCACGATCCCGAAAGAAGTATGCTGTAAGACTTGGGCGCTATGCCTCTTTGCACAGAAAAGCGATTTGTCATTTGTACATGTACGCTGTGCATAAGTCTTGGGATTTTTACACTGCTCAAGAGGCCTTTCGTAGCCATCCTCTGAGAAGCGGCGACACATCCATGCGTTCATCCTTCCATTCTTCTTCAAGGGGTGGGGGGGGGTCCCTGGTCCGGGGCGGAAGGGGAGGGGGGTGGGGTTTGGGTGGTGGACTTCGGGCTCGGGAGGAGTAGGGGGTAGGGGCAGGGCAAGCACGCACGGAGCGTTTTTGTGGGTTGGCGGTCAAAAAAAGTGTTTTTGAGTTTTTGGGGCCGGGAGGGGGGGTCCCTGGTCGGAAGGGAGGGGGTGGGGGTGGGGGTCGACAGGTCGGGGGTCCGGGTCCCCTTGTTGGGGGGTCGGATGCGTAGGGGGTGCAAGGGTTTGGGTGGTGGACTCCAAGCTCAGGAGGCTGGACTTCGGGCTTGGGAGGAGTAGGGGGTAGGGGCAGGGCAAGCACGCACGGAGCGTTTTTGTAGCGGTCACAAATCGCCAGTTCTGAACCTGACAGGGAGGGTGTTTTTGAGTTTGTTGGGGCCGGGAGGGGGAATCCCTGGTCGGGGGGTCGTCGGGTGGGGGGGGGGGTCCCCTGGTCCGGGGCGGGGGGGGGGGGGGGGGGGTAGGGGCAGGGCAAGCACGCACGGAGCGTTTTTGTGGGTTGGCGGTCAGAAATCGTCGGTTCTGAACTCGACAAAAAAAGTGTTTTTGAGTTTTTTGGGGCCGGGAGGGGGGGTCGCTGGTCGGAAGGGGAGGGGGTGGGGGTGGGGGTCGACAGGTCGGGTGGGTCCGGGTCCCCTGGTCCGGGGGTGGGGGAGAAGGGGGGTGTAGGGGGTAAGGGTCAGGTGGGCAGGGGGTCAGGGCCACCAGCAAGGAACGGGTTTGCAAGCACGCACGGAGCACTTTTGTGGGTTAGCGGTCACAAATCGTCGGTTCTGAACAGGACAAAAAAAGTGTTTTTGAGTTTTTTGGGGCCGGGAGGGGGGGGTCCCTGGTCGGGGGGCGGAGGGGTCGTCAGGTCGGGGGGGGGGGTTAGGGAGAAAAAAGTGTTTTTCGGGGGCCGGGAGGGGGGGTCCCGGGTCGGGGGGGAAGGGAAGGGTGGGGGGGGGGTCGTCAGGACTACCTCCCGTGTAAGGGGCTTCCCGGGCGCTCGACCCCAAAGGCGGGGTCGGCGGATTTCTGTCTAGAGTAGCTTGTCCACCTACTTAGACCTCAGACTCTCTTTTGCACTCCTTTCTTCCACGGTTCTTTCGCTGGTTTGTCCGAAATTGGCCGCCGCAGGTGCAGGAAGACAGTCCCAACTTTGTGGGAACCGCCGGAGCCCCGTGGGAAAAGCAACGTGCTGCGACGTGAGGTTTGGGTTTTGATGCCAAGCTGGTTGTCGACCACAGCATGTGGAGTTGCCAACCCAAGGCCTACACGTCAGCAGCTGTGAAGCGGTTGATCAAAATGGTTCTTGGCTCTGTGCGCTGGCAGTTTAAATCCGGCCGCGTGATTCTGCACATCTCCCGAACACAGGGATGTGAAACCTCTCAGCTGGCCAGCACGACACGAGAATTTACGAGATAACTTCTGTGAGAGCTATTGTGACGGCAGTTTGGCCAAGCCACTTCATTGTAAGAGCTTCAGGTCGAGGAGCGCTCGTCCACGATCGACGTCCTGCTGACTGCCGACTGGCCCCGGGGCATGCAGGCTTGCATGTGGCAGTTCCAATGTTTGTACTGTTGCACAAACAGAGACTCGTTGAGCATCGTGTGCATGTCAACCTGAGTGGGGAAAGGTGTTTCGGGCAGAGTTCCGATTAAGATTGTGGCAGACAGAACGCAACGGAACTGTACAGACACATTCAACAAAATGACACATCAAATGACACATCAAATGACACATCAAATGACACATCAAATGACACATCAAATGACATATCAAATGACACATCAAATGACACATCAAATGACACATCAAATGGCACATCAAATGGCGCATCTTGCAAGGAGCGGCTCGATGAAGCAGAACGGCCACGAGATCCCGATGGTTCGTTTCCTCAGCTGCTTCTTTGGTTAAGTGCTGCCCCCACCTTGCCCGCAATGCGTGGCTCCTTGAAGAAGGTGTGGCCACATGGGAGTCAAGCACTAGAACCTTTGCATTGACTTTTATTGTGAGTTAAGTGGTTCATCATTTTTGACCAGATGCCAGTGTGCAAGTGCACTTCTGCCATGTCAAAGCAAAATGCGCCGCTTTCTAGCCCGCTGCCCGCCTGGTGTACGTGGAGCAACCAGCGAGGCCATGCGAGAAGTACTAAGACTTTGGGTAGCATCTGCAATTGGGTGCCTGTAGGCATCTGGGCCTGGAGAGAGCTAGTGTTTTTGCTGTCTCGGCAGCGGCAGGCGGCTTCTTCGGCGCAGGCGGAAGGGAGCTTGTGCGAGGTCCAAAGTCCAGAACACTGTGAGTTGAGTTGGGTTGGTCTGGCACAGGCTTTGCTACAGGCCGGTGCCACGTTGCGCTTCGCGGGGCCTGATGGATGGGTACAGGCCGCGGCAGGTCGGACGGCGGATTCATGTCGAGCAGCACTGGCATGTCAGCTCAGAACGAGATAGAGAACGAGATAGAGAGCGAGATAGGTACGAGATTCGTTTTGTTGACAAGAAGGCATTCGTGCCCATCTAACGCACCCCTGTGTCAACTACACATAAGCGACAGGCAGTGCAACAAGGCCAGAAAAAGGTCCCAGGCGGAGCCAGAGAAACATTTGCGCACTTTGGAGTACCCCCCACCCCCCCACCATCGGTCTGCACCGCCCCCCACACCCCACCCCCCACCCACCCCCCACCCCCACCCCACCCCTCCGCATGGGTGGCCGAGGAGGGCGAAGGGTACGGGTATGGGGGACAAATTTGTCGGGGAGGGAGACAAGCGGGAAAGGGGGAAGGAGACCTGATCAGGAAGCCGAGTCAGTCGAATTGGCTTGAATTGGCTTGGCGCCCCAGTGGGGGCTTCAACAGGGTTCCTAGAAACCCTTTTAAACCTTACAAACCCCATGATTAACCCCTACAAACCCCCCTAAAATGCCCTATAAGTTGCTCAGCCGATGGTTGTTACTTCGTTCTGCAGGCCGGCACCTTGGCAGCGGCGCTTTCGCATCGGTGTGGGAGTTGCGGCTCACGCCTCCGCAGCCGCGCCGCCACATTTTGAGGGTTGCAAAAGGGTCAGGGGGTGGGTGTCCCAGGCATGGCATGCTGCGCTTTTTTGTAGCTTGAACACTTCTGTGGGTTTGGTCAGCTGGCTCTGCCAGCCATTGCCAGTCGACTTGGTAGTGGTTGTCTGGAGAAGATGGTTGTGGCTACGCGGGTGCTCTGCCAGGAGGTCTGGGGATCTGGCTGTGTTGAAGCACTTCCCAAAGGTCGACGCAGCTGTTGCTGCCTTCTTCGGCCAATCTCTCTTAGGACATGTGGACAGCCTTCAGATGTGTCTCGCAAGCTTGTGCTTGCTCGCGACGGGTCAGGACAGCACCAGCAGCAATGGGACAAAGAGAGAGCGACTTGAAGATGCAATGGGCGCGCAAGATCTGGTGCTCGGCTTTGCTCGGAATCCGAGCTCTTTTGCTTGTGGCGCTGAGGCGGTGGGTGCCAGGCTGTCTGATGGCCCACAGCACGAGGGCTTGGGCCACGTGGTGACCTTGCTTTCGTCAGAGCCCCGCTTCGTGGAGGAGGTCCGGGCCTGGCCCCCCCCCACCGCGTTTTGTGGAGAAGGGTAAAGTGGGTTTAAAGTGGGGAAGCATCACAGGATGCAGAGGCGAACTCCGAGCTTATGCTGGTGCTGGAGCATGCGGGGCAGCCGCTGGATTCAAGTCCCAGGCTGGAAACCCTGGATGTGCCGTCGCGGTGTGATGTCGTCGACCAACTGTTGAGTGCTGTGCCCCATCTGCTGTTAGCAGCGTTTGAGTGCAAGCATCGACTTTCTTCACTGTAGTCGACTGTCCCTGGCGATCGTCGGCAGACTGTGGTTGAATCATGTCAAATTGCAACTTTGGCACGACAGAAGCTATCAGGTGAAACTTCTTCGGCTCAATGGCATCATCCACGCAGACATCTCTGCGGGCAATTGCTGTCTGGATGACGCCGGCTGTGCTCGGTTGGTGGACGCCTGGAAGAGATCGGATTGATATCCAGGTTTGGTCTGATAAGCCTCCTGTGGCATGTAGGTCTCACTAGTGAAAGCACATTCTTCGGCGGGAGCTGGGGAAGTAGTGGGCCTGCAGGGTCCCGCAGGGTTGCTAGGGGCTTGCAATTCGCCAGAAACCAGCTGCGCCAGACTGCAGCATGCAGCCTCCTTGGGTCATCCCCCATGGATCCTGTGGTGGTTCCACCAGAGACGCACTCATCTTCAGCAGCTTTCCCAAGAACATCGCAGCATCGATATTTTCTTGTCGTCCTTTGCCATCGCCATCAGTCTGGCCCGACTCCCAACCCGAAGTTCTCCTGATCCTCTCTCGTCTTGATGCTCATCTTCGAGGTCCTCGGATAAGGCTGCCGAATCCGATGGGCCCACGTGGATGTAGGTCAGGCACCCGACCTCGCATCAGTTCACATATATCGTTGTAAATCCCCGGCCCAGATCATTTACATGCACATTCCGGCCCAGGGATTGCTTGGTGGTCGCGCCCCAGATAAACCTCCAATGGGGCAGGTTCCATTAGGTCATCTGAATTGATCAGTTTGGATCACTTGAGCGTTTCTCTCACTGCGAATAAGGGAGGACATGCCCACGAATCCCAGGCCATCGGCCAATCGCATGCAGGATCTGATTACTTTCGCAGTGAGTGGTGACATCTTCACACACCTGAACATAGCAAAGAGCAAAGAGTGCTTTCTCCTGTGTCGGAAGATGTCGGAAGCATGCTGCTTTCTGCCCGCTGGTCATGGCATCTGCGACCGAAGACTTGGCACCCCAAGCAGGCCTCAGGGCGCGCCTGCACAAACCATATGCCTGGCCTTGGGACCCCACACATGTCTTTGGCAAAATCACCCAGCACACTTGACAAGTGTCATTGCAGACTGAACAACACATCGAGCCTCACAAGACAATCGTCTTTGCAATAGGTTCGCGCTCAGCCACACCGCTCGGGCAATGAACTCCTCTGCTTTCCCACGTGCGCTTCGCCGGTGTTTCGGTCCTTGTGGCTGCTTGCAGTACTGATCTTCTCATGTCTTGCCGCCGGGCTCTCAGGGCCCTGAGCAGAGAATCGGTTTCTGCATTTACGACTTGGACGACGTGGAACATGTGCCATCGGGACTTTCTGACCGTATCACCTGACTTCGTGAGGGCCGCCTTGGCCAGTTTCGAAGAAAAAGTAGGGAACACCAAACCTTCATCGTTCTTTGCTCTGTTGTCTTGCTAAGCCCATTGCTTGTGCATCGTCCACCAGCATCAGGGCTCCTTGTGTGCTACATGATCTTTAAATCTTTCTCCGCAGTTTCGCAAACATGGCCCCACCCTTTCTGACAGGCATGGGCTCGAAGGCAATCACCGATTTCAGATTTCACATATGTTGCAATCTCTGTTCGCATTGCACCATGTAAAAGCTCGTTGCACAAGCCGTCGGTCTCGTAGCCTGGCCAACTTGCTTGAGGATGCTTGGGATCTCGCACTTGTTGGCTGAAGCTCATGCAGCAAACACAAGCTCCCACTCGTCCTGAGCTAACCGAACTTGGCCTAAACGCAGCCTAAACGGGTTGAAATGGGCATGCAAAGTGGCTTGCATTTGCTCTCCAAAAGGGGATTTGCTTCCCTCTGTTCTGAATCGCCCTGCATTCCTTGCCCAGTAAGAATCTGCACCCTCTGCCCAAGGGTGCATAGGGCACATTGACACCATCTAGACTCTTTGCCTGATTGTCTTTTGTCGATGTTGGCAAGACTCCCGAACAACCTCAAATGCGAACTGTGCATCCATGTGTTGGACAAAGGCATGTGGCACCCATGCTCAGTAGCAACAACCCCCAAAGCGACTACGTGATTCCACCCACAGGTCTCCCTTGGAACAAAGCATCTTGCCTCCTCGCTAACGTTACAGGATCGAGGAACGAGCAAAAACAGAGGCGAGCAAGCGGCCCCACTGTTTTCTCCCGTTTGAGACAACGTGTAAAGTCAAGCCCCTCCTCCTCCAATTGCGTTGCTCTGCAGTCTTGTTTGAATTCTTTGAGCTTCGCTGAGTAAGTTTGTCGGCCCTTCTGGCCCTCGACACAGGATTTCGGCAATTCTCTGCTGGTAAGCTCAACTCGGCGCGCTGCGGCCTGTCAGCCCTTGGAGCAGTTTCGTGCCTGAGATGCACCTGCAAAGCCTGCGCCCCTGCCTTCCTCTCATCACTCCGTCTGTTGTCCTGTTCTCTCTCTTTCTTTCTCTCTGTCCCTCTGTGTCTCTGTTTCTCTGTCTCTGTTCTCTCTCTCTCTCTCTGTGGTTTTTGTTTGCTCTTTCTCTGCCTTTGTCTGTGCTCTCTTGCCTTGTGTCGAGTGGGCAAGCCTAGGGCTTGCAGCTTGGGAGGTGCACGCTACGTGCACCACCGGCGCTTCCCGTGCTGCGAGCGATACTCGCCACAGAGCTGCAGATGCGCCGATGAAGCGAGCCACTGCGGCCGGTAGCAAGTCCAGGTATCCGCTGTCCATTCGACGTTTGGTTGAGGAGATTGAGCAACTTTGGCTGAAGCTGATGCTGAAGCTGCAGCACTTGGCCGTTCCTGAGACGCGGCAGACTAAGCAGGCAACCGAACGCCATAGATGTCTATACCAGCAGGTATGATGTGGAGGCGCGTGAAACTCGAAAAAGGTGGGTGACGGGGATGTGAGAGTCACAGCCTGGCTTCCAATCGTGGAGGCATTTCCTGGCAACCTGGCAGCGATGCCCCCTGAGATTCTGCGTGGTCTCATAGTACCAGGAGCCAGTGATGTGTATGGCCCATCCCTGAGCATCCCTGAGCCTCTGCGCATCCCCCGAGCTCGCCAAGATAGTGAACATGTGGATTTTGCATGTGATCCTGCGTGCCGCCGAGGCCTTGGGATACTTTTGTGGTGGCTGCTCACTGGCCAGGAGCCACCGAGCCACATCTAAGAAGCGTAAGAAGTGTGCACATGCGGGCGTCATTTTAGGCTTTCTCTGATTCCTTTTTGCCTGGCCTGTTGCTATCTGCCCCAAGCTGCCAGCCACCAGAGCGTGTTGGCCCGAAGACCAGCGCAGAGCGAGCCGTCCGCCTTCCTTTCATAGTGACAGCGTGGCTGATGCGCGGGGGTTACTATGTGGACGGCTTCAGACCCTGGCTTCGTGTTTGAGAAAGCTTTTTGAAGGGGCAACCGTGGTCTATGGGAGCAAGCTACGAGTTAAACAGTTGTTGTCTTTTCCTTTTCGTATCAACTCTGTCTCAAGCAACAACCTTGAGAACTGTTTGAACTGATTCCTCCTTTGTTTTTTAGGCGAGCCGATGCAATTCGTCCCGGAAAGCGTCCGCGTGGAGCGTGCGCTCCACCGGGCCCAGCAGGCGATGTCCCATGCCTTGGCCGGCTTCGAGCGCGAGGCTGTGTTTGAGTCACAATAAATCCCGCTCGCTGGGGCTTCATGCTTTTCCTCGCAAGAATGTCTGAGATACAGGAAGCTGAGAAGTTCAACAAGATCTATGCCCTGCTAGAAGAGCGATGCTCTTGGTTCGTCCTTGTGGAGGGTTATATTCACACATTCACACAGTGTGCATGTTGTGAAGATGCCTTGCGCCCGATGAAACTGAGGTTATCGATGAAACAGGTCAAGCTGGAGCAAGCTGTTGCAAACCTAGAGTCAGAGGTCCGGGAACATGCTCAGAAGTCGGCGCACAGCCCTGATGGAAGCAGCACCATGCAAATGGTGATGTACGACCCGTCAACCAACGTGATGACTCCTGTGATGGTGCCTCGTCCTTTTTTGCCTGAGTTGATATCAAGTGTATGCTGAAAGCATTTCCCAGTCGATCTTGTCAGACTACATGCTGGCTGAGCCGAGGCTCCGTATGCGGAAAGTCAGATGTCAATGATGCCCATGGTGTGTATGGTGCAGTCCATGCCCGAGGGCACGTTCAATCCGCAGGAAACGACACAAGAGTAGGCGGAGAAGATAGAGTCCATGGCCAGCGATGCTCTTCGAGTGCTTCATCTAGCTTGGACCAGCGAACTTGCTCGTTATGGCAAAAAGCGCCGCTCCAGTGATTTGCGTGAGGTGGTCAAGCTCAGAATATCTCAGAATCACAAGTGCATGGTTTGTCAATGTCACAGTCAAAAAAAGAGACAGGAGACGCCCTTCCATGTAAACGTGGAGGTCGACCGGGTGTCTTTTCCAGGCCAGGAAGCCAGAAAGTGCATCGCGTTGCGCAGGCCGTGTCAGCATGTACATGGCCGTCATTGCACCTCAAGCCTGAGGCTGGGCCCACTTCTACCGCAGCACGGCCGATGTCCAGATGGAGGATATGCGCGCTGACACCGGGCGCCTGTTTGCTTCGTGAGCCCGGTGTCTCCTCGGAGGAGCTCCGAAGCAGCTTGGCACGTGCGACTCCCACGATGCCCGAGCCGTTCCAAAGTGAGGTGGTCAGGTGGGCGGCCAAGAGTTGGGCACACGAGCTGCGCCCTTTTGGGGTTACGTGATTTCGTAGCGATCTCGCTGCCTCGTTGCTTTTGGTAGCTGTAACATGCATGAGTTCATGGGGGGGGCAAGGTTTCCTGCGGTCGATTTCGTCAACCTCATGAGTCCTCTGCATTCATTGAGGTTTCAGGGCCAAAACGGTCAACTTTCCCTGACCGCTGTAAACACTGCGTTGGAGTGGAAATCAGACTTATGCACGGCAAGAGGCAGTGCAGAATGCATGCTGCTTCCCAAGTTGAGAGTCCCCTCTTGAAATGCAACCAGCCGGCGGTCATCTGGTCAACATATGGGTAGCGGAGCGTGGAAGAGTGCCATAATGGAGAGAGACATCGTATGAGCACATAAGAGTGCTTTGCTCAACCAGGCGTTCAAGGAAGGTTCATGAAGCTCAAGCTTGGAGGGGCTTGGGTCAGGGGGGGAGTTTCCTGATTCCAGATCTTGGATCAAAGCAAAAGGATCCATCTGACTATCTGCTTCCTGCATGCACAATGGCACAATCGCGAAGCTTCAATCCGCCGCATTGTGGTGCGGCTTCTTCGGAAAGAAGTACAGCAGCCTTGAGAGATTGTAGGAGGTGCCATCTCTTTGCTCATTCGCCGCCTCTCCTCCCTCTCTGCCCACATACCCGCGGGTCTCTGAGTGCCCCAAGCCGAAGGCTCGAAGCCTTCGTAGATCAATCCCAAAAACAAGCCTAATCCTATCAAGACGGTCCAAAGCTTTGCACATCCAGGTGGCTTCGGAGTGCGCTGGCCGAAGCTCCCGAAGACCGGGTTTGGGCCGCGAGCCACCCCATCTTGGGCCAGGTGAAAGAGAGTCTCGGGGGAGGGGGGGGGGGAGGCTGCCCTTGATGTCAATGATGTCAGACATGCCACGCAGCCGCCCTCGACTTCTCACAGCAGAAAAGACTGCCCATTTAGAGGTGAGTGACCAGTCAACCGCCTTTAGCGACCTTGGCTCATTGCTTCCGTAGGTGGTGTTGAGAAACATGACCTAGGCCAGTGCTGCTAGTGTAGCATCACAGCTGGGTTGTTGCCATGACTGAGTATGGCGCAGCAGCTCGCTTTCATGCGGAGGCGCGATTGTCAAGTTTTGCAAGAGTCGTGCTCGAGTGCTGCTTAGCCACGCTTCTCGCAAGGTGCTGCCTCCACAGCTGCGCAGAGACGTGTGGTTTGGGTCTGCCAAAACCACCGAAGCTCTTGCCATGCAAATGGAGCTCCATCCAGAAAGCAGCTTGGTATCTACAAGAGCTAGGCTTTGTCATGAACTTGCTTGGGTGCCTAACAGGGCCCATAGCAGGGGAGGGAGGGAGGAGTGTGCATGGCTGCAGGTATCTACGGTGAGATCACCGCCGTCGGCGCTCGGCGTGTGGCTCGGTGCCTGGGCCGTTGCCCGGGCAGGGCCGTCGCCGAGTTGGGCAGCGGCGCTGGTCGCTGCGCGTTGTCGTTGCTCCAGCACATGCAGGCACCAGAGGCATGCAGAAGCAATGTCTTTAGTGCAGACATTGTTTTCTCGAAGGCCTCGATCGTGGCGGTGGAGTTGATGGCTGCGCGCCATGAAGCTGCGGTGCTCGCAGCTGCTCGCTGCTTGGAGGACTGGGTACGACTGGATACCAAGGCTCTTTGCAGTCCGCCTGTGAGCATCTGTGAGTCCAGCACCGCCTAAAGCATCGCCCCAAACAGCATCACAACTTGCAAGGGCGGCGCCACTTGGCTACGCCGGAACCGAAGCTTTCGCCTCGTCCATGGGGACATACTGGAGACCTGGCGCGACTGGTGCCACGTCACGGCAGTCTTTACCAGCTCATTGTGTGCCTTGCTTGGAAGGGGTTTGTTGGTGTGCAGAGTTGTTGGCAGCACTCGGCGCCAGAGGCTTCCCAGATCGGGTGATGAGCACACTTTCCAGGCCCAGTGTGGTTGCTGGTCCGCTTGCAAGTGCCGCTCTGGGAGATGGCTAGGCAGTTTGATGAGTGCAAGTTGCTGCAGCGCGTGGCCACCTTGCAGCCTAGCTGGGCCTAGCTGCCACATGGGATGTGACACTTTCGGTGGCTCCCAGGAATCTGACCCTATGTTGCATGCCCATCTTTGCCCAGGCAGATGCTTCCCCATGCGCAGACGTTCAGCCTGGAAGAGGTGGTGTACTGTCCAATGTCCTGGAAGCCTGCAGGCAGCGCTGTCTACATCTACGAACCTTGGTCCCCATTCCCAGCAGCATTTTTTTTGCCTGAACGTCGTGCGAAGATTGCGTTAGAGGGCTGTAGCCATGCCGCAGCTCTTGCTTGTAAAGGCACTTTATGTCGAGTTGCTTGCTTGGCCTCTGCGTGAAAACTCCTAGGAGCGATTGCCGGCATATCCACTGTGGCGGTGGCTGCATGAATTTGAAGCTTTGTGCGTACTTCATGTACTTTAAAATATGCGGCTGGCATCTGTGGCTAGGCGCAAACACTGCGAGGTACCGAGTTCTCCTGGAAGAGCCTTTAGCAAGCCTCGCCCGCACGACGGAGGACAGCTCTGATCCACCAGGAGCGCGCAAGCAATCACTCATATGATCTCATATTCAGACGAGACTGTGGCTTCGTACTTCGCTTCATGTGACGTGTGAGGTCAGCCGCGGCAGCTGGGCGCAGCTGCGGCGAACTTGAGGGCAGCAAAGCTTGCCCAGCTTGTGCTTTTCTCGCTCCTTCCCCTTTTCGAACCGTCGGCGAGTGTGAGCAAGGCTATTGCACCGTGAGTTTCGCATGAGCTTCCTTTGCTTTGCTGTGCTTGGGTTGAGTTGATGCTATCGGCAGCAGATGCCCCAACCTCTCCATGCGTCTTCTGTCTAAGGCCAGCCGATGGTGTGGGAGCAGGCGCGGTGTCCGTTGCTGCGGCCATGCCTGCTGACGTCATCGGGGCTTTAACCGAAACTTTCAGCTGGAGAGCCGAAGCTGGAGACCATGAAGCTTCAGCGGCACATCACGATCACATGTTCAGGGACACTTCAGAAGATTTCAGAGCACACTTCTGTCGTGTTTGTAGGCTTTCAAGACCGAGAGACCGAGGTAGGCTCCCCCGCCGTCACCGAGCTTTGTGCGGCGTGCCTCCCCCGGTGCTGCACGGCATCCAGACACACAAAGTTTGAAGGCACTTCCTTGCCATGGAAACTCCTGTATTTTCAGTGCTCCGCGGACTTCTTACAGGTTCCCATGTGCGCAAACCGTTTCTGATCCCCGTTTGATTTGTTTTATTTGTTATTGATCCTGGGCGTTGTGTTTTTGGATCCTTCTTTTGTGGGGTGTGTGTTTTATGGCTTCCGTCAGATGGTTGAAGCAATCTGCTTGGCATGCTCGGCTCGTCATTCACTTGGCTCAGGCACGACATACACAGTACTGTATCAGACAAGAGCACATAAGAGCGCCAGAAACCGTGTCTCTCGTAGCACAGGTAGGCACACATTTGTCAGACACCTGCACATCTTGACACTGGCTCATGCCCGAATCCTGAATTCATAGTTCGGAGCCGAAGCGGCGCAGTTGCGGCAATGATCGGACATGGCCTCTCACGCTCTTTGTCGCTGCATCTGTGGGTCCAGTCGGCTGAATGAGCAGCTGGAACGCGCTGGTGAGGTCGCTGCCAACCTGCCCGGAAAGCCTCCGCCAGAGTTTGAGGAAACGAACGTGATCTCTTACCCTCCGATTCATGGGCGTTTATCTTATTCGCTCTTGGCAGACCAGCCTTTGCGAGGGACGCCCATCCGGGAGGGTGACTTGTGGCATCTGTCGACCGAGGAGAGAGTAGATCCCGTCCACGTGTCTTTACACGTAAATGGATTCAGGTTCCAGTTAGATGGGCAAGAGATGGCCATCTCCTTGTCTCCTTTCACGCTGGTTCGCAACTGCAAGTTCCAGAGCACGTATCCCATGCTCAACGTGGCGGACTTCAAGATCTTCAAGGTGTCCTTATTTGCCCAAGGTGCTTGCTACTACTTTGGGGTGCGTGGAGAGAATGAGAGGGAGGCCGAGGAACTACGATCCCGCTGGGTCTTGGACATCTCTCGTGCAATGCGCCTTGTTACCCAAACCCTGTTCCCTCCCTTTCAGATCTCCTGTCGTCCTGTGGATGCAGTTCCTTCAACCCATTCGCGCTTGATGGCTGGTTACCTTGTGCATTTTGACGACTGCTTCACAGCATCGGTTCTCTACTGCGAACTACATGTGCAGACTCAGCCGGATCACACAAGAATTGTAATGTATGAGAACGAAAGCTGCCGACAACAGCTTGCAGAAATTTACGTGACCGACCGCTCCATTTGCTGTGAGAAGATCGGGATCAATTGCAGCTGTTTCTCGGTCGAAGATCACCAATTCTCCGCCCGAACTCTGGGTGAACGCAAACTCTGGCTGCGGGCGATATCGAACCTCAAGGTCAAGTTGCAAAACAGTGCGCCGGTTCCGTCTTCCAGCGAGACATGGCACTACAGAAATGCAGTTCAAGAGCATGCCACAAAGCATGCTGTGTTTGAGGAGCATGCCAAGACAGATGCCTTGTTGCAGCGAACATTCATTCGACCGCTGGGCTCACCAACAGAGACTGCATATCATGCTACCCTTGGTGCGCTGCCTTTGCCTCCTAGTCCAGAGGACTTCAACTTCAGTGAGAAGCGCCGAGCAGATGGGGAGCATGGCGTCCTTGCCCTCCCGCTTCCGACATCGGCGGCATCGCCCAATGCACCCGACGTCTTGCAGCCCCATGGGGAGGCACACTCGGCGCACTCGGCACACCCCCTGCGACGCTCCTCCTCGTTGCCTGCATGGCTGCATCAGGATACTACTTTCGATATCGGGAGGTGCAACTACAGTGTTAGTAGAAGTGGCCCATAGTAGTGTTTTTTTGAGGGGCGTCTGTCGTGTTTGCTGAATGCGGGAAAGCTACTCACTTGGATGAGGTCCGAGCCGCTGAGGAAGCTCAGCGATGTTTGGTTGAGGCCAACGCGACCACGCAGCAAGTCCTTCCTCGTGCCCCAGCCAGTGCCCAAGCCGAGTGATGGCTGACAGATGAGTTAATGCTGCTGCCAGCGTGCTGCGGCGTGCTCCCAGCGCACAGTCCCATTGCCCGCATCATCGCTGGCCCAGAATTCAACGTCTCACACACAGGTCGAGCAGCTCAAGTTTGGTGCCACCATGTGCTACCGCCAACACATTCTTGCGCAAGTGTTGCTGCTATGTGACCGCGTGCCCCACAAAACGGAGCAACGAGGGGCATGTGAGCATGTGAGGTCCGTACGCAGACATGTACATCTGGACGGTCAACTACTCTGGGAAACCATTTTTTGGAACATTCTCTGGGCAAGACTAAAGAGCAGTTTGTGAAAGTGTAGTTTGTGAATTGACGACTGAGGCTGGAGCCGAGGCCATTGGAGTGAGCAGTTGAGCGATGAGCGCATGCGTCATGACCAACAAGCCGTAACAAGTCGGCTCCTGCTAGGTATCTGGTCTGTGGAAACCTTGACATTTTCTACCAGCGACCGTGCCCTGCCCAGTTGTTCCGCAGTTTATGCTCTGTGAACATGATTCCTTTTGCCGAGTCATCTTGGCCGGCCGAGGCCTTTTCAGACCCCCAAAGCAGGGCACGTCTGCCGGTGCATTGCGCTGGGCAAGGCGCCGGCATCAAAAATCTGGGGCTTTGGGCGCGGGGTGTCTCCAATTCAATGGAGGTGGCCTCGAAGGGCAAGGCCCGCACGGCCTTCCATGGTTGCGGCCTCCGATGAGCAAAGAGTCTGCGGAACTGCCTGAACTCTAAGACTCTAAGGCTTGTCCCTGAGCCCAGCCGCCACGATGCCTGAAACGGTGCGCGCTCTACCCTCACGAAGATGCGGAGCTGTGATCTGCTGGAAAGAGGCTCTGAAGCAGCGGCCAGCAAACACCACGCCAGCAGCTCAGAGCAGAGCAACAAATCATAGAATCTAGGCCCACGGCCCACCCACTGAGCTCGTGGTGCTCGCGTTTGGGCAGGCCGAGTCCCTTCATAGTTGTCAACACTGGTGTCTTGGAAGCATGGTTGTGCCGCAGCGAGAGCGCAAACGATCTGGAATATCTCGTATCCTGGCAATCTTGACTTGGGTTTTGCCACAGGAGAGGAGGAGCAGCAGCAGGGTGTCAAGCGTGATGCGTCTGCGATGGAGGCTCGCCACGACTCCTCTCAGGGTCATGACCACGCCAAGCCTCGAACCCATGCAAGTGGCAAGTGCTGTTCTTCGCTGGCCCTGAAAGACGTCGTGCTTTCTCCCGCTGCGTGCTTGTGCAATGGCCATCCCACGCGAACCTGAAGTTGGGGTGCCACTAACCCCTGGGCCCCAAACAAGCTTCGACGGTTCACCGCGAGGCGAAAAAACAAGCCAGAAAACAGTGGCAACCCTTGGCAACGCCAGGATGATGGTCCCCCGCCCGAGCCAGACACTGTCTTCCTTGGCTCGGAGCTTAGCTCAGCCCTCGCCATGTCCAGCCCTCTCAGTTCTGGCATGGTAAGGTAGATACTGCCGTGCAGGGTTGTAATCCTGCCGAGGGAACGAGTTATACCCACGAGATACTGTATACCCCGGTAAGCCACACATGCAATTAGCAAGCACTTGCTCCTTGGCTCCGGTAGGGTCGGGAGATGCCTGGGTTACTCTGGTTGCACGTTCTGGCGCTCCCTCAGGCAGGCTACCCCCGAACATCGAGGAGAAGCGTATCGAGGCACTTTTCGTGACTCGAGTTGAGGGTTTAAAAAAGTCAATGGGTCGAGGTGGTGGCTTGGGATTCGACGATTCGGAGCATTCTTTGGCAATTTGCAAGCCCAGGGCACGGCCAAAGCACCCCGAAGTCTTCGAAACAACTCTCTGTCACAGGCTGCCCTGAAGCACGTGGGCAAAATCGAGCGCATCCACCTTGTCAGGGAAGCTGGCTCCAGCCTTGACATCGCTTGGCGTTCGGGCGGCTTGGGGCGACATGTTTTCATGGTCGGGCTTTGCCGAGCAGCTTGCTCAACACATAAAAGGACCGGATTATCCCTTGCAAATCCAGCGGAGCAAAGGCCTTCGGCGCGCGGATGTCACTTGTTTGAATTTGCCCAGGCGAGGGCAGCGCCTGCAAAGGCTTTGGTCTTTCGCTTAGATTTGCTGCTATCGGTTTCGATGTAAACAAGCTGTGGAGATTGTGGAAGACTGCCCAGGCTTCGTGACCTTCTCGACGCCTGAGGAGGCAGAGGCGCGCACTTCCTTTCCTGGGGGACCGTAAACAGCAGTTGAATAGCATCTCAGTGCTCTTTTCAGCCAGGCTGCCTGCGACTTGAGCGACTTGCTGGAGTGTGGTGGCCGGAAAATCTCCATCTCCATAAGCCCAGCTGGCCTGTGCTGGTGATGGCCCGGCCTGCTTTGCCTTGCAACTGTTACCCATGCCAGGTCGGCCGAAAACCAAGGCTGACGGACCCAGGCCCCTTGCAGTACGGGGATGCATGTGCGCACAGTGCCTGCACGACAAAGGGCATAGTTTTACCGATGAGTGGCTCTCTGCTGTTGCACTCTGGTTGAGTTTTGCGCGCATGTTTGGCGCTTTTTATCTAAGCTCTGCGCAGGAAGAAGCGGGAAATCCAAATCGCGGCTTGCCAATCTTGGCATGGCAGCCTGCAGTGGAAGCGCTTGCACTGTCCTAGGTCGTGGAGCCTCATGCGGACTGTGCGCTGGGCAATTTGGATGTGAAGCTTGGGCTGAGTTGTGCTGTGTGGCAAGTAAAGTTCGTGATGCCAGGCTGGTTCTGCCTTGTTAATCCCAAGGCATGGGCAGTTCAAAAGTAGTTAGAGTAGTTAGCTTGTGCAGCATGTTTCCACGGCTGTGGCTTCGTGGCTCCATGTCGATGACGTGCTTAGCAGGTGGAGAAGCACATGATTGTTTCTGCGAGCACAGAGGTGTACATCGCCACTGCGCCTGGACCCTAAGATGCTCTTTCCGGGTGGTTCAAAGAGCATTGTATTGCCACTGGCAGGCGAGGACCGGTCAATCCATACCACGTGCAGGTGCCCCCGTACCATTCGAGTGGCATGTTGCCAATGCCCGAATTGTTGGGGCGTAGAACCAGTTGGCCGATGGGTTCCTGAAGATTTTTACACGAATGGCGTCAGAAAAGCCGGGGGGGGTCTTCAAGACAGGGGCTGATGGCTCTAGGGTTTACCAGTTGTAACCGGGGGGGGGGGGGGGGGGCGCCGGGGGAGTTCAGGTCTTGCCGGTGAAGCATGCGTGCCGGGCCCAGCAAGAGCAAGAAGTTGCCTTGCAGGGGAGGATGTCGTTTTCGAGGCCGTGCTTTGCTGCTTGCCCGCCTGACCTGCAGAAGGCATTGAAGGCTTGGGATGCTTAAGAGGCTGTGCATTCACGTTGGCAGCGGCTGAAAGACTGCCCCGGAGGTGCAGATGGTTGCCCTGCAAAAGATGTTTGCAGATGCAGGCATATATCTTCGCTTTGTGGACTTCAACAGGTCAAACACTCTGCAAACGCACAGCTGTCGCCTGCCGCTTGCGTGCCTTGCAGCTATCAGCCAGCTCACAGCCATTTACAGCCTGTTGCCCCGCATCGGTCCGCGCGCTGTGCTTTCGCAAGCCACGTTCGAAAAGCAAGGACTTCGGAAATCGGATGTCGCGAACGCGAAAGCCTGGTGGTTTTGGTGATTTGAGCATAGAAAACAGCGAGAGACAGAGAGAAAGAGAGAGAGAGAGAGAGAGAGAGAGCATAGAAAACACTTTTTGCGAATGCATGCGCGCAAAATCCCGAGTTTTTTCCCACGTTTTCGTGCATTGCACCCAGAATGCCATGTGCAAAATCTCCAGGGTGACAATGTGTGACGTTACCTAGTTTTGGTATGTTGTGCTGCTAGAGCCTAAGCGAAAAGCCTGATGCAATGCCTCATGCTTTACCTCTTCGCCGACTGAGTCGTATGTGTTTTACGCAAGCTACCAGCCCATCCCGGCTTAGTTGCACTGCTCGAGGCTGAGAGCATGTGTGGCACAAGTGTGTCCAAGGACGTGGGCCTCTGAGATTAGAGCACTCAAGCTTGTACGCGGAAAACGCCACGCTGGCGATTTGAGCCATGCGCACTTGTGCCACTTTGGAAACAGAGTTTGCGGAGTTTGAGTGAATGTACACTCTCTCAAGACAGGCCGTTGGTTGTGCTGTGTTGATTCTCCTGGGAAAGACGCGATGGAGACGCTTGACCGGACATAAGATTGGAAAGGTGATGACGCGCAACAGACATGTGCAAAAGCATGTGCAAAAAGGTGGCGAAGAGGCGTGTCGACAAAAACACATGTGGCCAACGAAACATATAGCAAATTTTCGTTTGGCACCAAAAGCTTGTGTGCAAAGCATCTCTTCGATCTTGCAGCAGAACCGGTGCAGGTCAAGAGTGCCTGCCAGTGCCTCAGAGTCCGAAGTGCTCTGTCGCGAGAAACCACGTTCATATAGAAGTGCACACGCATAGTGGCATAGTGGTCCTAGAATGCTTTGGGGGAGGGCTGGACACACGGGCAATTGTCGATTTGAAAGATGTCTAAGGATATGGGAGAGATGGATACCGATGGGCACGTCAGCTGCAAACCACATGTGCTCCGGGCGACTTGCTGTTTCTGCTCTTAGCTCGAGGCATTGCATGCTGCAGAGCCCAGCCAGGCAGATACAGGTGCTGCCCATCGACAAATCACGCCTTGGCCTTGCTCCGCGAGTTTGGGGCGTGTGGGCCAAGCTCCACATGTTGAGTTCCGTGTTGCCCCAGTCTGTTCCTCATGCATGCTCTGTGGCTCATGAATGCAGCGGTGCGATGCGCTGCACATGTTCGATTCGAGTGCCATGGGCAAGAAACGCAATCGCGTCATCGTCAAGTTCGTACGATGCAGAGCCGACTGTGCACCTCGGTTCTGTTGGTGGTTAATGCCGCAGATGGCCGTGTCGACCTGTCTCTCAGGTAAAGGAGAGTGCGAGAAGGGCCGGCTGGCGACGCTGCCAGAAAGGAATCAACGCTGCATAAGTTCGTGTACAGTAGCTTCGGAATGCAGAAGCCGTGCTACCGCGCTTGCGTTTGTGTTTGGAGCTTGGCCTGTGAAAGGCGACGACAACTGGGACGTAGCCTGGTCTGACACACCTGCAGTGATCTTCAACAGCGTGTTGCGTCTTGAGCCCTTCCAATGCATGAACCACTTCCCGCGCCTTGGCATGCTCCAACAAACAAATCGTATGGCCAGACCTGACAGAAACCGTGATTTGTAGCCGCGTGGTCCTGCAGGTTGATGCAGCTCATTTGCCGGAAAGACCTGCTTGCGCAACATCTCCAAGCGATGCCGCAGTGCTGTCCTCGCTTTGGGGCAGAAGGCTTCCGCTGCTTGGCCACTAACTTCGAACGAACGAATGAAGGACATCGCCCCAGCCAAACTCGGGGCCACTCCGGCCCCACACAGCAAAGTTTGCGAGTTTTTGCGTTCAAAACCTGGTTGTGGGCTCTGCATTGGTAGGCTTCTTTGTTGCTAATCGGGCATGGAGGGGGGGTACAAAAACATCCAACAAGGATCAAACACATCAGCTAGGGATCATAAAAATACCAAGGGGGGGGAGGGGGAGAAGGGGGAGGAGGGGGAGGGGGAGGAGGGGGAGGAAGGGCCCAAGATTACAAGGACTCCGAGTGCTAAAAAAGTTGCTTTATGAGGAGAGCCGTTTAAGAAAGAAAAGAGGAACCTGGCAGCACCCTGTGAGCTTATCGAAGAATAGTATCTGATGTCCATTGAAAGGTCACGCGCGTGTTGCCGGAAGCTTGTGTTGATCTGCAGAAATGCTGTCCTAAAGCGGAATTGCTTCCAATTCAGCATTTAGAGAGAACAAGTTCAGTTTATGATGAGTACTTACCCTTGTTTTAGGGCGATCGGTGGCTTCTCCAACCTTCGACTTGTGACTTGTCCCTCTTCCGGGATGTTCCGCAACAGCCGAGGCTTTGTTCCGCAGACGTGGGTCTTGCCAGGCAGGACCCTGTCAGCATCTGTCAGCCCATGAAAGTGGGAACGGAGCTCCATGCAGCGCCATTGGCGATGCTGCAGGCGACTTCCAGCGGTTTTGGGCGGATGTTCGCGAGAGCTTCGCCGGCTCAAAGGCCATGACCAAGGTTGCAAGCCTTTGCAGATCTGTTAAAATCTTTTGAACATCCGCACCGAAGGTTTGTGGTGCGCGGGGTCGTGCAGCAGGCACAGATAAGAAACGATCTTGGTCACGAGGTGGGGGCCGGTTAAACAAGCTGTCTACGCCAGACCCTCACATGAAACAAATTCGCCTTAACAGGCACAACCGCGGATGCCACTGATTCCGACGAATCCGATGAAGATGCTCAGCAAACCTCATCAAGTTTTCAGGGTGTGTGGAATCGAAGGCTTTTCGCTTGTTGGTCTGCCCAAACGTGGAAACTGTGCTGTGAGGAAGAGCCGCTAACCTTCATTGCAAAGCCGCGATCGGGCGCCCGTGGTGTTGGCATTTTCCTTTTCCAGGCCACTGCCCGTGCAGTTCGAGTGGGGTGGTTTTTTTACCCCTATTGCCCCGTGACTTTGCGAGCTGTCTAAAGCTTACTTCGGTGCAGCAGGTTCGGCCTGCTGATCTTCGTGGCGGCGTGTCGAGCCTGGCTCTGCGGCGTGCGCCCCCGCTGCAGATAGGCATAAGCTCTTCAAACGATGCAAAAAACGTGGAAAATGAGGGTAGAAGAACCTGAAGCCGAGAGGTCCTGGAGCCGAACAGCAAGCTTGTCGTCCAGAAGTTTTTGACCCGACCTTTGCTGATCGACGGCTACAAATGGGACATGCGCGTCTACGTGCTTGTGACTAGCGTCCACCCACTTACGGTGTACTTGTACACCGACGGACTCGCCCGTTTCTGCACAGATCCATACGAACCACCAGATTCAGACAATCTTGCCGCCCGAGAGATGCACTTGACAAACTTTTCTATCAACTACGAGAGCGATGCCTTCGAGCAGCCCTCAGTTGAAAGGATGTTTCACGTGCCTGAGATGCGCTAATTGTGCCACTTTGCTGTCCAGGAAGACACCGAAGATGGAGCTACTGGCAGCAAGCGGTCATTGCGAACTGTGCTGGACAGCTGCGTCGACGATGGCCCCGTACTGAGTCACTGCAACGACGGGCTCATGTCGACAGGCTGCCTAGGGGAAGGGACGACCAAGACGACCAAGGTGATGCCATTTGGATGGAGATCGCGACATGTGTTCGCAAGACGCTGTTAGCCATTGGGCCGAAAATGCAGGCCAAGCGACAGTTGCCGATCTGGCGTGGTCCTCCATTGTGGTCCCTTGTTCCGTTATTTCCTGTGCTACGGGCTGCCGTTGCTCTTTGCCCGGGCTTGCCAGGAGAACTATGACCGCTACTTCGGGCGCACTCGCCCGTGCTCTGTGGGGTCCGATGAAGCTGGCACCACAAGTGCAGCTTGACGCATGCGGTGCATCTCCGTATCCGCAGCCTGCACAAGATGCCTTTGCTTCAATGTGTGCAGGCATGTTTCGAAATTCTCGGATTTGATTTCATCCTAGATGAGGACGAAAGGCTTGCAGCAACTGTGAGCACCACGAACACTTTTCTTACAACGACGGTTCGGAGCTCCATAGCCCCCTGGAGGCTGTATCTGTTGGAGGTGAACTCGGCACCATCTCTCTCCACGCCAACTGCTCTAGACGAGGAGATCAAGAGCAACATGCTGGGGGAGGACGGTCTGCGCCTGGCAAGTAACTGCAAGTGAGAGGGGCATGCGTGGACCGACTTTCTGTTGCGACGTGCTTAAACTTCAGGCGTTCCGTCTACTGCGCCTGGACGGCTCAGCGAAGGCAACAAGGGGGGCAGGGAAGGACAAAGAGGAGACGAGGATGCCCAAACCGAACACTCCAAAACATGACAAACGACATCCCCCAAAACCCTTCAAAGCTCTTCCTCAACCCCCTATGGCTGCGGCTGCACAAAGTGTACCTGTGGAAGGCCGTGGAAGGGGGTGCTGTAGCACAATTTCGGATGGTTACCAAGGTGCGGCACCGTGAGACTTTTCAGCAGCGGATGGCCGACCGCCAGAACGAGCATGTGGCGAGACGAGAGGCCGCCGGTCTGCAACGCAAGCAACAATATCAACAATGATCAACAATGCACAAGAACCGACTTCTCAGCTTGATCCCAAAGCCCAAACGTTTCCTGCATCACACGTTAACCAGATCCCATGGAAGGAGCTGTGGCGCTTACGGGAAGAGCGGCTGAAGCAGCCCAGCCTTGACCAGACAGGGTATGCCTTGTTGTGCTTTGCAGTACTAGTCGTGTAAACTTGCACGGCTGCGAGCTTCCCCAATTCTGTAACTGGAATCATCGCCCGGCTCCGCGGCCATAACAGACTCTCCAGGCCACAGGGCCTGGTAAGTAGCGCTTGGATGTAAAGTGGTCGTGAGAGGTGGCAAGGTAGACAGATGCTGTAAAAAGATTCAGAGGACAGTCAAGATGACTCGGCGCACGTAGCGTGACATGATGGTCGACCAGCCAGCCCCATGGGACGATGGAAAGTTTGCAAGCGCTTTGCTTTGCGAAGCTGATTTGTGTGTTGCTTGAGGGAAGGGATGCTGAGTTGGAGCGCCTGCCTGACTCCATTGCCACAGAGCTGCTGAAGGGGCTGGTGGCGGTCGCATCTAGGCGGGAGCCTTGGAAGCCTTGTGCGGCAGCTGCTCTGGCTAAGGGGTTATTGACTTGGTTGCGACGCCGGCCAGTGCCAGAGCTTTTCTTGGCTGGGAAATGGAAAGAGCGAGCTGCCGAGAAGTGCTTGGCGCTGCTTGCATCTCCTCCCCCATCCTTGTCTCGCTTCTCGGCGTTGCAAACGCTGTGCATCAGCCACTCCCCTAGCCTGATGGACTGTGACCTGGCAGTACTCAAGGCATCCCGTCTGCGAACCCTTCAACTGCACGACTGCCCATGCATCACCGGTGCGTTCATCGGGCAGCTATCTGGCATTTCCGGGTCTTTACGCCGTCTCCTTTGCAGCAAGTGCGCTGCGATTTCGGATGGCCCCGTGTGTGCTGGGCTCGGTGAGCTAAACCTACTCCATCTCAGCTTCAGCGGCTCAGTGAAGCTAACGGACGAAGTTGCGGCTGTGCTAACAGGGGGCGCAGCGCCCTCACCTGTTCCCGGCTCCTCGTCCTCCCTAACTTGCCTCGACTTGTCGCAGACACTGATCTCGGACTTGGGCGCATTGGCCTTGGGCCGTTTGGAGCTGAGCTGCTTGGCCTTGTCTCGCACCAGCGTCTCTGTGCCAGCACTTCGGGAGCTCACAAGCCGGCTTGGCCTGAAGCCACTTCTGCCGAATCGCCCCAAAGTGCTGCTTCGCAGCTATGCTGCAGCTGCGGAGTTGGAAGCGGAGATTCTTCCGGCTTGGGCGTCACAGGCATCGTCGGCCCTGAGCCCTATGGCTTCAATTCCTTTGGGAGGCACAGATGTCAGCCTGTGGCCTGAGCCGGCGGTCCGTCATGCAGCTGCGCTGTTGTTGTTCCAAGTCTCGCTTTCGAGCCAGAAGAGGCCAGCAGCTTCGGACCCAACTTGCTATCGCCAAGAAAAAAGAGTAGATTGCAGTGTGCAGTTCTCGGAGCTCAGGAGGCCAGTAGACTCAGAACTCGGCAGCATTCCGCAGAGCTGAGGTGCAACGTGGGATTCCTCAGTTCTTTGGGCCAGCGGAAGCTTCCTCCTATCTCATTCTCCAGTCGCCGCGACCCGGTCGAGCCGGAGCTGGGTGAGGGGCTGAAGGTGCTGCAAATTACTCCTGTGCAAGTTCAAGACCAGTTCACAAGAAGTTTGAAGCAAGTTCAGAATGCGCGTGCAAATAGCCTAAGTTTAACCCATAGCGCAGATCGGTGGGGTACCCTGACAGGCAAAAGCTGCAACCCTGGACCAGTCAGTCAAAGACTCTGCTGCCCGGCTAGTTTTAGTCGTGGGCTCCCAGGCAGGCATCGGCAGTTGAATTGTACATAACCTGCAAGGTGAGCACAGGTCAACAGACACCAAAGATGGGAGAAGGCAAAACTGATCCAGCCGGTGGCGACACCGATGAAGACGAGTCAAGTGATGACAGCTCTTCGGTGGAGGAGAGTGACTGGGAGGAGTGCGATGACGAGTTCAGCTTCCTCGGCACACCAGTTAGCACCCTAACCAGCACAAAGATTGGAGGAGAGGTTAGTCGTCTGGGGCCCTTTTGCGTTGAAATATGGCCTGTAACCAAAACTTCTTCTCCCAGCTCGTGTCCTCCGTTTGCAAGAGCGGCTGTGATGTCTCCACTGTTGTGCGGTTGTGCATGCGAGGCGCATGGATTGTGCAGAGTGCTAAGGCAGAAGCTATGTACAGATCTTGCCTGCTGCTGACATGGAAAAGGATGAGTGGAAGGAGAGCGTGTGAAGTATCTTGCTCGCAGTTTGCCAGCTGCCATGTTGCAGTTGAGCTGCAGGAAATTCAAGCGGGAGCGGCGAAGCTCGCACAAGGCATCTTGGTTTTCCGCATGGCGTTGTCGCAAGAGGTACTTACTCTCGTCTCTTCACTCACGATGGAGCTTTTGAGGTTGGAGTCGGCGCCCGCAGAGCCAGCCAGCCCCCGAACCTCCAGGCACCCACTTGTAGACAGCTTGCTGACTGTCACTGTCATGCACAACATGTGTCAACTCACTTAGTGCCCGAGCTTACCATCGCATTCCCTGCTCAGAAGCGCCGAGCTGGTTTCAGCCAGCCTCCGCGGCCCTGCGGAGCAGAAGTAAAACCGTCCCCACGCGATCGACTGAGAGCACCAGGCACGTGCAGAGCTGCTAGATGCTGCAAGATGCTGCAAGCAGCCCAGTTTGCACAGGCCGATCTCTCGTGCGAAAACACAGCCTTTGCCGAAACTTGACCGGATCCAACGGTGCTCCCACTGGAGGGGGAGTGGGGAAGGGCCAGAGATAGAGGTCTGAGGGTTAAGGAGCTGGTAGCTTAGCGCAGCTTTCCCAGGGTGATGTCAACAATTGTGGTGTGCAGTTGCAGCCGAAAACTTCAGCACAACTGGGGATGATACTAGAGCTCAGGAGGCCAGCTACATCCAAACCGCGGGAAGCTCGAGAAGTGCTTCCCTTGAAGACTGTACATATTGGATTATAAGCCGGGCGAGCCCGTGCTTCGCAGCTGCTACTGCCGTGCAGCTGGCTTGTTGAATACCTGTGAATCGGAAGCGTCAGAGACCAAACGACCTGCATGTGTTTTGAGTTGAACCGTCCGCGCCTCAGAAGAGGGAGCAGGCGGGCGGAGACTTGTATATGCTTAAGCTTGCTCGGCTTAGTCGAACTAAGACTGGGCGACCTTGTGTACAGTATAGTTTTTCAATGGCCATACCTCAATACAAGCAAGACGCGGTTGAAGCGAGTAAGCTGCTGTAGGCTCAAGGCCTGCAGGCGCAGCGCTTGCATCGACATCGCTTTTCCTGTAGTCGGAGGTCTTTGCCGGCATGATACATCGCATGATTATGCCGGCTGCCATTTTGCAGCACTTGTGCCCCCAACCGGTCGTGGTGCGAGGCCGATCAGGCCAGCAGGTGCTTTCCCGGTCCGATACGCCCGCTCGATGAAGTGCGACTTTGCACAAGAAACAGTCGATCCCAACCTGCACTTCACCCGAATAGGTTACGTACGGAGTATTGGGGAGTGTCGACCATAAGCCAATGCCGAATGAGTCTGCGGCATGTGCTCAGACTTGTAGAGCTCCGTCACCTCAGGTTGCGGTGCTGAAGCCAGAGAAGCGCTCGAGGCTTGAGCACGCTTTTCAGCATGGTACACTTCTATACCAGACGTGGGCATGCATTCATCAGTCGTAACCAAGCAGGCTGCCACGAAGCAGCATCTCTCCGGCGTGCTTGGCTCAGCTAGCTGTAGACGGCAATAGGTGGCTGGCGAGGCTGCTGTGCCGCCAGACTTGCTACTTGTATCAAACGAAGGTCTGTCCTGATCAGGGTCACTTCATGATTGGCTGCTCGGATCGTGTTCTGCTTCTTCTTGAAGACACCAAGCTGTCCCAACCCCACGAGGGTCGCCATGGCTTGCGCTTTACCATGCACAAGTGCTCGGACTCGGACTGGGTGATTGTTTGATTCTGCCTGATTTGCTTGCATTCGCGAAAAGAGTTTCGAATCTATGCTGCCGTGTCCGACCTGGTTTCTAGATGCTCCCCTCTTCCCCTGTGCTGTATGCTCTCCGGGGATTTCCCTTTCTTCGGCCTAACACACCTCACTGTCACCTCACCGTCATTCCACCACCTTCACACACCGCGCCGGCCGCACGCTTCACCCGCACCACGCCAGCGGTTGGACAGCCGTCCTTGCACAATAGGGCTGAGCCGCAACAGTCCAGAGGCTTGGCTTGCGAAGGGAACCCTCCTAGCACGCTGAAAGCATTTCATTTCGCTTAGGGTTCGAAGTTCGGCTGTCCCGCTTGAGGCGACGTTCAAGCGGATATCAAGCCATGAAGATGCCACGGCCTTTGAAGCTTCGCGTCATGGTCCCCGTGTCATGAACTTCATGAACCCTTTCCGAGGTGGCGGACAACTTGAACGATGATCCGGCTTGGGGCTTTGCCAGACTGGCCACGAGTCTGTGGGGCAAGCTGCTGTGGAGCTGGGCCACGATGTCCCGCAATGCTGAGACCGCTCCGTACATCTACTTCGAGATCCCTGGCGACCTCAGTGCCAAAGGCCGGGAGGTGCTATGGAGGTGCTATGGTGCCTGGAGAAGTCGCAAGCTTCTACTCATAGATGTGGCAACTCAGTGCACAGGCGATTTCTGTACTCTTGCATCAGGTCGGCAAGTCGAGCGGTTTCTGTATGCCGGGCCCTCACCAACATAGACCCTGAGGGCCTTTGATGGAGCTGTAGTATCTGTAGTTTTGAGTCTTGAGTAGTACCAGTATAGTAGTAAGGGATGACAGAGCAGGGCACGACAGAAGCGAGAGAAGGCGATTCTTGACCGAGGCCGCGTTGCCGAATGGAGGTGGCCCGCTGCGCACTCGGGCCAGGTTGTGAACTCCTGGGCAACATTCCTAAACCCTAAAACCCTAAAATCTCGACAGGACTTGCCTCGCCCGCTTACGCCAGTGTGAGAGTCGAAAACCTGAACTGTCCTCGCAGCACGAGATTCCACCTCCACATGATTCGTTGACCTACACTTTTTGGTTTATCGCGTTCGGAGCTGCGCTTGAGTGGGAATCTGGCGGGTTGTCATAGTGAGAACCTTCCGACCGAGTCCTTGCCTGCCTTGTTGCGAGTGCGAGAGCCGAAACCCCTAAAACCCCAAAACCCCAAAACCCCAAAACCCTAAATGTGTTTAGCCGTGTCATGCCGTGTGATGTGGCGGCTAGCGAGGCGGATACCGATCAACTTCGGTCGGCAGGCACCATTTGCCCCAGATGTTGGGCTTAATTTTAACGCTACGCGACCCGCCTCGGCCCGGCCCAGCGCATCCGCGTGAGCATGGTGATTCCGCAGCGCCCAAGTCGCTGGACCCCAAGCAATAAGGGTTGGGTTGAGGGTTGAGGGTTGAGGGTTCCGGGTTTATGGTTTATGGTTTGGGGTTTGGGGTTGAGGGTTAGTTTAGGGCTCAAGGTTCACGCTTTGGGGTTGAGGGTTTTTTTGGGTTTAGGGTTCGGCTTGGAGTGATCGTAGGGTTGAGCCAGGCCCCTTAAGGTTTAAGGCGACTCTTCGGCAGGGTGGGGGGAGGGGGGAGGTGGGGTGGGGGGAGGTGGTGGGGGGAGGGGAGGGGGGAGGGGGGTGGGGCACGTGGGAGGGGAGGGGGGGTGGGGGGGGTGGGGGGGGTGGGGTGGGTGGGGGGGTGTGAACAACGGTGGGCGTCTGCTTCGGACGGTTGTAGGGGGGGGGGGTAGGGGGGGGGGGGTAGGGGGGGGGGGGTAGGGGGGGGGGGGAGGGGGGGGTGGTAGGGGGGGTAGGGGCGGGGGTAGCGGGGGGGGAGGGGTAGGGGGGGGGCCCTGCTGGGATGGGCTGCAACTGCCTCTGGTCCTGGCGAGACATCCGCTTGCGGACCCTCCTCTCCTAGGGGGGGTACCCATTTGAAGCAAAAAAAGGGGGCCGAAAAGTGGCTTTGGGCTTGGGGGGAGGATTTGGAGGGGGGTGCCTGTTCTGACAACCTATACACCTTCGGCCCGAGGCCTCGGCGGATTAAACGAGGGGCCACTCTTCGCCTTGCGACACGCATCGCTGGCATTCGCTGATCTTTTGCAAGGTTGCGTGCCACCTCCTTGGCTGTGAGGACAAGGCCCCGCCGAGATGAGCTTGTCCGATGAGCACCCACTTCCCCATCCCCATCTCGGCTTCTGGTTAGTTCTCAGGGCAGGCCCAGCCATTAGGAATCGAGATTGGGTCGCTGGCATGAGTTGTTGATCCCGGTGGAGCCTCACGCTTCCATAAGGTTTTCACAGATGTTGGGATTTCGGTTGCAGAGGCCAAGGTCTGGGGAGGTTTGGGGCGAAAGCAACTCAGGTCGATTGGCGCCAGTGCCAGGATTCCAAAGAAGGGGAGAAGCCCTTCGCTTACCTTGCATTGTGCGTATGTGCACGTGCAAAGGCCGGGCGTTCGGTCATGTGGGTCATGGGGCTCTGATTCAAGGAAGCTGGCGCTGACACTCCGAGAGATCTTCAAGCCCTTCCAGGTGAAGGGCAAGTGAGACGCTATTGTCCTGCTCTGCCCTACTCCTTCGCGTCGCGAGCAGTGGGCGGCTCCCCAAAGCGAAGAAACCAGTGCTGACCAGAACTGCAATGGTCTTGTTCTCTTTTTACTTTTGAGCTTGGGCTTGCATACCCGACACACCAACCTACCATCCTGCGTCCTGCCGGGCATGTTGCTGCAGTTTTGGGCACCAGGTGTCCGGGCGCAGAGATCATGAGACAGTGGGAATGGCACAGCCAGTGTTATCCGACTTTCGAAAACCAACCCGACTAGAGCCGAGGAGTTATTCCCAAAGAAGGATCTCATTACATTCTTTCCGTTAGCTTCCAGAAGACGGAGTACGTCAATATTCCAAGCAGACACGGCACAGAAGTGTTAGAAAGGCTTGTCACCATGTGGGGTGGGTGGGTGCCTCAAGTGCCCAAGTTTGCATTGTTGACACCTGCATGGCGTCTCGAAGCCTCAGCTGGCCCTTCAGCACATCGTGAGTTTCCCCAGTCTTTACAAGATCTCCAAGGTACGCTCCTGCACAACCATTTGTGCCAGGAGTTGCACCGACCGCGCCTCAGTCTAACTCACTCCAAGGAAGGCTGCTACACGTGCGCCGACTGGTTTGTGCAAACACACCCTGAACCAAATCTGGCTTGAGGCCGAACCCCTTTGTGCCTGCACAGCATGCTTGGGCCGCCGGGACCCTTAGACCTGCCCCTGCATCCGAAGTGGTTGCCGCCGATCCGATGTGGCTATCACTGATCCTGAGCTGGAAAACTCGTCCTCTCAGGCTGCAGCTCACCAGCGGCAGTTTGCGTGCGCCAGGGCAGTGCCAGGGGGTGCGAAGATCGCGTACTGGTAGCGAGGGACTTTGTGATGGCCAGGTATGGGGCTCAACCCGCAGTTCAGGCTGTGGCTTCCGGGGGCACTCCTCTTTGACTCTTCATTCATTCCCCCTCTTCCCCTCCACCTGGACCTATCTCGATCTACTCAAGCCAGGCCTCCTTGGGTGCCGTCCTTGGCTTCGTTTGGGTGTTTGGGTCGACAGTGCTGTGTATAAAATAGCTCTTTTTTGTGGCCGTCTTTGGCTTGAAGCTTTGCCAGCCCAGAGCAGCACACCTAGCCGCATCCACCCAATGTAGCCTCTCTGTGTTTGAGATGGCGTGAGAGCCGCTTGCAGCTGCATGCTCGGCGATCTCCACGACTGGTTCTTGGAAAATGGTGGCCAACTGGCTCCAGGCCGCACTTTTTCATTTGGGAACCGGCTAAGCTCCTTGTATATACTTATATACTATGCACACAAACAAAGACTACATAGATAGAGAGAGAGAGAGAGAGAGTGTGTGACGGGCAGAGGGAGACTGTAGTCGCATGCAATCAGAGCCCGCAAAGCAAGGGAATTTGTTGTACCATTTCTCCTCACACAAAGGTACTAAGGTACTGGGCGCCCCCGGGGGAAACCTCCCTGGGAAATGGGCATGCGTATACACGTGTCACACTGACTCTTACACAGACCGGGCGCGCCTCGTGCGCGGAGAGTGCATGCCTGCGTGCGTGTGCTCTTCAAGCCCTGGAGAAGAAGAAGAAGCAGAAGAAGCAGAAGAAGAAGAAGAAGAAGAAGAAGGAGAGAGAGAGAGAGAGAGTGGTTGGGGGAGAAGGGGAACATAGTCAAATCCAATTTCCGTGCCGAGAGGCCGACCCCGATGGGGGAAGGCATTCCATGTACCATCTGTAACCATTCAGTGAGTCGCCACTCCCGACGCTTTGGGAGGGGCAAGTTTTCCGATAAGTCGCCTGCCAGGTCATAATTAGGGGCGGGGCTCTACAGACGACCCAACATGAGATAGCAGTGCACGTTTTTACCTGGCAGTGCAGAACGGGAGGAGCACTTGAAGTGTTGGTAGCATACACATACAGGGGGAACTCCCCTTACTCTTCGGGGAAAACACTGCAACTCCCGTAAACTTTTGGTTTCACGCCGACGAAGACCGTGACACCAAGGGCGCGCCCAGCGCGCGGAGGTTCTTGGACTTCTGCCCTGTCCTCCATGCCCGGTAGAAGAAGAAGAGAGAGAGAGCGCAGCCAGACAGGCACCCGCTCGGCCGTCGCGGCCGGGCGGGGGGCTATCAAGCGCGCAAAAAGACGAAGGATGAGAAGCAGAAGAAGAAGAAGAGGAGAGGGCGGGGGTCCGCTGGCCCTTGGGCGACCTCAAACCACCGCAGGGACGCGGGGGGGAGCGGGGACAGAAATATGGAGAAAGGGATAGGTAGGAGGCCACACAGCTTCCCAGCACGAACACAACTTCCTCTGCCTTACAGCCGAATAATTAGGGGAAGATGGAGGAGATGCAGGGATCCTAGGTCAGGGGCGTAGGTGCTTGAGGTTTCGCTGGTCCTGTATCCGTAGGCAAAGGCAGGCAGACTTGCCCGGGGATCCCTACTTGCCCCCACGAAAGAAAGAAGAAGGATCTAGGAAATGCTTGCTCTTTCAGCTCCGATATGGCAGAAGCGTTGCGCGATGCACTGGTGTTCGCCCAAGGACGCGTTGGGGGTGTGAGTTGCGATCCACAGGCTTCTAATCCTCCCGAAGAAGCGCAGTTCATACATTTTGCCTGAAGGCTTGCACGTGGCCGACTCGGATCTTGGCGGACGTGGGCTCTTTGCCGAAAGTTTTATCCCCGCAGGGTCCCAGGTGCTGTCGCTCCCTTTGGAGGCGGCCCTGTCCCTTGGTGTGCTTATGTCTTTTGCATGTCTTTTTTCGGTGGTTTCTGAATCCTTCTTCCGGTTCCAGAAAAGTCTTCAAGCTTTGAGTTGAAAAGGAGAGGCCCCCCGTTAACCCAAGCAGAAGTGACACTAGGGTCGAGTTTATCACTAGAGCCCAGGTCCTCCGCGGATGACACTGTGGCAGACTTGCCTGTGAACTCGTTCCTTAGCTGCCCAACTGTCTGCACACGTGACAAGAGCTGTGTCAAGCTGCAGCTAGTGCGTTACCTGAGGCTTTTCCGGCTTACTGAGCTCTTGTGCGCCGAGATACAGAAGGGTGATGCCTCGCGATGGGCATGCTGGCCCCAAAGCTCAAAGAATATGGCAGCATTGGCACATACTACATGCAGAACATACTTGTAAACGCTGTCCGTCGACCGCCTCGGCTCTGGTCCGAGTTGGGCTTCCAAGGGAAGGGTGGTTAGGAAGAGTTTATTGGGCCAGGGGGGGGGGGGGGGGGGGAAAAGCTGTTGAAGCACGCAACAACAAACTATGCCAAATGGAGAAATTTGAGGGGCTGTTAGGATTGGTTGTCGAAGGCTTCAGGGGCTCACTGTTTGGAGCCATTTAGCTCATCCATCATGCCAAGGTCAACCTTCCAAGGGTATCGGGATGCAAAGCAGGCATTTTGTCCCAGTGCCCTGGCAAGTCGGGAACGCCCCCCAAGGTGGACGAAAAGCATGCGGCATGCTTCAGAATGCCTTTGAGGACGCATGCGCCCGATGTCCCGAATCCCCAGAAGCCTGAACGCATCAGGTTCCGGTCCCTGCCTCGGCAGTGCGGCAGCTGGCCGGAGTGGCGAGAGCAAGAGCTTCGCTTGGCGCAGCGAGGTCCCCCGAAGCTGTTCCAGGCAGGGGGGGAGCTTGCAAAGCAAGCCTTAGAGAGGCCTTTAAGAGAAACCGGATTCCCTCACCGCTTTTCGGCGCATTTGGGATTTCCAAAGCCCCAAACCAGGCCGGGAATCCGGTTGTTCAAGCCTTAGAGGCCTTCGCTCCAAAAACCGGATTCCCCCACCGTTTTTCGGAGGGAATCCGGTTTTTGAAGCCTCTACGGCTTGAAAAACAGGGAATCCGGCCTGGTTTGGGGCTTGAAATCGCTGGAATGGTCAAATGGACCGAAAAACGGTAGGGAATCCGGTTTTTGGAGCTCTTAAGGCCTGTAAGGCAGGAAAAACCGGATTCCCGGCCTGCGCAGGGAATGCAGAGATAGCTTGCAGTAAGCTTGAACAAGGCTTGGGCGTGCTTAGGGGGCGCGCAGGTTTGTCGGTTTTTGAGAACCTTTTGGGACAGGACTCCCTGAATCTCAAATTGGCACCCAGAGCGAGGGTGTGCCTGTGTAGGAATGAAGGGTTTGGAACTTTGAACCCCGACGTTCCAAATTGTGCATGGGGGTGAGGAAGCAGTCGACCTGGCACGGAAGCTGCCGCAGTGGCACAAGCAGCTGAGCCAGATTCTGCCAGGAAGCAACATGGCATGCCAGTTTCAGGTGTCATGTACGGTTGGACATCATTGAACTCCTTTGTGGACATCTCCTAGTTCGAACCCCAGTGACTCCAGTCTGTGGCGCTGCAAGTCCAGTCCAGGTGTCATCGCTGGTCTTGACGACAAGTCCAGCTTTAGGCGAGCATTGGCCATATTGTTCAGCAGACGTTTCGGCATCCTTTGTGACGGCTGCAAGATAGCTGTATGTGTGCCGCTGGGTGACATGATCAACCATGCATCCACTGAAGCCAATGTGGAGGTGCAGTATGACCAGGCATCCAGGCGCTTGTCTTTTGTCACCCTAGACGATGTTGCGGCTGGCGCGGAGCTCCTCATTTGCTATGGGCAGCTAGACAATTTGGAGCTATGCACAAGTCATGGCTTTGCTCTGCCGGAAAACCCGCTGGATAGCATCGTCCTCGCTGATGATGTCAAGCTGACACGGGCGTCTCAACTTGCACTTCCAGCTTTGGCAGAAGTTCAGTGCATAATGGACGCTTTGCCTCCGGAAGATGAGGACAAGGCCACGTGGTTGGACGCCAACAGCTCTCAGGCATGCTGTGCCATTGCCAGCTTCCGCCTGAGCTACCGCAGATTGCTGCGGCAACTGCTGGACAATCCATCACAAGAGCAATCAGAGCAGGAGCCTGGGATCGGCGAGATCCAGAAGTGAAAAAACAACCGCAAACAGAAACGCCCGATCTCGACGAGGGGTGGCGAGTCGAAGCGTTGCAGAACGACGGGCCACAAGCGGTGGCGACTCTGGAGGGCGGATGAGGGCAGATGAGGGCAAGACCCTGGCTGGTCCAAGTCAGCATGTGCTCCTTGTGACAAAGAGGTGCAGACACATTAGCAGTAGCATACAATAACTCAGAACATGAGCGCTGCTTTCAAGTTTTGCTTTGGACGTGTCTGAGGCGTTACCTGGCCACAGTCCATGCCGCCGCTTACAGCATTGCTGTAGCCTCATTGAGGCAGGTAGCTCGAGCACGAGCCCAGCAGAGCTTTCCAGCTAAGGAGCACTTCCTCAAAACCGGCTGGAGAGGAAAAGTTTCTGCCTCGGCCTGTCAGCACTGGTGGGATGTCGGCTTCGACCTGTCGGAGGCTCAGCATGTCAAGGTATGTGATCTCATTCAAGGTATGTGGCCTTCTCGGAAGGCAACGACACAGAAGAGGCTGGAATCTCACGGTCGCACCCTGTGCTTAATTGTGGTCCGCCCTCGACAGTTCGTGATTCAAACTCTAAGCGGCGAGTTCGTGGCTACGGCCTTGGAATTCACGATCCCAACGTGCCTCAGCGCGTGTGCGTGTGATGCGTCTTCGCTTTTCAGGTCAAGGGTGAGAACCATGGCAGGCCGTACTACCAGAAGCTGCAGCTGCCTGAGAGCGCCGCAGTAAACTCCAAAAGCTAAGCTTCAGAAAGTTTGTACTTGTACGATTTCCCCTGCCCACCGTGCGAGCATGCGACTGGAAAGGATAGGCAGGTGAAAGCAGGGCGAGAGAGAGAGAGAGAGAGAGTTCGCACCAGCATCCCCCAGTTGCTTTCAACTACTGCAAGCCTAGCGGCCGAGGTGCTAACATGTCGACTTTCACATTTTGAATATTTTGATTTCTTGCCCCTTGTTTTGTTGTATGGCACGACAGTCTGCACGGAACAATTCGCTCGGGTCCGACGGCTTCCCCCAAACCACGGCCACTGCGTAGGCCCTACTTGGCCCCATTTACTTCTCGTAGACTGCAGCAAGTGGCGCGCATGTTTGCATGATCATTCACGGCATTTCGAGATCCCGCCTCCCTCCTTCTCGGCATGTCTTGAGTTCGATACATCTATTGTCTGGCATTCGTTGTTGTCCTTTCTTTATATTCGATGTGTGCGTTGCTGTCTCTCTTGTCTCACTGTCACCCTGACAGGCACACACTCTCTCCCCTCACCCTCGCCCTCGCCCTCCTCTTCTTATTCTGCTCAATAAAACGCGGGCATTATTGATTCAATCAATACGACTTTTGGGATACATGTGAGGGTCACGCCGGGATCTTGAGTAAGAGTAAGTTATAGATCGTGGTCTGTATGAGCGCATGTTCGTATTGGGCGTATCGGGCGGAGTTTTCCGAACATGTTGCTCAAATTGTGGTGAAACTCTTCGTGTTTCACGTCACTAAGTCGAAACCGCATTTTCCGAGCGGAGAATCTTCGCGTTTCGCCTTACCAAAAGAACTATAGGGCATGGTCGAAAATGGGGTAGATTGGTACATAGTGTACATTGGGATTTTCGGGCACATGGCGCCTCAAGATACATAGTGCTTACTGCGTGTGTAAATCAACAAGAAGGTCAGATGCAAAAGAAGAGGAATGGGGGAATGCAGAAAGGGTGGGGAAAAGAAGAGGGTAAGGAAGAAGAAGGGGGGGTGGGAAGCAAGGGTTGGGGAGATGGGGAGGGGGGCAGGCCAGCTTTCGTTGTCCGTCGGCCTTGCCCCTCAAGTGATACGGTCCGACTCGTTACTTCTGAGCAAGGATGAATGAACAATTCTCACCATTTTTTGCTTCCGACGACCGGCAAAGGCCAATTAGACCGGGGACGGCACCGCCAGAGGCCAGGGCACGAAGGGCACGAAGTGCACGACATTTTGAAAGGGCATCTTCTGTTACAAGTCGCACTACACGTATACATTGCACAGTTGCACCTTCGAGTTCTCTTTCTCCCTGTATCTGGCGTGTCCGATTCGGAACATGATGGGGGGAGTGAGGATGGATGCGCAGGTGTACGTCTACTACTGGGATGGCCGCGATGGTTCCTCTTTCGAGGGCTGGTGGTTTGGCAAGGCCGGCTGTGACGGTACCATACGCTCTTTGACGGTTACACTCGTCAACATCCCACCTGAGGCCGTTGGTGGCAACGAGGTTTGGTCGCACTGCTGAAAGCTCAGTTGTAAGACCGATAGAGCGGGACCAGCAACGAAACTTATCACAGCCAGCCGAGATCCCGAGGCCCTGACAAGGCCTACTTGCCACCCCTCAAAGGCTGGAAGATTCCCTTCCAAGGGCCAGCAGCTCAAACAGCGGTGCATCATAAATTGTGTATTGACATGTGCACATCGACAACACCTCCGAAACGCAGTTCGGCCCAGGCCTCCCCGAAACACCTTCCTGATGATGCCCAGGCGCGGCCCCAAAGGCTGATGCAGAATCTCTAAGGTTTCGGGTTGAGGGTTTAGGGTTTAAGGTTTAGGGCTTTCTTGCTCTTCCAATTGCGTTCTAGGCCCATGCTGTGGGCGCACGCTTCAAGCGAGGTCGGAAAAACAGAAGCGAGAAAACTCAGAACGTGCCGGTCGTGCCAAGGCAGGGCAATACTGCAGGATCTCTTGACTTCTTCTGCTCGCTTTGTTCAACCGTTGCGCATGTGTATCACCCAAATGTTTACAAGTGCGGCAAGAAGAAGCACTGCTTGCGTGTGCGGCAGCTTGAAAACAGTTTCTATGTCCCAAGCAGCAGCCATCTTTGACAAGGTGCCCGTGGTAGAAAGACAGTTCGCCTGCGAAAGTCGTGTTCGGGAATCGTTTGTCAGAGTTTGAAACTGACACATGCATCTGCAAAAGTGGACACAAACTTTCGCATTGCTTGAATCGCATGACTTCCATGCAGTCAGACTTTCATTTTTCGGCCTTGCAGAGGAGCACACTTCAACAGGGAAGCAAAAGTGAGCTTGAAAGGGAAGCTGCTGTTGGGTCTGCTTGTTTAGCAGCACAACGACTTTCGCAGCTAAAACTCATCTTTCGTGACCTTAAAAAAAGCGGGAGGCAACAGTGAGCGAGATGACATGCAGTGGGATTCTCTGGCAACCGCTTGACCTCTGTCTTGTTTTTCTGTGCTACTGGTATTTATGTGGACCATCCCTCTCTGTGTCCTTTGTTGCTTGCCGAGCTGTGTTGGTCGTATGAACGGCGTGTAGAAAACGTGCGACCTTTTCCTGTCTGGGCCCTACCTGTGCGTGTGTGCGTGGGTGTGTGACTGTGTGACTCTGTGTGTGTGTGTGTCTGTGCGTGCGTGCGCGTGTTTTTTTGGCGCTGCCTTTGTCTTTTTGTTCCGCTCCAAATGCTTAGGTTCCCCAGCGATCGTGTCACAACAAGACGTGGAAACACATGTGCAAGTGGGGCGCAGACAGACCCGCCAGATGCAGCATGTGCCGCAGGTGGTACAAAATGTACCCATGGCCCATGCAGGGCCAAGGCTTAGACAAGTGGCTGCTTCTCAGCCCGGAAAAGCTTAACCCCAAACCCTAAACTTCTCGTAGTGCGGTGGCTACGCAGCTGGACTACAACAAACCTAACAAATACCGCCAGCCATGCGGGTGGCGAAACAGACCCTACAACTCTATATCCGCAAGAACCCTGAACCCTAGGCAAGAAACCCTCAGACGGGCGGCAAGAGAAATCAGTAAAAACCTGGAGCCGCTAAATTCGACACCCCCCCAGAGCCCCGATCAGCGCAGCAAAAAACAGACTCGCAAAAGGAGATGCTGCGACCTCCTGCGAGGAAACCCCAGGTGTGGCCGGCTCCACGCCTAGGGCCACGAAACCCTAAAGCAAAACGCAGATAATTACCCAACAACAATGCGGATGGCATCTGAATTTCTTAACCAGATCCACATCTGGCATGACTCGGCGTAAGCACTTGGGGGGTTCAACCGAGAGGTCATGGAGCAGGAGGCAAACAACGTCATCAGCGCTGCCCAGAAAGCGGCCGATGAAGCAAGCTCCTGGCCCGGCTCATTTCGAGAGAGGATTCTGTTTTCAGACCATGTGGGGGAGGTTTGTATGTGATTGTATGTGTGTGTGACTAAGAAGCCACCTGTGAACGAGACCATGGCAGTGGGGCACTTGGCATTAAGTGCTTGTCACAGAGCCTTGTGAAATAAGTTTTCGCACCTGTCTGAAGCCTCTGAGGCCTTGACCCCACAATTCTCAAAGAGACAGAGGTGCCTTAGCCGGGGTGCAGTGCGGATAGGGAGTTGTGTGAAGCGGCAAACAAAATGCTTGTCGCACCTCTGGCGGGTGGTTCAGTCCGTATGCTCTCTTTGTGAGAAAGCCTGTTTCCATCCGGATGCTGGGATATTTGGACTTGGAGTAGCCCGAATAAAGGAATGTGAGATTGGGCTGGAAGCACATCCAGTTGAGCCTCACTCTGCATTGTGTTTGTTGGCCAGGGCACCTGACCTATCCTCGCACATGCAGAGAGAGTCAGAAGCTTTTGTTGGCTTGTTCAGGCAGCGCTTAAGCCGCACCTACAGGCCGCTTTGGTACAGTTCGATCATGTTGGCAGGGCTTGCCGTCGGACTGCAGTTTTATCATGGCATCTGCTTAAACATTCTTTTCGAATTGGTAATGCCAGTTGAACCCAGAAACAATGGCCGTCACAGGCACTGATCGACCAGCTGAAGGTGCTCGAGACCTCTGGCCTAGGCATGGACGAGAGCTGCTATACCCAGCTCGTGCAAGACAAGCCAAAACAGGTGATGCCATACGAGCTGTTGAGCCCTTGCCCCAGATTCTTCTGCTGTGCAGAGAGTTCCCCTCATGTGCTGACAGACGCCGCACGGACTCCGGAAACCTCATGCGTATAATGCAAGACAATACAAAAGCAGTTGGCTCAGTGGCGCTAAGCGCGGTCCCAAGGACACGCATTCGGCGGACCCACGTTGCTGCGACTGACGCCGCAACCAAGATCAAGGACATGAGACCTGCTGTCTGCTTGATCCCAGACAGATGTTGTGCCGGCAGGTTCTCATACCGCAGGCCAGGCTGTCCAATTGCTTACATGCGACCAGCTGCTGCGATCTGCGGCAGGTCATGAGGGTCCAGTATGAAAAGGCATCTGAGCAGCGAGCTGCTGCCTTAAAATTGCAACGGCCCCTAGTTTTGGGGCGCACGCCAGCTGCTACTCAAGCTGCCTCGGCCCTTCCTTCAGTCCTAAACAGCAGAGATTGCTAGGTGGGTGGCAAAATGCAGCGCTATCATCGAGGTATTGGCGCAAGGCGAACTCCTGGAACATGAGCCCTCCATGTCAAGCCCTTCAAATCAGCCACAACATCGACGAAATCCCTGAAAGCAAACGCGTGTCTCTGCAAAACAACTCCGGGCCCCTAGCAAAGGCAGGTCCTAGTTTCGGTCCGATGAACCGAACCATTCAACGCAAGATCAAGTGTCCAAGGATGAGAAGCTGTTGAAAGAGATGCTTGCTTCGATTATGGAAAAGTTTCATGAAGCAGAGGCGCCCAGTGTTCAAGCCGCTTTCAACTCTGCTGGGGAAGTGGCGGGCTGAGCGACGTCGAAGTCTCGTGCAGGATTTAGTGGAGAAGGCCGAGATCACGTCAGCCATGATCGAACACGTTGCTCGGCAGCAGTGCCGCGCTGCCTCTGGTTCTGTGGCCTCGGCAGCTGCAATATCAACTGTGCCACTATGAGCCATGAGAGCAGTGTTGCTTTCGAAGGTCGGCTGTTGCAAAGGATAGGGGGGGATCAATATTCAGCTTACTTGATCCTTCAAGAGAACTGGCTTTCTGGAGTGGGCCCCACTTACAATGCAGCCTTAGGCCGGCGACGACTTGTCTGAAGCACAGAAGGCAGCAGAGCAGACCGAGGACCGCATTTCTTGGGCGGAACATAGCTGAACTGGGCTCAGAAGAAACAAAAAAGTAGCGGATGAACAACGTCGCAGGAGTCAGCCAAGCAAGCGGCCGCTGCAGTGCCTTGGAACAACGTCGTAACAACGTTTGATGTCAGGTTGCTTTCTCATGTCAAGCAGCCGAGCTCGGCCAGTTGCATTTCCTTGCGTTCCCCGATTTAAATTGGGAGCCTGGCCCAGCCTTCTCTCACGAGGTCAAGGAGGCGCTGACGGCCTGTGGCTCAAAATGCATCCGTGTGCACACCAGAACACCAGAACACCAGACCATCACCAGACCTTCGAGAGTCGCTCTGAGGCAATTGGCCTGAAATTGGGCATGCTGAAGCAGTTCGAAAGCGATCAGGGCCGGCTCAAGGCCCGTGCTCCAAGCCACTCAAAGCGCTGAGAGGGCCGTCGAAAATGTAGCAACACATATTCTGAACAGACCGGTTTCGCGTTCTCGGCTTGGAGGCCACTGACTCCTTGGGCACTTTCCGTGAGAAGCTGCGGGTGGCAAATCAGCCGCCTGACCGGATGCCGATTTTTGTGCGGTTTGCCTCGATGAGCCTCGGCACTGCAACTCAGGAAGTTGCTGCCGTTCCTGGCTGCTCAAGACACGTTCAAGGCCCAGGTAGAGGCCAAAAAGTTGTCCGACGAGATGGAGGCCAAACTGATGCCTGCGGAGGTGCGGCGACTACGCCTTGCAGCTTGTGGTGTTTGCGGTGTTCACTAAGTTCGCTTGCCCTCTCCTGCGTCAGGTTGAAGTGGAGCGTGCTGAGACGATTGCTGAGCCGCTGCTCCACTTCGCAGAGGTGCAATGTTTGCCATATGCCACTTCCTGATACAGCACACGGCTGCATCAGCAAACCGCTTCGCTTCTCTTTGTCGAGAGACCTGCGCCCGCCCCCAGCAGCGCTAATCGTGGCACTCTGTCTGACAGCTTCGACGGCTCACATGTCCAGGCAGCCTTGGCTGCCGGCCAAGCTGCCGCAGAGGCCACCGCGACGCCCAAAGCGAGCCTTGGAGGCACTTGGTGGAGATTGCAGCTTCTAGCACAGCGGAAGCGGAAGCCAGAGTCGCCATGAGCCAAGGAAGGCAAAAGCAAAGGAGAAGGAGCCCTCCAAGCCTGCCAAGAGCAAGTCTCAAAAGCAGGAACTTCCATCTGCTGAGGTGCCGAAGTGTAAGCATTTGTAAACACCTGCAGCTCAAGACTGCAATCTCGCCTATCCTGTCCATTGTGAGGTGGTGGCGCTTGCAACCAAGCACGCATCTGAAGCAGCTGTGAACATCCAGGCAGTTCAGAAGCTTCTGGATCAGAAGAGATCCTTGGATGTTCAAGTGGGAAGCGGCCGGAGAGGGCAGTGAGGAGTTGGCAATGCGAGCTGGGACTAGCTGCATGTACACTGGGTTAGTGCTCGCTTGTTGTGCATCTTCTGCCCGAGGAAGCAACCAACAAGTCCTTTTCTCCGCTCCCATGAAGAAGGTGAAGATCGGTTGCCATGGACATACCTTCGTAACCCATTCTACAAAACCCCCAGATTGAGCCTCTGCTTTGGCTTCTGCGTCGTCATTGATTCCGTTTCTGCAGGTCTTGGAGAAAGTAGAAGCACGCATCCGCACTGCTCAGAAGCTGCTTGTCGCGTGAAATGGTTGGACATATTATGATGAGTGCCTGAAAGCTTGTACAACGCTAGCAGACAGGAGACTGCGATTGTGCGTTTTTGTTTTGCCGAACGCTCATTACCCTAACAGTCCGGCCAAGGAAGCTGGATCGCATCAAGATCGCTCAGAAGGAATTGCGTGAGCGAGAGACCAGCACTGCCTTGGCTGCTTGGCGCAAGGGATCGAAGCCTTTGGGGCTGCTGCGTAGATATGTTAGAGTCTGTTATAGACCAGCATGAAGCTTGAGGTCAGTGATGTCGCAGAGAAAATGGAAACCGTGTCGAAGGCAGCTACCACTTCCCGCTGTTAGCTGGACCGGCAAGTTGCGTTTCCGGGCACAGGGTGGAAACTTGCTTTGCCCAGGCAATCAAAGAAGCAAAGAGTGCGGTCGATGCTGCACAAGGCGAAGAAGAGGCCATTGCTTGCAAGTGCCTCTGCTAGAGCAGCAGAAGCGACACGAGCCGACATTGCAGGAGGCGCTGAAAGCTGCAAGCAAGGCCGCCGCACTGGCAAAGGTTGCCATCTCCATGCGGCTTGGACCTGATTCTTCCATTGCGTAACCCACTCTATATTTACCCCATGTTTTCTGGCGAGTGCAAGGAAACCCCTGTCTTTGAAGAAATGGTCAGCAATTCAGAACTCCGGCCCCCTTCGATCTGTTTGCTTACCTGCCTTGTGACCCTGAGCAGTCCATGTGGGGCCCCGAAGATGTATCAGGAGCTGTGTTGTTCTGTGTTGGGCGCGTTTGCCGTGGGCACCCACACAGAAACTGAGGAAGTTGCTTGAGGTGAAGCGATTTACTGCTGAGGCAGGCTTTGGTCTGGGTACGTAGAAATGGCTCGCAGCCTGTGAGCACCTGCATGAGAATCAGCCCCCTGCAAAGGCGGGAATCCAGGCGCAGCGCAGCTTGCAGGAACATCAGCAGACACTGCACGGGCCTGAACTCTGTCCCCCCCTCGTCTACGGCATTGGGGGCTTGGGGGCATGGCTTCACGGACTTTGAGGCAGGGCTCGCTCTCGGAGATCGAAGCTTTGAAGAAGACAGCGGCAGAGCAGAAAGAGAACCTTGGACCTTGGTTCGACACTTCCGTTTAAGGGCAGCACCTGCGTACCTTTTTCTTTGCATTAGTATTGTTGCTCTCCGTGCCCCCCGGGCCCGAAGTCGAAGTGTCAGCTGCTGAGGGTGTCGAAGCGCAAAGAGGCCAGCCGCAAGGTTGAAGAAGCCGAAGCACTTGCAGAGAAGGCGCCCTGTACGCAATAACCAGCAATAGCAAGCATCAACAAGTATTTACAACAAGTTGCTGGCTGGTTCTGCACAGCTAGTTCTCGCGGTTGCACGGGGGAAGCCAGCAGCCTGAGCATCTCTTGAGTCAGGCTGAGCAAACATCGGCACCCATCTTTGATGATGAGAAGCTTGCCTCTATGTCCTCAATGGCTCGCGCCCTGGTCTGGCCTTCGAGGCTTCAGCAAGCCGGGTACCCCTCCTGGGGGACGATGTTGCAAATTACAACCGGGAGTTGTTGTTGGACATGGCCGCTGCTACTGCTACAACTACTACAACAACAGCAACTACAACAACTACGACAACTACGACAACTACGACAACTACGACAACTACGACAACTACGACAACTACGACAACTACGACAACTACGACAACTACGACAACTACGACAACAGCAGCAGCAACAACAACAACAGCAACAGCAACAGCAACAGCAACAGCAACAGCAACAGCAACAGCAACAGCAACAACAACTACAACTACTACAACTACTACAACAACTACTACAACTACTACAGCTACTACAACAACAACTACTACTTCTACAACTACTACAACTACTACAACTACTACAACTACTACAACTACTACAACTACTACAACTACTACAACTACTACAACTACTACAACTACTACAACTACTACAACTACTACAACTACTACAATTACAACTACAGCTACAGCTACAGCTACAGCTACAGCTACAGCTACTACTACTACAACTACAACTACTACTACCACTACCACAGCAACTACAACAACTACAACTCTGCGGGGTTTGGAAACCAAGACGATTCCCATTGCGCTCTTGGAAGAGCGAGCAACACTCAGCACTAAATGCTACGTGGATTCCAGAAGCGCAATACATGTTGAGCTCAAACCACACCCTTCTGGCCATCCACGCGCTCCATCCCCTTTGAAGGCCTTTGAATTTCAAGCCGACCGTGCCCCGACATAGCATGTGCTTCAAATCGGGTAGCCGAGGAAATGTAGTGCGGCAGTCGAAGCCATTGTTTTGGCACATTACTTTTCTGGCTGGCGATAGTACTCAGAAAAAGTTATGAGTGCTCGTTGCGGGAACCCCGGCTTCCAGACCTCACAAGGACATCCGGCAAGCTGGGGATGTGAACCAGCGGGCGTACAAGGCCAAGGGTTCTGCAGAGCTTGTTCGGGATTTTCCGAGGCAAACGTCTTCTCATGCAAATGCCACCGCTGCCAGGATACCATCGATGCCGTCAACCAAGCACAGCGGATGATCACGATGCTTCAGATAGAGGCGAAAAACAAGGAGCCGCCACGAAACGAAACAAGTGTCATTATACATGGCACCATGCAACGCATTATGTGTATTGCCTGGTGTCTGAGAGGAGAATGCAGCCGAACTTGCGGCAGAGTATGCCAAGCTTCAGGCTCGTCTTGAGCAATTGTTGGTTGTTGGATGCTCTCTTGTTGCGGTAGCCTTATCAACGCAAGCCGCTGCAGGCCCGTCTGCGGCAGGCAGAAGCTAGCGTCTCGCACTGTGCATCTTTGCCGGAGCCCGTGCAGAAGCAGCTGATCCTCAAAGGGTTCATCGACGAGGCAGGAAGTCGCTTTGGAAGTACGGCCGTAGCACATCCGGCAACCAAAAGCACGAGGTCGAGTCGAAGGTGAAGGCTGTGGAGGGAAAGGCCAATACCGCCGAGCAGTTGGCCAAAGAGGCCGAGGAGAATCCATTTCCGGAGCAGGCGCGCTTGGCTGCTTTCCAATTCATCCTTTCCAATTTATTTTGATTCTTTCCTTCGGTTCTTTTTGGCCATGTCTTTCCTCTGTGACCCGCTCTGAGGCCGAGGAGCCTACGCCACAGGCCGGTCCTTGGCGTTGCGCGGCTTGACGGCAAGGGGGCATTGGATCAGCTTTGAGGCTCAGAAGGCAACAGCAGCGAAGTCAGCTCCATGGTCCAAGGCAAAAGCCTCAGAAGACACGCCCTCGAGAGGTTGTTCGGATGTTTCGATGGGCAGCTGTTGTTCTCTGGCCAAGGGCAAAGGCGGAGGTAAGAGAGCAGACGAGAAGGACATGGCTGGAGGCTCGCATGCTCGTCCCAGAAATCACCAGCCGCGGACACTTCCTGCAAGAATTTCCGCGCCGCGGCTGTCGCCGGCAACACAAACGCCGCGCACCCGTCGCTGCAGGACCCGTGGACAAGGCAAAGGCGGCCGTGGAGCTCGCCAAGATGGACCTCAAGATGGCACTGCGCTTCCTGGAGGATGGGCTCTCATGACTTCTTCATGCACCTATTGGGAGCACAAGGCACGAGGTTGGAGCATGTTGCTGCGCCGTCCTTTGAGGCCCAGACCCAGCAAGGCAAGCTGCCGGAGGAGGAGCCTTTTGAGAGTTGTCGACCAAGTGGGCAATGAAGCCCCCTTAAGTGGCTCCTTCTTGGCTCTGTTTGTTCTGCTTTCCTGACGGCTTCAATATTAAGAAATACACACATACGCTCACTCGATAAACTTTTTCTTTGCTAGATTCATCGCGACGCAAGCTTTGGTTTCTTTTGTTCCCCCCCACCCTCAGAGTTGCTAGAGCTTAACTCAGCAGATCTCCTCGTCTAGGTCTCCTGTACTTCTCACTTACTCCGCCCCCAGAGAATCCCACAGTATCCCTGCCAAACAACCCTCAGGGTCCCAAGTTCGGAGTGCTGTACACAGAGAGATTCGCAGAGTATACATGGAGCCCGCCCCCAAAATTCCGCAGAGAATCCTGCGCCCAGCCCCCAGAGAACCCTGCAGAGAACCGTATGGGTGTCTAGCCCCATTTGTCGTGAAGGGGGGGGGGGGGGGTGTTGGTGTTTCGTGTGTGTGTGTGTGTGTGCGCGCGGGCGCGCGAGTGTGTGCGTGTGCGCGCGCGTGATGGTCGATTTCCGCGAAGCTGCACATCGCTCCGTGACTGGTGTGCAGGAAGCGGCCGACATGCGGGAGCGCATCGAAGTGGCGAGGACGAAGCCTGCCACTCAAAAGGTCAAAGGCATGTAAATGCATGGCATCCGTGCATCTCAATAGCTTCTCAGCCCTGGCTACTGATAATTGGCATTGAGCACCCTTTCGAAGACAAGGCTTGATGCGGTGACAGCTTCGGTGGAACGTGCTGCTGAAAAGCGTGGCATTCTGCAACTCCTGGGAGATGCGGACAAGAAGGCTTTGGGGCCGACGAGTTGTGGATTCCGAAGCTTCGAAGGATCTGCCTCCTCATGCTTACCTTGTCCATTGATGTGAGTGGTTGAGGTTCTGGAGGCCGAGAAGGCCGTGGAGGCTGCCGCTGAACTGGCCGTGCCCCTCCAGGAGCTGATGGCCAGCGAGGACGACTTCAGATCATTGCAGAAATTTGGCACAGATGGCTTATGTTGCGATGCCAGTCTGGAGCCGCAGCATACGACACGCACGACAGGACAAGAGGCCAGCCACGTCCAGCAGTCTGACCCTTACAATCCCGACCTTTTTTATGTACATTCGCTTGTGTCCTATGTCCTATGCTTACTTAGTCCGATGTTGCGGACCAGGTGACAAATCGGCGGCCGATGCAAAGCATGACAAGAACGCCAAGGAGGAGGACGACGAGACCAAGGAAGAGGTCAAGGAAGAAGACAAAGTCAAGGAAGAAGAGGCAAAAGATGGAAACGCCGAAGGGAAGGCCGCCAAGGTGCAGACGACACGCAGCTTCCCCAAGATCCTCAGTCCAAAAAGAGCTCTTCGTAGGTTTCTGGCCGTTCCATCGAATCAACCTGCAACAAGTCTTTGGAGGATGGTGAGGAAGCGGCCTCGCCTTTGGAGGAAGCTCTAGCAGCATGGTGCTCGGACACACGCAGAGGGATTTTGACAACACTTTGACCACATGACGTACCGTGGGCACATAGTTTGGCACCCTGTCTCTGGAGGCCATGAACTCTACAGCCCAGGCCAGAGCATGAAAGTGGAGCGCAAAGCCAGAAAGAGTCATTGCCAGCCGCACGGTTGTTTGTCGGAGCAGTGGGACTGTGCAGGTTGCGAGCAGGCAACTCAGCAAGGAGCCCAGAGGCTGCGGCAATTGTCCTGAGTTGGATCGCAGACCTCCTTCCAGGCAACGCCAAAACAACCCTGGCTGTGAAGCGGATCTCGGCCAGCATCTGAGTCTCAGAGAGCCAAGATGGGTGTCAGAAACACAAGAGAAACACAAGAGAAACACTGGAGTAACAAGGCCAAGCGGCTACCAGGAAATGCACCAGCTAGCCTGGCCTGTTGCTTCGCCCTTTCTTCCTTGCCTTTCTTTTGCTTGCTGTCTCACTGCCCGCTTGCTGTCTGGTCTCCTGGCTCGAGGTTTATGGAGGTTCATGGGGACAAGAGCTGCACGGGTGGGTTTGAAGGTTGGCTTCAGAACATGGAAATTTTTGGAATGCTTCATGGCGCCCAAACCCGAGGTCGAAAAACGTCACATGCATGCAGAGCTTCTCCATGCATGAGCACCAGCCTGTACCCCCTACTGTATATGTTCCATAGCCGCTTCTATAGCCTTAGCCTTGGCGGTCGAGCCTCTGCGCCGGGCTCCTTCACCACATGATCCTCGATCCTGCGACTTCAGCCCTGAAACCCAGCAGATCCTCAAACCCGGAGCTGCCCTATGCCTGTGGAGTGGTGACAGGAGCATGGCAAAAGCGTGGCAACAGCATGGCAACGCATAGGGTTGACAGCCGCTTCTTGGAGCGCACTCAGGAATGGTCTGGATCCTACTGGCTCCCTGCCTGGGGCCGGTGTACCTGGGGCAGCTGGAGTTGCCAACCCAGATGCTGCTATTCCTGGCCGCGAGTCGGCATTTCTCTCACCATCGCACTTATCCAACCCTCCCGAAAGCATGTTGAGACATGTTGAGCTTATGTTTAGCTTATGTTGAACTTATGTTCAGCTTATCTTCAACCTATGTCGAGCTTCTATGGAGCCATTTCGCTCTGAGGCATCCCGAGCGCCCTGACCCAGGCGGTGCCCGGCACCGCGGCCTTCGACCTCGCGGCCGCCTCGCTGTTGCTCGGCTAAATTGGTGGAAACGTCAAACCGTCAAAGGCATAAAAAACACATTTTCTCCGCTGGAGCACCTGCTGAACCGGAGGGCCTGAAGAGCTGTGGAATCGTGCGCGCGAAGTTTTCAAGTGTAAAAAAAGCCTTTTCTCAGGATGTCGGCCATGCCGGGCTTCGACCCATCCGCATGGGCAGGTGGCCTCAAGTGCCAAAATTCCCTTCAGAGTTTGTAGCAGAAAGATGCACATAGCTCTGGCTCGTGGAGGCATCGCTTTCCCGTCCTTCGCTCTTCCGGCGGGCGCAGCTCCTGACCTCTCGCAGCAGCTGAAGGAAGCACAAGCCTTGGTGGCGACTTAGCTGCCTTAGCAGCTAGCAGCCGCGACTCACTTCAAAGGCCCCCGGCTTTCCCGACAAGTTTAGGTGAGCAAGGAGAAGGACAAAATGGAGAAAGGTGACAAGGTCGACCGGAAGAAGGCGCCTCAGGCACCGCAAGGCGCGCAAAGCCTTGCCAGCCCTGATGCCTTCCGCGCCTCTGTCATCTCTCTGTCATCTTGGGCTCTGAATGTTCAACAGTTCGAAAAAACTGCTGCAGCAAGCAGTGGGCCCCTTGTTAACATGGTGTCGAAGCTCGCTTTGCTGGCTTTGGTTTCTCAAGGGGTCGAAGATGTCCAAAGAGCTCTTCGAAGGTGGTGACGTGCTCCGGCTCCGGGGGCTGCCCTGGTCTGCTGGGCCACCGGAAGTCGCCCAGTTCCTGCATGAGCGCCGCGCCGAGTTTCCGCGGCTTCGGAGGGACCCCTCCCTCCCCCACGATGCCCTAAGTAAAGCCTTAAGCAGTGCCTTCAAACCCCTCTTTTTCCAGAGCTCCCTCCGCGGAGCTTTCTCCTTTAGGCCTCGCACCACTAAGGTATGGGATCAGCGAGCGAGACGTCACCATGTGCGTCACCGAATCCGGCCGGCAAGATGGCCATGCCTGGGTTCCCGAGCAGCACGCAGGGCATTGCTGGCGCAGGAGCCTAGGTTTTCTCCATTTCCTGAGCTCTTGAGGTGGTCTTCCAAAGTAGAGATGTGGCAAAGAAGGCGATGCAGGACACCGCCAACATCAGCCTACTTGCCTAGTGGCTATTCATCATGTTGGGCCTGTGTTCCTTCGATTTCCTGCGTGTTGCGGCAGGAGAAGCAGAGGCAAACACTCGGTGGCCGGTTCATTGAGCTTTTTCAGTGGAAGGATCACTCGAAGGCTCGTGGTTCTCGAGCATGGCACACCCTGGAGCCGTCAAAAGCCGAGTCAACAGCCGTCAGCCGTGTCAGTGTGAGGAGAAGACCACAGTAGCGAACACCACGAGACTCGCAGCAAATCAGAGGGTCCTGAAATCATGACGGCTGAGGTTCAGGACAGACCAGAGTTGGTGCTTCGAGGTTAATCCATATATGACCCCAAATGGTGATGTCACTGTGCAAAAATCTTTGCAAACTTATCCGACTTATCCTTCGCCTTGCTGGACCTAGGAAAGTTTACACCGGCATACTGAAACATTTCGATGCCCAGCGGAAGTGCGGGTACATACACTCTCCAGATGCCGAGGACCCGTCCGGATGTGATGCACAGTTTTGGGTTCAGACTAGTTCAGACTAGAAGCACTCCTGTCCCTGCCAGGCTGACATAGGCAAGCAGGACATCTACGCTTTCAGAGACGTCCTGGAGCGTGGCAAAGCGTGCGTGGGTGACACACTGGCTTTTCCTTTGCATTGGTCTCCGAAGGGACAGCCCCAGGCATCTTCCCCTTTGATTCGCTGCTTGACGCACTTTTGGCTCGCTTTGTTTCTCTAGCACCGCGCTTGCCACTAGCCCTGATCCATCTTGGCTTGCACCAGGTATATCGGCGAGGAATAGTTACGCGCATACTGGAAGCTTGGTTTCGCTCAGCACAAGCGGCGCTCATATGAGCTGCAGAAGCTTGTAACCTGTAAGATTAGAGCCATTCGGGAGAGCCGAGGCAACTTCAAGATCTTGCCAGCAGACATGAGCGGGCGACAAGCGGGCTTGATCGAGTGCGCAGAGGTGGGCACGTGAAATCAAGTGAAATCAAGTGAGACGTGTGGGATCAACTGTTCAAGTTTCGGCTACGTATCATAGTACTTTCTCCTTAAATGCATCTCCCTAATCCCAGGTAAATCAAGTATTTGGGCGCGCGGTGTATGTCAGTCCGTCCCTGGCAGTCACCCTTACGCCAGGCCGGAGCCTCATAGCATCCAAGAACAGTTTCGTGCACAGGGTTGCCATTCGTTTCTGCAGGTACCTTCGTAGCATTCAACTGCTACCTCGCTTCGATGCCTGCTGCCTTTGCGCGGGCACCGCTTGATGGTCTCAATGTGCCGGCACCACGCCAAGAAAGAGACAGAGACAGAGAGAGAGAGAGAGACGGACCCTTGGACTTCGCGCGCCCCTTGGGGCAGCCTTCCTTTTGGGGGGGGGCTACGCGTGCAGGAGAGGGAGAGAGAGAGAGAGAGAGAGAGATACCAAACCCGTGGCCGGGGTCCTTCCGCAAGGGGGGCCTCTTCGCTGCAGAAGAAGAAGAAGAAGACCAAACCCGGTCGAGCACGCCCTTCGGGGCGGGCCCCACGGGGGCTATGTGCAGGAAGGAAGAGAGACCAAATCAGCATGAAAGAATCGAGTCGGGCCTGAGGTCTGCAGTCACGCCATAATGGTGGAGACGAGCTTCGTCTCACCTGGGCCGGAGCTCAACGAGACCAAGACAGCCGAGGGCTTTGACAGATCTGGCTACCGAGATCCTGTGATGTCTGATGCAGACGGAGAAGTTTGCCGCTTCTTTGCTCTGGCCGGCTGGTGTAAATATGGCGACGCCTGCCGACACAAACACGTTCAGGGAGTGCCGCAGGGAGTGCCGTGGCTTGCAGTTGACATGGTAACCAGAACATATTCCCAAGCGTCTTAGTTTTTTGTTGAGCTTTTTTTCGTTTTTGCTGTCTTACATCTTCTGGCTACATATTGATTGCGCGTGCACATCGCAGGGCAAGGGCGCTGCCCCAAGGGAGATCTGCGCCTTCTTTCAGAAGTCTGGATGGTGCAGATTTGGCGACTCCTGCAAGCATGCGCACGTGGTAGGCGTCGCAGGCAATTTCGCAGGCTCCCCTGGCATGCCCCCTCCTCCTGGCCCCGGCCCGCCATTTGCCCCACCGTTCGCACCGCCTGGGGGCGCGAATTTCGGCCCCATGCCCAGCGCGACACAGATGCCGCCCATGCCGCCCATCCCGCCTGCACCCATGCATTGACAAGCGTGGAGGTCTCCCCACAGCAGACTGCCAAGAACGGCGCAACAGCTGCCCTACGCCAGTCACGCAAGAAGCAGAGGTGCTTGAAAGTGCTCAAGAAGCCCGACGCCACAATCACTGAGAGAAAGAACGCACGAAGGGATGCGCCATTGAGGAGAGAGCTTCGAGCAGCTGACAAGTCAACCTCGCGACGTGGATCAAGAAGCTGTCGGTGTCAGATTGCTTGATGTGCATTGGCCGAGAGTAGGTAACGCCACAGCGTAGCAGGGTCAGACAAAGGAAAGGGTGCCTGTGTGTGCGACACGAACGCCAGGCGGCTTGTTTAGAGCAGCTGGATGTGCCGCACCTAGAGCTGGAGACAGCGGACAGCTTGATTTCTTGCAAGGGCATTCGAGTCACTCGAGTCACTCGAGCGCAGTAGTGGGACCGGAGATACGGCATTCTTCTTGGTGCCTTGATTGATGCTGACATGCCTGCAGGCGCTTCAAAAGCGTCTGGATGCTGCAATGCGGCGGTTGGCCGAGGTGCGACGGGTCAGAGCTTCCGACAGCTCAGTGCACGTCAGTAGCAGGCTACGAGAGGTTTTTTCGGGCGTAGAGTTGAAAACAAAGCCACAACACAACCACACTATTCTGACTAGCCAAATCGGAGCGCTCGACTGTTGTCTGGCCAGGTACGCAGAGGAAGCACAGACAGGCAGTATGCCAAGGCCAGAAAGGCCCCTGCAAACCTGCAGAGTTGATTGCAAGCTGCTATTGTGTTCCACAAGTCAGCTGAGTGCTAAAGCATTGTTGCACTTCCTGCTGCGCGTCCAGCTGCTTTTGGTTAGCTTCAAGTAGTGCTGAAGACATGGACACGCTGTAGGAACCCAAGGACACACACACACACACTCGCTATTTTTCTCCATGCGCTCGCAACCTTGACAAACCAGCCCTGCAGAAACTGGCATCGATAGTGAAAGCCCCAAACCAATCGAGTGTGCGGGCAGATGCTTGCGTGGCAGCCATGCCATCCTGAGACCTCTGAGCTGCGATGGCCTCATTTGTCTGTCTCGCCTCCGCTTCGGCTGGCACCCCGTCGCTGTCCAGTCCGCCAAGTGAGGCAAGTGTCGCCGTTTGTGTCCCTTACATCACTTACATCTGCCATTGTGCTGACCGTGGCGGTGCGGAACTCGCGTTGGCGGTGTGGGGCTATCAGGTCATGGAGTCAGTGGACTTCAGCCGCTTCAGCCGCTTCAGCCAGGTGTGGCCGACGTGACGCGGTGGCCCGCCGATCTGGCTTCCCAAGCCTTGAAATCCCGCAAAGTTGGTGTGCAGTGTTCATTAACCTCGCCAGGCGAGCAGACAGACGCCTACAGCTAGCGCATGTCCTAGCCGAAGGGAATTCGGCAATTCTGTCACGACTCCTCCGCGTTGATGCAGTGGATGGGCGGACCCTGGATCTCGACAACCCAGACATATTGCAGTACATCACACCGGAAGCTCTTGCAGTTTCGCAGGAGGCCCAAAGGATCGGTGCACACACGATTGTACACAAAGATGGTGAACTCGTGAAGTTCCATGACCACTTGACCGCTGGAGGCATTGCCTGCGCAATGTCCCATCACAAAGCGTTGCGAACGGTAGCAGAGCATCCGACGGCCGAGTGGGGACTAATTATGGAAGATGATATCCAGGCCCTGGTTCCTGACGTTCACGAAGTCATCGCCAAGGCAGTCCAGCGTTTGCCCTCCAACTGGGATGCTGTTTTTTTGGGCTACCATGGTGGAACCCTTGATGGGTTCGCACCTGGTGGCCGAGACACTGAACAGGAACATACGCGTGCAAAGTTCGAGCTGCAGATTGATGAGATGCGCGGCTATGTGGACGAATTTCGTGGCTCGGTGGATAGGGAGGAGCTTGAGGCGGATGAAGTGCCCATGCTTAGAATGTACAGCCCTCTCTATGGTCTGTATGCATGGGCGGTTAAAAAGGAAGCCGCCGCCACTCTTCTGAACGAGGCTTTCCCTGTAGGCGGACAGGTGGACCATGCGTTATCACTCTGGCTGGTCCAGCATGGCCATTGCTTCAAAGTTGCCCCTCGACATTTACTTTTCTACAGCCCCAAGAGCGAGGTAGGTCTGGATTCCGACATTCAGACCATGACACATCTTGACAGCTTGCTGGCTGATCCCGAGCACTGCGACAGATACGTTGATTTCATAAACAGCAACCAGAGCGCGGAGGATCCCGACGCGACGGCGTAAAAAGGCGACCGCAAGATGCGCACATATGGTACGTAGAAGAGTAACAGGTACTAGCTAGGCCGCTCGGGGACCTAAGCACTTCCTTATCCCCCCCCCCCCCACCCAAAAAAACAGGAAAAACCATCCCAAAACCCCCGAGCTGCACACTGCACCGTGCAGGCCATGGCCCAAAGCATTGAGCTTGCCGAAGCCAAGGCTGAACTTGCTTCCTTGCCCCGAAGATCTCTCTGCTTCCTCTTCCTTCTTGCCTTGTGAAAAGTGTTGCGTCTTCTTGCCCTTCTTACACAAGGAGTTGTCGGATCCAAACAACTGCTCATATGTTGGCCCTCTTTGGCAAGACGGAAGGATGCCGCGTAGATTCCATGGTCCGGCACCAGATTGCTGGAGGAAGAGTCTGTCGGCGTCGGCAGGTGGAAGCTTCCAAGGAGGCCTTCCAGGCCTTGATGGATCTTCCCGAGGACTTGGGGCGCAGATGATTTGGGTCAAAAGATATCAGAAGTAGAAGGGTCACCCCCGAAAATTGGGGCGAGTCATGGCGAGAGACGACAGGATGCCGAGCCCCTGCAGATGCAGTCCGTCCTCTCAAGGGCCGCAGCAGCACAGACAGAGGCCCTCCGTTCTTGTTGCATCCCGCAGTGCCAAATACCTTACATGCCTTCACTGACGGTAGACTACGTACTCTCCAGCAACTGTCACAACTCATATATGCTACACGAAAAAGCCCTAATCCTCGGGTGGCAGGGTTGGCGGAGGGAGTTGGAAACGAAGTGCGAATCAGCGAAGGCCACGACTGCAATCCAAGCAGCTCGAGTGCCCCTGGTGGAGCGGTCTGGGCCCCGAAACGAAGTGAACGCAACTGAGCGCGCAAGCATGTGTTGCACTCCCAGTTCCGAGGCGTTTCTCTCCTACTCGGCTCTTTCTCCTCTCCCTCGCCTCTCCCTCTCCCTTTTTTCATTCTCCTCTCCTTCGCAGCTTTCTTGATTCCACAGCTTCTGAGAAGCACTCCAGAGAGCAGGTTGCAGAAGGCCAAAGCCGACGGAGCCCTTGGCCCAGTGTACCGGTGCAGAGTCTGATCCTGTGTGCATTCCGCGCAGCATCAGGTTACGACAGACACCTCTGAAGTGTTGAAGGAATTCCAGGCTGCAAGCGTGACCTCACTCCCTACAAGCGTTTGCAGATCGGCAAAACCATGGCAAAACCATGCTGTCCAGGAAATGTTTGCCAAGTTGGCGCCCCTGCAGACCAAGCTGGACGAGCAGAGGCTGGGGTTTCGCAAGCCGGAAGCAGAAGCCACTGAGTTCAGCTGGACTAGCAGTGACTAGCAGTGACGAGCAGCTGGCCATTTCATGCCATGGCGGAGACGGATTGACAGGAAGGATGCAAACGACAAGGAGCACCGATTTGTGGCAACTTGCCTGCCGCCCCGACATGTTCATGGAGCAGCAAGCTCGTCATGTGTGCTCAATGTCGGATGAATGCGCGTGTGGGGCAGTTGCAAGCGACGGTGTCAGCAGAAATGGAGTCATGCCTAGAGGGGGAGCAGGGCTGAACTTGTGTCTGACAGACTGAGAGCTTCGATCCTCTGAGCATCTTTGGCCAGGATGCAGGAAGCGAACGAGATGTTCAAGGTTCTCGATGAGAAGCCCCTCGCCTTCTCTTTTACATTTGTGTTAGGTTGTGGGTGTCTAGGACTCAATACACAGCCTTTGTCACCTGTGTTCTGTGGCGCCCAGGTTGGACAAGCTCAATGAAACTGCGGCGATGTTCCAAGCCAGCAAGGGGCAGGTTACAGCCACAATTGACAATTAACGTTGAAGGGAAAGTTCGATGTATCGTTTCGGGTTGTGAGTGGGCAGCCGATGCCAGGAGTTGCAAGCATTGGTGCGCCTGGGCCACGTGCTGGAAGTGTGCGCGTCTCAACATCTCGTGAGCCAGGTGATCCCAGTCTAAACAAATTGCCTAGGTGCCCTGAATTTCTAAAAGGTTTCCCGTGGCTGCACATGCAGGCTGCGACGGCATGCAACCGCCACCTCCAAAGCTCCCGCTGCACTCTTTGCAGAGCTGGAGACGACCCCAGCACAAGTCCAGCCACAGTGGTCAGAGCTGGACGAGTTACGATGACTTAGGAGATCTTAGGAGTTCATGTGAGGTTTTGCCGAATAAGGAAAGAAGAACGTTAACAGACATTCCAGAGTCGCCCTGACAGGGGTTCTCTGGCGGACCCATGGCATCTAATCAGCAGGTTTGATCTCAACCTGGCTTCACAGCAAGGCAATCCGGATGGCAATATGTGTGTGGCGTTGACAACCCTCCATCCCAGGCTAGAAGGAATATCAGCACATACCGGCACTTCGCCGCAAGCTGACAGTCCCAACAGAAAGGAAGCAAAACAAAAGGAGCACCATGACGTTTCCGTACCTCTGTCTACTTGCACCGTGACATCTCGTCGTGTGTCATCATGCGATGTTCTGCCATCAGCCTTGAAGGCCAAAGCTTCTGGAGGCGACGGCCGCCTGATTCCTGCAGGACTGGAAGTGCTGTGATTCGGGCTCACCTTCCGGCTCCGGTCCCCTTCAACAAGCTTCCTAGATGCGGATTCGAATGTTCGCAGTGCCCGAGTGGCACCATCTGTCCGTTGCAGGAATCGTTGCGGCGCTCAAGTCGCTGCAGCCGGAGCCACCCGACCCTTCCTTACAAGCGGTGGCTGAACAACGAAGAGCAGTTAGGAAGGTTGCATGAGTTGTTGATCAAGAAAGTTGGACTGACTTGCTCAGGACTTGTCTGACCTTTTCGGCACGGAGGAGGAAAGACATGGAGAGACAATCCATGGCGCAAACTGCAACGCGCACTTGTTGGCGGATCTGACCCCCGATAGTGGCACTTGCAATGCCATGTGGAAGCCACACGCCCCGAGTGGTTGCACCGGCACCGACGCTCGAGGAGCAAGAGCTTCTCCCAGCAGCTGTTGCCCAGATGGATGCAGAGGGTGTTGCGGATGCGGTCATGCCGGCAACAGTTTCCTGCTAGCTTCGGACACGTTGCCCTGGGCTTGCGGGAAGCCGCAACTGGCAGGATGAAGGCATCTCTGCAGAGAAGCCAGGGCCTGTGGATCATGCGGGAATTGTCTCGCCGCAGTCATCAATCAAGCAAGAAGAAGCGGCAACGCTAGCCAGTCACATCGGGCTGTGCGCTGGTCGACAGAATGCTGGCTCAGGTTTGAAGAGCACATGAAGCTCTCGTATCTGTGCGTCCGCCCCTCGGAGGGAAACCCTTGTGACTGTGTGATGATCGGGTTCGCAACTTGGCACGTTCGAGCTGCAGGTGGCGGTCGTCACAATGACTTCCGAGAAGGAAGCTCGCAACTCAGCGACGCACCCGCGGCAGCCAAACTTGGAGATTGACCGAGGGCCCATGTGTCCACATTGTTTACGGCAGAGGTTGGCAGCAATACCCTCCGCAAGCTGGAGGTGAACGAGGCATCTGACTTGTGCTCTTCCCTGCTGTTCATGTCCGTTGTCCACTTTCAGCTGGCCTCGTTTGACATTGTAAGTTGTGCAGCACCGAAACTCTGCTACAACAGGGCGTCTCAGATCCTTAGCTTCTATCGTCTGCTAAGGCATTGCAATACTGCCTGAAGCGCTAGTAATATTGCTTGTATGTTGTCGGGGACCGAAGCTAGCAGACCACCCAATACTTCCGTGGTCAAGTTCTCCAGCCTATAGCTCCTGATTTTTGTAGCAGCGTATGAGCAGAGCCTTCTCTCCGGGCAGGGGAGCCCTTAGGTCCTGGAAGCCCTGGGGATTCCGCGCCGTGAGCCGCAGAGCGGACTCGTGCGGGCAGCGGCCGCAGGGGAGAAGGCTTGAAGGACAGTTGGGACAGTCACCTACTGCAAGTAAGTTCGGTTACATCATGAGTCATGGGCTACATACACATATCCTTATAGACAAGTCCGGACTTACATCAGCATCTTGCAAGATCCACTGTCCCGTTTAAAGGCAGACAACATCAGCAGCAAGCCGACCTGCAGAAAGGGGAGCAGTCTGTTTGTTTTTCGACGGCTCTTCGAGCGATGGAGAATCACAGGCGTCCATGTAGTTGTCAGGCTTCTAGGGTAGTAGGGTTGGGCAGTCAAGTTTTGAATGCGCATGAGAGCACCTTCGAGTGCCTTCAGCATGCTCAGTATGTCATTGCGCTTGTGTACGATCAGGATTCACAGGCTCCAGGCATCAAGGATCACTTGCAGTCCTGGTGTTCTCAGCCAAGGTCGAGTGCAAGGCTCAGGACGATGCCCAAGGCCAGCGCCCCAGGATCCACGGCCTGGCGCGCCTGGCAATGCAGCCGTGTGTTTTCTGCGGCCTCTCGCTGCCTCCACTCTAGGCTTTGTCACCATCTCGGGCTCCGGCGGCACCACTTATTTAGAGGCGTGGCGAGGCGTTAAGACTGGCTGCAGCTAGATTTACCCAAGTTCAGGTCTACACACCGTTTATGGCTTGCGTTTGCGACCCAGGCTGTGCATCCTGATGTGGAGTTTTTGCTGTTCGAGTTGCTGAGGTGAGGAAGGCCGAAGACGCACTCGCAGACTCGTATGAGTCTGTCTGCCACACAGGTTCATGGCAGCGCACAGCAGTGGTTGAAAACTTGAGTACTTGCAGCAGATGCTGCAGTCAGCAAGGTGAGCCAGACGGTCACATATCTCAAGCAGAAGCACGATGAGCTGCGAAGCACTCGCCAAGTCCCCGAAAGTTTTGCTGGTAAGTAATGGCCGGTGGCGACGCTCTGCCATTCTGCAGTTCCAGAGAGCCCGCCACGCATAAAAACGACAACTCCGAGGCGGTGCGGCTGCCCTTCAGGACTTGAAGGAGCAGCTCCAGAACCTGCGGGCGCACGGTGTTTCAAATTCCTTCAAATGTTCTTCGAACTCTTGAAACATTTTTTTTTCCCAGTGAGTGCCCCTTCTTGGGGTCGGAGCTTGTGCTGGCGTGGAGGTGCGTGGAACGCGCGCCACCATCTCAGCAACGTATAGCGTGCCAGCATTTGCGGGGCCAATTGTGTGCACCCAACCTCTGGCCCCTCTCACAGGCGCAGGTGGCTCACAGCGATGTGAAGAACAAGGTCGCAGAGGTTGCTAGGCGGCAAGCTGGTGCAGAAGAGAGTGCAGGACTGTCCCCGAAGAGGACAGCTTTTGCTTGTTCCTGAGGCCAAGAATCGGCACGACAGGCAGCTGGAGGCTGGCAATGTTCTTGGAGCAGTGAGCGAAGTAGATAGTAGCATGCTGCGGCTTGCCATCACGCAGGCATTGAAGAAGAAGCGCCAACAAGCAGAGGAAAAAATAGCTGCGGATACGATAACAGGCAGGCTGCAGGATCAGACGAGGTTTTACGAAACAGGTAGCTGGAGCGGGACGCACTACTAAGCAGCAATCAGGCGAAGCATCCTCCATGGTGGACGATTTGGTTGCCAAGGCATGAGGGCAAGTGCACTGCAGCATACTGCAGCCCCTCAAAATAAAGGCATAAAAAGTCTTGTACCGAACAACCCCTCTTCACCCAAAGCCATTCCTTCGGCAAAATTCCTTTGAGGCCACTGCGGCATGCGCAGCAGCCACCAACGCCCTGAGCGCTGGACTCACCAAGTGCTTGGCTTTCACACGCCCAAACCTTGAAGCATTTGTGCTGAGGCTGCAGACCCTGTTGCGCCTCTAGTCTCCTAGCAAACAGGAGCGCATCACTTTGGCAGGAGTATTAAGAAGAGTACGCTTCCTGGCCCATCATGAAGCAAAAGAGTAAAGAACGACAAGCTTAGCGGATAGCGAACAAGTTGAACGACAGAGAGGAGAGTTCTGAGGTTCCACCGGCGCGGCCGTCACGAACTCTGCAGGTGCGCTCCAGGCGGAGATGAAATTTCGGGAAGGGGCTTGCTAGCACGTTCGCGTCTTTGTATTGACTCACCAGGCTTAATTACACTAGTGACCTAGGAAAATCTTAGGAAGTCTGAGAATGCCTTGCCAGGCACTGGAGCAGGTGGAGAAGGACCTGCAGTCCGCGGTCCAAGCCTGCCAGGAGGCGCAGGGAGCTGCCGGTGCAAGCCTTCCCGGCAGTGGTGCAGTGCTGCGGGCAGGGGGAAGCCAAGATCATGAAGACGGTCGCGGAGGAAATCCGAAATGCCAGCAAGGCATCGCCGTGCAGAAGCACGCCCAACGACGTGCTTCTGCGCAACTTCTTCCAGTCACTAAACTAAATGCCGCTTTTGTCGACAAAAGTGCTGCATAATTGTAAATTTGAATAGAGCTTGCGTGCATCCGAGTAGGATCTGCTCTACTGGGGGAATCATCCAAAAACGCCCCTGCTCTCAGGGGCCTCTCTTTGATGCAAGGAAGGTGATGTTCAGACTGAAGGCGGGAGAGCTGCAGTGTGCAGAGAGGACGCTCATCATCCCGGGAGTTATTGAAGATTGGGGTCCCATTTGGTGTCCCGAGCGTTGCGTGGAGCATTGACCTAGTAGATGAGTAGATGATAGGTCCCCGCGCATCTCAGGTGAAGTTGTCACCTCTGCCCAACAATTGCAAGAAGCACCTCCGTACCATCGAGGCATGGGATCCATAAAGCCGCTCAACAAGAGGCGAGTGAGTCTAAGTAGCGCCCAACTTGAGAAACATTGTCCGTGACGGATGTGAAGACACAGCTGGCACCGCATTGTCCAAGCGTTGTGCCAAGCCTTCCCGCAGGAGAAGAAGAAAGAGGTCTTTGAGGATGTGTAGCAGCCTTCATTCCATGGTTTGTGGGGCACGAACTACTGTACTGAATGCACCCAGAGTATAACTGAGGCGACAGATGGTAGCTGATCTTCTGCGGGAACATGCCTGGGCCCTTGTCAGCCTATTTGGGGGCCTGGTTTGCAGGTGCAAGCCTGGTAAAGGAGGGGGCCGATGGCGGCTAGGGTTACCGTTTCACTTTCATTTTCATGGGGCGTTGATGGGCAATTCCGTTGAACAGTTTTGCTTTTTGGAGGGGTTTTTTGGGAGTTTGTGAAGTGGCGTGTGTTCCCCAAAACCTTTGGAATCCTACCATGTCCATACTCCCAGAATTCCGAAACGAAGCGTTTATCACTTTTATCTCCACATCTCCACATTCCGCAATTCAAGGTCCATTCCAAGCATTCAATACAGTTCAGAGTATTAACAACATGTAACCCCATGCCCGCATAAATTTGGATTAGGAAATAGTGCAACTAGTGTTTTTTCACTCAGAGGAACTGATTGTAATTTGGAGAAGGAAAGTTTTGCCTTGAATTAGGACTTTTGGTCCTTTTTAGTTTGGGGATAGTAGGTTAGGTTGTTTGGTCCATGTGTGAAGTTGGGATGACCGCGGCTGGGCGAGTTCAAGGCCATCAATCACGACTTGTCCTCGAATGCATTGTTCGAGCAGCTGCGTAAAGGTGGCGAAGGCCGGCACTGGAATGCAGCGTGAGCCCACAGACAATGCGTTGCGGATGTTTGTGAGTCGCAGGTGAGGGCGAACAGAGCGCGGAGGCTACAGCGCTTCTTGTCTTGTTTGTTGTCGTTGCACGCCCGGGAAGTCAGGATGGCACCATTCCGCTGGCCTCTTTCCGGACCTTTCTGCAGAACAGCTGGCGGCCCAGGAATTGAAACGTATCGCGCCTGCAGCAATCTGCAGCAATAAGGTGTGAAAATGGGAGAGGCGGAACTGGAAGTGGCTTCACAAGGCTTCCAGGCGCTGCAGCGACTCTTGTTCACTCCTGTTTGCGATGCGTATACATTTATTCAGACTAGCTCAGGCTATCCTCAATCTAGAAGTTGACTGCGAACGTCAGGCTAACTTGACTCGGTTTGCATTTCTTGACTTGGTGGTGAGCTTGGAAGAGCCTCTCAAGGTTGTAGCAGCAGGCTTGTGAGTGCATGCCGCCGTTGCGCGGTCGAAAGCTTTGCGTTGCTCGAGCTGCTGGCCATCCCAGGTGGAAGAATACAGATCGTGAGGGGCTTGTCTGGCCCGAGCACGGCTTGCATTCATTACAGAGACTGATGGGTTTGTGACGTTGGTGCTTTTGCTTCGCTGTGCTGAATCTGAGGTGCGTCAAGGAGGTTGCAGTAACTCCGTCTCTCGAGGCAGCTGCCATTTACAGCTTATGCCGGGTGCAACTACGTGCAAAATGCGCCGCGTTTTGGAGGTGAAGGGAAGCACGGCACTGAGGAAGCTTCAGCTCGACGAAACTGTCGAGGTCGCGCTGCACTGTCCTGGATCCGGTGCCCCCAGATCTCGTCCTGCGGATGCCTTGTGACCAGGTTCTTGGCCAGCACAGCAGAGCTTCGAGCTGAGAGAAAACTAGAGTGTCCATGTCCTTCAGACACTGCAAAGCAAGATCCTAACATGGGAACCATGCAGCTGGAGCTGTTGTTGGGTTCCTTTGTTGCCCAAAAAGACAGAATTGTCGAATTGCCGAGGAAGAAGCTGCTGGGTTGCTGAGATCGCGATGTCGCGCTCTACAAGATAGTCTGGAGGGTCGGGCTCGAGTCAGTGTGCTTGGGTGATGGCATGTGTAGGCAGCGTTGGACAGGCTGGGTGACTCTTCATGGTAGCCAGGCCTCTTTTCAGAGCTTTGTGCCACCATGATGTGCATCCAAACATTGAGATCTGGGCCAGGGAACTCCGTTCCTGAAGAGGGTTGCCAAGCCCTACTACTTCTGCCAAGCTGGTTTCACAGCTCGTTGCCGCATGCAGAGGCAAGAGATAGCAACACAAGCATGTCAGCAACTTGAGGCAGAGACTTCATTGATCGAGACTTGCGCAATAAGCTCAGATCAGAGAGAGTCTGTACAATTTGCACGCCCAAGCTGGCTTGCAGACACAGGCTTCTACAGGGAAGATTCTGGGAACTGCGCGCCCGGCCCTTGGGCCCTCGGGGATTCGGGGATATGAAGCTTCATCTGCGGAGGGTGTAAGAAGGCTTCCAGGATGTCATTCGTCCAGGCCATGGCGAGCTTCTGGAGGCGCGTCAGATGCTTGACTCAGCTCTGCGAAAGACAGCGAAAGACAGGGGGTTCGTGTATGCGACTACTTGGTGACTCCTCTTCCCCCAGTGTTTTTTTGTCTGGTTTTCGCCTGCTGTGCACAGGTTCTTGAAGGACCCAGATTAGAGAAGACCGCCGAGGCCCCGTTCCGAAAAGCGCCATGGGGATCAGCTAGTCATATAGGCGTCCCTTTGGTCCATTTTGGGTCCATGCTGGTCATCTGCTGATTCAGTTCATCAAAGGTTCGCTGAAGTGGCCAGATCACTGAAACCAAAAAAGCTCAAAACAAGCTGGCAGTGCTGACTCAGTGCTGACAGGTGAGCAGGGCCAAGGGCAAAACCAAGGACATGCCCGCAACCCCCCCCCCTGTTCCGACCATCTCTGCAGGAGCTTCACGGTTCTGTGCTTTGCTTCTCTTACTGCATGCAAGGATGGCAAAGTCGGCTGGGTCTTGCCAGGGCCTCAGCCCAGCAGTGATGTTGGTGAAGGGGCGGCTTTGAGACGCGCATCTTCAACAGCACCTTAACAGTGAGTCCCAATGACCTGGCTTTAGGTTCAAGGACGAAGCCGGCAAGTGCTTCTTCGAATTGCAAGATCTGTTGCTCTGCAAAGGGCAGCTGCCTCTGATGAGTATCAGATAGAAAGTGATCGAACATGAAGAGAACACTTGTGGACGAGCCGCCCCGCGAAATGTCTAGGGCCTAGGGGTTGGCCCCAGCTTCGTGATGCAGTGACAACTAAGGAGCGTGGCCTTGACAGACAACTTCGACATAGGCTTGCAGCGTTCGCTCAATGCAGGGTTTTGTCAACAAATGAATCCCGGTCATGTGAGGCACATCCTGTTGTCAGTTTCTTGTGCTTGTTGTGGATATGTGGACAGCACATGCCAGGCAACTGCAAGGCAATCCGGAAGCTAGAAGTGGGGGAGGTGCTTCAGGCTCTCGAGGACCATACGGCCTTCCGGACCGTACACTTGTAGTTGGACTTCGCCGGTCCGGGATTGCAATGGCTCACATTGAGGCCAGTTCGCATTGGACAGCCGTGCTTTGCGGAAATGATACCGGAGCTGCAAGTGTTGCAAGCGCATCGCAGCCGTGGCTGAAATCGCAGGGTGAATCGCGCAGGGTGCATCTGTGCGGACCTGAAGAACCCAAAGACCCAATCGGTTCCTTGAATCTTTCGACAGGAGGTTGGACCGGCTAAGACAGAAAAAGGCATCCCGGGGAGAACGGCACCATGATGCAATGAAGCTTGCTGCTCGTCTGCTGCTCGCAAAGGCTCAGCAAAGCGCAGAATTTCTCTCCACCTCATGGAAATTGAGGGCACTAGCGCACGATCCGAGTCTCTGAGAGCTTGCCTGACAGAGCATAGAGAAAGCGAAGCCTCAGGCACACATCTGTGCACGGGCCACAGACGGCCATGTTCTTCGAAGCACCTTGCACGAGTAGTCCAACTTGGTTGCTCAGAGCTGTTTCTTTTAATGTGTCAGTCAGTCAATAAGGACACAGAGAAATTCGCTTGGCCCCTGCGCAAGAAACGCAAGATGTACCTCAAGCGATGTTCATTCATACGAGGTGATGCCTTCCTGTCTGACATCTCGTACGTCATATCCGCATGCGCGATCGCGCGCGCGCGCGCGATCGCAAGACTTGTTTTGTGGTTGATCAACCTCCGGTCATGTCATGAGAGCTGAAGGGGCGCGTGTTTTTAGATAGCTGCCAAACTGCCATTCTTGACGCCTGGAAGTGTAAGGTTACGCATTCACCAGCGGTCCCACTGGGCTCATGCAGTGAAGAGCCCAAAACCGGTAGGTGTCGCTTTGCTCTCTCAGCTTCCAGGACGCCAGAGAAGACGAAAAGCGGCGCCTTGTGAGAATGAAGGCTCGGGGGGTGCAGTAGTAGTGGAGTAGTTCCTAGCAGCAGGCCATCATGATCCTACCCTACCCGGGTTGAATGCAGCGGTGCACCGTTCACTCCATGATATGTGTCTCAGGTAAAGACCCTTTCCGACGGCTGGGGGCTTACGCATGTACATGGGCAATGTGTGAGGTGCCGGCGTACTTGCTACCTTCCTCATGCTACTTATGCTAGGGATGTCATTCAAGTGAGCATGCTGGCTTCACAGTCGTGCAGATTGTCATGCGGGGGAGTGTTGTTTCTGATCGCTCACACGCGTCTAGGCAAAGAAGGCTGGGCCACCTCACAAGGAAATCAAGGCCTGCGCCGTCGGATGTGGGCAGCAGCGGCAGCAGAGTCAGTCCGAGAATGCCCCGCTGGGTCAGTAAAGTGTTTTTTTATGCCCGTGCGCGCCATCTGAGATCTCCGAGGCTCCAATCCGAAAACGGAAGGGTTCCAGGCCTCAATATGCATCACCCACATTGAGCCTACAAACGGTCTCCACTCGCGACCTCATGACCACATGACTATTGCTTTCTGCTCCGGTTTCGGTTGCGTTCGGGGGTTCGGAGCTTGTTGTTTTTTCGCACACTTTTCTGACTGGTTCCTTGGTTTTCCGACTGAT